AAAATAAGTTAACACCAAGAAACTATTGATGTTAGTCATGCAGCTAACATAACATAACATAATATAACATAACATAACATAACATAACATGTAGGAGCAGGAGTAGACCATTCAGCCCTTCGAGCCTGCCCCGCAAGTCAATCATGGCTGATCTTCTAATCTAACTCCAGCTAATAACCTGGCCCTGCCTTATCCCCATATCCCTTAATCCCTTTTGCAATAACAAAATTATAATAACAAATATGACAAAATATAAAGATATCACTCCTCAAAGAACATTTGGTTCACGCGCAGCTCTCACACGACACACAAGCTCCTTTCTTTCCACAGTAAGAACCCTTTGTACCATCGTGAGCGCTTGATGAAATTCAGAGAACAACCACAGCTTTGATTACAGTATTATTTTTCTTGTGATGTTGTTGCCAGGTGTATTTTGCAATATTTCAGCCCTCGCATAAAGGCAGTAACAACTTATCATTCAATAACAACTTGCACTAAATTAGACCCTTCCACTTGGAGGGAACATCTTGAAGGTCATATATAGTAGGACCGTGCATTTAGTATGCTGTCCATAAACCCAAACATTGTGCTATAACATCACAAGAGCACAATGACTGTGTCACTTCCTATGCGTGCCCACTTTCCACACTACAAAAATGGGCAACTTCTATGTAACTGCTTCCTGCATGGATCATGCACGCACATTGGGCAAGAAGTGCATCAGCAGCAACCCAATGACCCGTAACTTGGACATTATTAGCTTCTGAGGACATGAGCTGGAGCGTTCTGGAGGATCTGCAGTTTGTGTAGAGAGGAACTGGGGAGTCCGGGAGCAGGGCATTCGAATAGTCTAGTCTGGCGAAGGTGTGAATGAGGGTCTCAGTAGCTCCAATCGAGAGGTAATAGTGGAGGTGGGCAATGTTGCGGAGGTAAAGGAAAGTCGAGCGAGTGAGAGCCCAGATGTAGGGTTTGAAGGACTGCCTAGGGGGTTACCAGAACACCGAGGTTCCGCCCTGGCTCCGTGAGATGGAGCTTGACATGACAAGCATAAACAGCTCCCACCAGAACAATATCATTAAGTGTCTGGCTGATCTCATTATATAACTAGCGGGAGGAATAAATGCAACACCCAGAACTCAAACAAAGAAAAGTTTATGATACAAAAGGAATTTTATTGCTTAATGAGCGAAGTGAAATCATGTTTGCAGGGGAGTGGCGAAGACCTTGATAAATTTGGACATTTCCAAATGTTTATTGCTGACAGAAAATAGAATGGAGTAACATTATTTCTTAAACTTTTGCCAGATTTGCATTCCTCAATGACATAAGGATGAAATGTCCTGAAAAATAGTTAAACGAAGTTTAGACTGATCCACCAAGCCTAAAGAATGAATAATGAGAATTAGTGGTGTATGGAGTTATTGAAAATACTGACAATATCAGCAGATCCGTAAAACAGAGGTAAAGCTAAGGGTCAACAGAAATAATGCAAAAATAATTCAACAATGCAAAGGTAAAGATTGATTGGGAAGGACAACAAAGGACATATATCATAGCAGAAATGGGAGACAGCAGATGCAAGATGGGTAGAAATTACTTGTGGTAAAGCTAAGAATAATACGTAACACTTATCAACTAGTCAAGGTGAACAGTAGGCGAAAAGTATCATAATGTGATAATCATAGATAATTCCGTCTCCACTACGTGATAAGGCACTGTATCAAATGCAAGGATAATTATTACTATAATTGGTGTGTACGACTTTAAAGAGCGAAGGGTTAAGTGGAAAATCAAAACAAACTGTAAAGTGACAAAACATTTTTTTTAATTAAAAAAAACTACTTTTAAGGGTGATGGAAAGACAGCAGATGGTTTGAAATTTACCTAAGAGAGAATTATTATTATTATTATTATTATTAGTAGATAGTAAAGTTTAAAGGCTATATTTCGGTAGATCTAGAATGGAGAACTAAGAATTGGCAAATGTGTTAAATGTATTCTTTACGCCAGTCATCACCAACAAAGATTGTAATCGAAGTCCAAAGACAGTCCATATGTCTCAAGAATCTATTACTAACGTAGATGTCAGTAAAACGTGTGAAATATAATTAGAAACTCAAAGCAAAAATATTAACAAGCCACCTGGACCAGAGAGAATACATCCTACAATTCATAGGGAAATTAATGAGCAAATATGCGATGCTCTTCAATATAAAGACAACTAATGTCATTCTAATATTCAAAAATAAATAGTAATGCAAAACATATTCCTTGCATTTGATGTAGCACCCTATCAATTTCACTATGAAGTGCAGTGACAATGTATGTATTTGTAGGCAAAATGGCAGAATAATCAGGATTAAATATTTCTACTCTCAATTATTTAATGCTCCTTATTTTTTCAATAATGAAATGAAACAATTGGGAAAATGTAATTGCCAAACCTCAAGTATAGCTGGAATGTTTGCCACTTCTTTAGTTTTGGTTCAATGAAGAACGAAAATCTAAATTATTGCTAATATTTTAATAACTTTTATGTAACACATAGTTAGAAACAGGCTTACTCTGAATAATTATTCCAAAGTAAACTGTTTTGACTGCTGACTCAACCGAATCATACTTCCTTCCTTTCTTTAAATCTTTATGAATAAAAATACAAGGTGCAAATTATAAAGTCGAAACCTAAGGCAAGTTTCCTTCCTCCACACACACACACACGTCTCTGTTTACCTAGCAATAAGTAGAAACCCGCTTGTTAGTCGATTGGCGGATCACTTTTCCGGGGGTAATAATCCCTTCAAAAAAATATACAGTCATTTGGTCAATCAATCCACGACTGTTTGTGGAACACTGCTGTGCGCAGTTGGCTGCCACATTTCAACCACGAAATACACAGTCACTCCACTTTACAGTATATTCTGTGAAATGCTTTGAGACGTCTCGAAGGCGTGATAAGGTGCTGTATCAAATACAAGGATTATTATTATTATTATAAATAAAAACTTTCTCCAAAGTTTAAATGTGTGTTTCCTTACATTAAAAATTGATTGATATTATTTTGATGAAGCCTTTTTTTTAAAAAAATCAATCTTGTTCTTGCAAATAGCATGTCTAGAATTAAAAGACAAAAAAAGTAACTCTCAAGGGGTCTATTTGTCACTGTTTGAAATCAGTGGGAGCAGAGTAGACCAGATCAGAAACTTGTGGAAATATTAACAAGTCATATTTCAGGAATTTTGCTCTGCAATCTCCGACGGTCCTACTCCCCTACTCATTCCATCCGCTCTGATTACACAGACTTGCTCTACCCCCCCCCCCCCCACGCCATCTGCAGGCAAGCCTTTCAGCCACTCTATCCTCACTCTCTGGACACTCTCTAAATCTTTCTGCATTCACTAATCTTTCAGAATCATTCTCATAGCCTAGCTTTGACTATACATCTTCAGTCAACAACAGTAACTTGGCATTTATACAGCGCCCTTCACTCGGGGGAGAGTCTCCTACTCTCTTATCTTTCACCCTGCAAGGGCTCCCGCTCGATGCGAAAGACTCTGTACAAGTGCTAGTTGTTGGATTAATTATTACAATAAGACGATTAGTGGGAATCAATTTATTGTGTATGTTTGTCTTTTGGTCTGACACATGCCGAAATCTATCATAATGCCTTAAGAATATCTAAAACAGACTGATTGTTCCACCAAAATTTGTCATCTGCCCATAGCAATTTTTCTGTATCTGGAATGAAATGAACACTCTCTTCCTGGAAGGACACACCCTGCATACCTAATACCAGTATGTACTTGGTGCCGGTTGGCAAGTACGGGTTGGGTTGGGGTACTGCTGGAGTTTAAATCGGCTAAAACTACATCGCTTGCCATTGAGGGCAGTGTCCCGCTGTTTGTCCGGTTAGGACCACCGTGCCCATTAGGGTATTAAGCTTGCTTAGGAGTCCTGTAGCTCAGTGGTTAGAGCACTCGCTTTGCAAGCAAGAGACCTGAGTTCAATTCCAGGCAGAGGGCGAAACCTTGAGCAAGTTTCCTTACTCCACACAGAGCCTAATAATAATCCCTCCAAAACCAAAAACAATAATAAAATTGGTCATTTTCAATCTACGACTGTTTGTGGGACATTGCTGTGCGCAATTGGCTGCTGCGTTCGCCCACAAATTTACAGTCAATTCACTTTACAGTGTGTTCTGTGAAGCGCTTTGGGACGTCCTTCCGATGTGAAAAGCGCTATATCAAATGCAAGGATTATTATTATTATTATTATTATTATTATTGCTGGGTTAACAGGAACCGAGTGGGAGGAATCCTTAAGCCCCCCTCCGCCCCGCGCCCAGTGCCTACTCTGCCCTTCCAGGTCTCGTCAACAAGGCAGGGTGGCTAGTCTGTCATCTGCAGTGCCTTGGAATACAGCGGACCTGCCTGAAAGCCCAGACCACCCAACGATTAACGCTTCCGACATCCCATTGGCGAGCACGTCTCCTCGGACGAAACTCGACTCCAAGGGAGATCCTGTAGGCTCTCTTTCCCCGCGCGTCTGCACTAACTTATTACTGGTACCGAAACCAACCCAACATCTGCGGCGTGGCTTCAGGACTGAGAGCGGCATTGAAGGAAACGAGAAGAAAAACCTTTGCCCCTGAGAAATAGGTTTTTTGTCGTCGTTTCTCATGGCTTTTTTGCGCGTGTGTTGGTTTTGTCTATTGACACAGCCGGAAGCAGAGCGGTGAGTGTTCTCCATCCGTCAAGACACAGTCAGACTCTTTTTTGCTGATACCAGGTCTTGTGAAATCCAGATGGCTCCTGATTCCAGATAACTGGCCAGTGGCTCAAGGTGTGTTGAGATCCTTTCTCTCTCTCTCTCTCTCTTGATTCTATTCCATTGGAGGTGGTATCATTTTGAGACACCACCTTCTGCCCCAAGTCTCCTTTACCATTGGTCGTCCCCAAAGACAGAAGGAGGTGGGTGGGTGTGTGTGTGTGTCAGATCCTTTTGCTCCTTATTAATCTGTGTGAGTGAGTGTTAATAAGGGAGTCAGAGAGCCACAGTGAGTGGCAGTGGTGAGTGAGTTTGCAGCTGCTGATCAGTTCTGCCAAAGCTCAGTAGAGGCGTTCAACACAGACACAGACACACACACACACACAGACACCAGAGGGTCTCAGAGAGAATTATTCATTGACTGACTGGTGGGGCATCCAACTCAACTCCATCCACACCACACCATGGGTCGGGTCTCCGACTGTGCCATCCTTTTGGGGTTTGCCATGGTTTGTCTTCATGGGGGAGCAGTGTCAGGTAAGTCCCTGTGGCTGTGGCTGTGTCTGTGTCTGTGCTGTGGCTCTGGTTGTGTCTGCGCTGTGTCTGTGGCTCTGGTTGTGTCTGCGCTGTGTCTGTGGCTCTGGTTGTGTCTGCGCTGTGTCTGTGGCTCTGGTTGTGTCTGCGCTGTGTCTGTGCTGTGGCTCTGGTTGTGTCTGTGTCTGTGACTGTGTCTGTGCTGTGGCTCTGGTTGTGTCTGTGTCTGTGTCTGTGACTGTGTCTGTGTCTGTGTCGACCTGAGAATTGGTGAATTCCGTTTTTATTTCGTGGACAGAAATAGGTCGAAATACTGCGATAAATACGAAAGAGGAAACTCGCAAACACTGGGAATCACAGTCGCCTTCGTCACTTGTACTTATGAAATACAGATTGCAGGAACTTTACTCCACAGACAACTCTCTCTCTCTCACACACACACAGAGACACACAGACAGACAGACAGACAGACAGACAGACACACACACAGACACACAGACAGACACAGACGGACAGAGACAGACACACACAGAGAGACACACAGACAGACAGACACACACACACACACAGACAGACAGACACACACACACACACAGACACACAGACAGACAGACACACACACACACAGAGACACACAGACACAGAGAGACAGACACACAGACACACACAAAGACACACAGATAGACACACACACACAGAGACACAGAGACAGACACACACACAGAGACAGACACACACACAGAGACAGACACACACACAGAGACAGACAGACAGACTCCCAAAAGAAAAGAACTTAGTATAACACTGGATCCTTAAGATGTACGTGAGATTGATAGTAGTGCTGTGAGGTTGGACAGACAGGGACTGAGGTGTGAACCTTGAAGGTGTAATTTGTACTGAATCAGTCACTTCCTCTTCAGATTAAATAATTTTTATTCCTATTATTATTGTAAAGTCCTCCCCCCACAACCCCCCCCCCCCCCCCACACACACACACACACACAGGGCGAGGACATTCATCTGAAAATATTTCTTCTTCTGCAATAGTTGAAGCTACAAATAAACAAATGCAAGTTGTTGTTGTTGTTGTTGCTGCTGCTGGGACTGATGGCCAAAGGTGTGCACAGTGTCTGTCTGTCTGTCTCCACAGCCCTGTGAGAGGTTCCCCAGAGACTCAGTGCTTGTTCTCTCCTTTGGGTCTGTAGGTTTGCTGTCTGCAGCCACCAATGTAACCTGGAAGTCCATCCTCTTCCGAACCGAATTGCGCTGGGATCCACCTCTCGCTGATTTCGTCTACACAGTGCGAGTGAAAGGGTGAGTAGCCACCCAGCCAGCCAGCCAGTTTGGGCGACCATTTATTCTCTGTGTAAGTCGCCCACCGATTTAAACTCGAGAGGCATAACCCGCAGGGAGGGTACTAACTGCAGGTTTAAAGTTGCAGATGATTTTCCCCTTCTCCTGGCCAGAGAGAAAGATTGCACAAGTTTCCTTGCTCCACACACCTCTGTTTGCTTAGCAGTAAAGTAGGAACCTGGCAACTAGTCAATCGGCTCCGGGATAGTAATAAAAAAAATTATAATTTGGTCACTCGATCCACTGCTGTTTGTGGGACGCTGCTGTGCGCAATTAGCTTCCGCCTTTCACCCACAAGACGTACAGTCAATTCACTTTACAGTATGTCCTGTGAAGTGCTTTGAGACATCTCGAAGACGTGATAAGGCGCTGTATCAAATGCAAGAATTATTATTATTATTACCTAACAGGGAGGGTGTCTTATGAGTTTTATCGATCGGATCGTGTATTATTATTGTGTGACACTTCGATTGCACCAACTAGTCTGTGGTTAAAGTCGGTTGCAAACATCTGAAATACACGCACACACATATATATATATATTGATTTATATTTAATAATAATCGTATTGCTATATTTAATAATAATCAATTTAAGAATCGATAATATGGGCTCCTACAGGAATATATCTGAAACACATATCCATATAAAGTATATTATTGGATGCTATATTTTTTACCTAAAAATCTGCCATGCTCAACTGCCCCTTCTCCGGCTCAGAATCATGCTCAGCCACAGTCAAGCACTCTGCCACACTACCTCCGTGAGGAGCCCTATATAAATCTAAGTTGTTGTTAAATGAAGGTGGGGCTGTTAATGTTCACCTGTGACAAAGGAATTGGTTCAAGAGAGGTTGAAAGAGAGATTAATCCACATACATGGACTGAGATCGTACCAAGAGGTTGAGGGTAATTTGTATGAAGTTGTCTTAACAATCTTTGGGGCATCGCACAGATCATGCAGGAGCCACATGCTCTAAGGAGCAAAATCTCTTTGTTTTTTACATGTTTCTGGGTCTGTTGATTAGCAGCAGAGACAAGTTATAGGCGCACGGATTGTTTCCCCTCAGCAGTTTACAATCCTTTCCTGCATACTGTGCATAATGGGAACCACATGTGCCATTTGACAAGCAAGTAGTGTTTGGAAATGTTTGCAATTCAGCGTGAAAGCAAATGAACTCACAAGGAGTGTTAGTCGTTGTAGTAATAATAATAAAATAACAACCCTTGCATTTTTTTTAATCCTTGCATTTGATACAAGGCACAATATCAAATTCTATTAATATAAATTATTGTAGCGTCTAATGTCGAACGATATAATTCACATGATGTTCACCGATTGCTTTGAGTGCATATAAAATTAATATAAGTTCAACACTTTCAACAACAATTAGCCAACAAAATGGTTACATTTTGTTCATGGGTGCAATCTAAAACAATTAAGCAATGTACTATGTTTCAGATGCTTGCAAACGATTTTTTCACGACAGAATAGTTGGTGCAATCGAAGTGTCATACGATGAGGCGATAGTGTTTATTGCAAAAGACTGCCAAGGACTATGGAAGGGAGAATGACTGTATTAATTTCTTCATATGTGTCCTAGACATCAATGAGGGAGGGAAGAAGAGGCGGACAAACAAAAGTATGTTGTAGATCTCAATTTGTTCTTCATGCTTCAGCAGATAGAAAATTGCACTGTTTGTTCAGAACAGACTGAAAATAATCACTCAGGAATGCCAGAGGCTACCATGTATAAAACAGTGTCATAGATCATTTAAAAAACTAGTAGGAACCCATTCGTCAGTCAATTCCAGAGGTAATTGTTTATGCCAGGTGTGGTTAGCAAGTGGTCTTGTCTTGTCTTCTTGCTACCTAAGAACGTGGTTGCTGTGAGGGCAGTGGTTTCTATACTATAACAAATTCACACACCCAGGAGTTCACGTTGTGTGAACCCGCCATCTTTGGATACAAAGGGCAATCGTTATCATTATTAATTGGAGACCCCGCTCCAATAAAACCCACTTTCAGAGTAACATTTCTGAAGACGTACTTACAGTTACCTGAAAATTGTGAAAATCATTAAAGTTCAAAAAAGTATTTGGATCATGGGTTTGAGTTTCTTACTGTGCAGTGAGTGTGATTCAATAAAAAAGATACTCAGTTTATTAATTTCAGTGAACTGTATACATTAATGTTTTTCTAAGTTGGAGACACTAACCATAGAACCTATATTCTGTAGCTCAGTGGTTAGAGCACTCGCTTTGCAAGTGAGAGACCTGAGTTCAATCCCAGGCAGGTCAGGGCGAAACCTTGGGCAAGTTTCCTTACTCCACACAGAGCCTAATAATAATCCCTCCAAAACCAAAAACAATAATAAATTGGTCATTTTCAATCTACGACTGTTTGTGGGACATTGCTGTGCGCAATTGGCTGCCGCGTTCGCCCACAAACATACAGTCAATTCACTTTACAGTGTGTTCTGTGAAGCGCTTTGGGACGTCCTCCCGACGTGAAAAGCACTATATCAAATGCAAGGATTATTATTATTATTATAGTTAAAATTGTTTGCAATCATCTGAAGCACAGAATGGGGTTTAATTGGTTTAGACAGTGCCCAACTAACAACATTTAACAAATAATATATTTTCTGGGTGTAGATCGACAGCTTGAAATTTCCATGCTTAAGTGTATTCCTCTGGAAAAGGAGCGGTAGCTTCTGGCAATTGAAATCAGAAAACCAACCTTTCTACCTTCTTTGGCAACGCAGCCTTATAGACAGAAGTCACCTTGGGCAAGTTTCATATGTGGTGCAGTGCTCAAGTAGGAGTAATGAAAAAGAGCTGATTTTACCTCGTTTCTTTTTGTGATTTATAGCTGAACGGCAGCAAAGAATCAAATAAAACCTCTTAAACTGCAAATTTAAATGTAAGTGTAAACGGTCCTGATCCAAGTTTAATCGTAAAATAACTCAATATATTTTGGTTCCTCAACTCATAGTTATTTATTTTCCAGAACATTATTTGTTTTGTTGATTGAGTCATTCATTTAGGTTTTGTCTGCCTTCTGATTCAGGTATCTGTAAAGGAACCTTCTTTGTCATTACTTCAAAGAAAAGAGTTTTCCTCCCAGTTAATTTGATCTCTTCGGCCGTGCCTATGATCACCTTTCCCCTCCCCTTGGCTCGGCATTGGGCTCCGCCATTATTGTCTCCCCCACCACCCCGCGCAGGTCATCTCCTCCAACCTTCACTGTGAGGAGATGCTGGATTAACTTGAATCCAAAATCAAGGGAATCCGCAACACGGTCACTTCCCCTCCAACCTCCACCCACCCCCCACCCCCCACCCCCTCCCTCCCACACTCCGACTCCTACCCATCCTCCCCTGCACACCTTCGAACCCGTTTCCCCACCCTTTGTCACCAAACTCATCATATCCCTGAAACCCACCACCTGCTCCCTTGACCCCATCCCCACTCCACTCCTTATCTCCCAGCTCCACCTCCTTGCCCCACGTATCACAGACATCGTCAACCTGTCCCTCTCCTCTGGCTCTGTTCCCATTCCCTTAAAAACTGCCACCATCACTCCCACCTTGAAAAAACCCTCCCTTGATGCGTCGCAGCTATCAAGCTACCGGCCCATCTCCAACCTCCCCTTCCTGTCCAAGGTCCTTGAAAGAGTTGTCGCCTCCCAGCTGCGCTCTTTCCTCTCCACCCATTCATTATTCGAACCCCTTCAGTCGGGTTTCCGTGCTGCCCATAGCACAGAAACTGCCCTGGTCAAGGTCACCAATGACATCCTGACCATCTGCGACCAGGGCTCCCTCTGCCTCCTCGTCCTCCTCGACCTATCGGCAGCATTCGATACGGTCGACCACACTATCCTCCTCCACCGCTTGTCCTCCCACCTCAACCTTCAAGGCCCTGTCCTTGAGTGGTTTAGGTCGTACCTCTCCCACCGTCTTCACTTTGTTTCCATGAACGGCTTTTCCTCCACCCCCCGCACTGTCTCGTGCGGTGTCCCTCAGGGCTCTGTCCTCGGTCCCCTCCTCTTCACCCTCTATATGCTCCCCCTGTGGTGACATCATCCGCAGACATGGGGTTAACTTCCACATGTATGCGGATGACACCCAACTCTACCTTTCCTCCTCTACCCTCAACTCCACGACCCCCGATGTCCTGACAGCTGCCTGTCCGACATCGAGTCCTGGACGAGAGACAACTTTCTTCAGCTCAACGTGCGTAAAACTGAGGCCCTCCTGATTGGCTCACGTCAGCGCCTCCGCACCTCAGGCGCTGACAGCATCAGCATCCAAGGCTGCACTCTCCACCTCTCAAAGCCAGTCAGGAACCTCGGGGTTCTGTTCGACCCTGAGCTGTCCTTTCTCCCTCATATCCGCGCCACAACTGGCACCGCCTTCCATCACCTCCGGAACATCGCCAGACTACGGCACTACCTCACCCCTCACGCTGCTGAAACTCTGGTCCACGCCTTTATCACCTCAAGGCTGGACTATGGGAACTCTCTCCTCGCCGGCCTTCCCGGCCCTCCCTCCACAAGCTGCAGGTCATTCAGAACTCTGCAGCTCGTGTACTGTCCCGCACCAGGCTTCGGGACCACATCACTCCCACCCTCGCTCGCCTCCACTGGCTCCCCATCCCCCAGAGGATCGAATTCAAGATCCTCATCCTCACCTACAAGGCCATTCACGGCCTTGCTCCCTCCTACCTCTCCGACCTACTATCCCCCTACCTACCTGCCCGTACCCTCCGTTCCTCTGGCTCCGGTCTGCTCCACATCCCCCGCCCCAACCGCCCTACCATCGGTGGCCTTCAGCCTCTCAGCCCCGAGGCTCTGGAACTCTATCCCCCAGTGCCTTCGCCGCTTCCTCCCTTTCCTCCTTCAAGGCCGGTCTCAAGACCTTTCTCTTTGACCGTGCCTTCAGCTCCCCTCTCGACTCTCTACCCCCTCCTCGCTCCCTCCCTTCCCTCCCCTCCCCTGACCATTTCCCCCCTGCTCGGGTCCTGACCCAACTGTACAGCGCCTTGGGACGTCCTCCCGACGTGAAAGGCGCTCAATAAATGGAATCTTGTTGTTGTTGTTGTAAGCGCTCTGGAATGCTGCCCGGCGTGGAGAGCAGTATATAAAAGCAAGTTGTTTTTCTTGTTATTCCCGCTTCACCCAAACGTACCCCAAAAATTCAAATGAATTCGCTCATCTTCCCAAGTTCACCATCCACAAGCTCCAGCTGACAGAAAACGCCACTGTCTGTATCCTCGTCCACACCAAACTCCGCACACCCATCTCCCCAATACCCCCAATGTTCCACCAGTTTCTGTCTCTGAATGAATCAACTCATTCTCATTTACAAAAACCTTTCACGCCCTAACACCTCTCTACTCTCTGATCTGCTGCGCATCCCGCCACCGGTCCATGCCTCCATCAGTGACCGAGGCTTCAGTCACTACGGCCCAATCTCTGGAAATCCTGCCTCAGTCTCAAACCTCTTTATCTTTTTTTAAAAGTTACCTGAAAACCTACCTCACTGACCATTCCTAGGATCATCTCCTCTTTTCCCTTCCTCAATGCCTATCCCCAGCCCCATACAGCACTCCGAGATGTTATCCTGCAAAATGAATGTTATAGAGGCAAGTTGTTGTTGTTGCTCATCTAAATGTTTTTGTAGGATGTCACCAAGTACCAATAAAATGTTGCGTCTGTTTACCAACAACATTCACATGAGATTCATTACAGAACATTGTAACGAATCTCATTATGTGACGCGCTTCAAGGCATTCCTTTATTTATTATCCTGAAAAGAAATTAAAACTTCGGTTTATTTTTTCAGCAAAAGGACGGACTGGAAAAAGAAGCCTGAATGCACGCGGGCGAAAATCACACGTTGTGACATAACAAGCCTGCTGGAGAATGTGACCGACACGTACAACATTGAAATCATGACCTACAGTCAGGAAAGCACAGATGAACCAGAAGAGGCTCCTCATGCTGAGGCATTGCCAATCACTCCTTACAAAGACAGTGAGTATCAATAGCATTCCTAGCGCATTTGAGGCACAGCGCCTCAAAGATCATTTCATTCTTCCTGCTATCTTTTTCTCTTCTGCTTCTGCTGGTTTACCCGGTTCCAGGCACGAGAGCTAAGCCCCCTTTAAGCGGTGAATTTTGTTTTTAAATTGTTACAAATGATTATATCCTTGGTTCTGTTGATTTCCGTGTCTCACTTAGTTCCACGAAGCACTGTCTTTGATCTATTGCTTCAACCCATCTTCTTCTGTTGCTTCTCATCAGGTACTGTAAGCCTAGCCAGCGCATTTATACACTGGCACTCATTCCTTTGTCATGTTGTCTGCACAATGATGTCCACATTTTTGGGGCATGAATGATACAACATGATGACAGGCCATTTAGCCCAATCTATCCTGTTAAGCATGTTTAAGTACAGGTGAACAGGTGCACTTAATTATCTCATTTTATTCTTAAATATAAAGGTCATTTTCATTTTTAAAGTATAATTATTTTTAATAGATCTAAATTTAAAAGCCCCAGAAGATGAATTGCAAAGATGAATGGAGTGAGCTACATTTACAGCAATTATGCCTGCTTTACCAATACAATACATATTTACATTTATATACAGTAATGCCTTTCACCTTTCACGTTGGGAGGATGTCTCAAGGCACTAAACAATATTGACTTGGCACTGGACCTAGTGGTGGGAGCCGAGTGGGGTGGAAGTGGATTAAAATCATAACCTTATGTATTATTATATATTTTGCATTTTATAACATTTATACAATTCAAGTATTAAAATAGTGAATGAAGAAAATAATTAACAAACACTCTTGTTGGTGTTTCTTTATGTTCCAGCTGAATTCGGACAAGCAGACTTTGAAATTATCTTGATCAATAAGACTAAAGTTCAGGTGTCTATAAAAGATCAATTGACATTCATCAGATTTCCGGACGGCACATTAAAAACATTACGTGACATCTATGGAGCTACACTGCTACACGACTTAATCTATTTCAAAGATGGCACCAGTGGCAAGGTATATTAATGTGAAACATGAAAATAATTATACTTCCTTTGTATTTATTATAATAAAAAAAGTGGAGAATATCTTCTTGAGTTAAAATAACAATATTTTAAAAATTTCCTTTTACAGAAAACTATCACTACTAATAGTCAAAAGATACTAATTGATGTCGAAGAAGATTTCAAATACTGCTTCAACATCCTTCCCCGTGTTATATCACCATATATCAAAGGCCCAAGCAGTGCAAACAAGTGCACAACGAATCAAATAAGTATATTGGGAGGTATTTGCTTTTTAATATTCTCTATTTTAATACACTATTTTACAATGAAGTACAGTTTAAAATTGCACATCTAGTACATCGTGTTAATGTTGCTTTGATTTTTGTCCTAGAATACAACGTGGGTGTGTTTGCAGCGGTGATAATAGGGATACTAGTGCTTGTCATTATCGTGGTGGTGATAGCTGTGGTTTTGAACAAGAAGAAACAGGTCAAGGAAGAATCAGAAATGTACCATTTGAAGCCGGTCTGAAGATGGTTTTAGAGGATTTTCTTCTTTCGATACTGACTTGCTCCCAAAGTGCTGGGCGAGGATTCTGAAAAATGTGCTTGCTGTAAAATACAAGGTGACCAACGACTCTATACGGGCACTTCACAGCCAGAGCTTATACGGTCCATTATAAGATAGTGGAAAGAAAGAGATATTTCTATGAAACACTGAGATTGCCCAGAGACAAAACAAATGAGCAACATTCTCCATGGAATGGGGCACTAATTAGAAAAGCTTTTATTAATTGCTGATGCGCTTTTAATTTTTTCTACTATTGGTGTTGGGGTTTTCTGATCGGTTGTACTGTTTAACACTAAAATGCAGAAAGACAAAAGTAATCTATTTATTTAATAACTAAGCCTTCAATATTTATCCTACCTATCATGCTGCACCTTAAAGAACCTTTTGTATATTGGTGTTTACGTCTAGGTGTCCTCTGAAAGGGGAAAATGTATTTTTTTAATGAGAATTTTTAATGATTTTTTTTAATTAAAAATAAAGATGGCATTTACTAAATAAAGGTAAATGGGAACATGAAAAAAAATGTGCGTTTTCCTCTTTATATACACTTAACAGAGTATGGTCGTTTTAGCCTTTCTGTGTTTTTCTGGGGGTGGGTGGGGGACAGTTTTACTGCACTATTTATGTGTTGCCAAATTCCTTTAGCTTCAGCTTTCTTGGCATTTTCTTTCATTTCACAATGGTACAACCATACCAACTGTGCCACTCTTTAAAGTTAAAATTACAGCCCAGTAATTCAGCCCCAAGGGTCTGGTGTTCACACATTGCATTCCATTCAGCTTCTTATCGAAATCTCCGGTTTATCATTTTTCGCCCTTTTTTTATTATAATGGGATCTTCTGAGGCAGGACTGAGCTCCCAGATCAATTACTGTGGTCAACTCAATTCTATTTAGGGCCACTGCTTTGTCCCTGGCTTGTCATCAATCCCGTGATTTTAATGGCATTTTTTCTCCAAAAAAATCCTTTGAGATCCAGACAGCTCTTTATCCAATTTTCCAGCAGCAGAGTTGGAGCTGAGAGTTGACTCAGGATTGACGAAGGAGCCAAGAACTGAGTTGTAAAATCCATATTGAGTTGAGTCAGGATTGACGAAAGAGCCAAGAGCTGAGTTGTAGAATCAATTTGAACTGCACTGTTCAGAGTAAACTCATGATCATGATTGACACAATCATCACAATAAGGGGTCAAAGTTGCAATGTTCAACTCTGTGTTTGTTGTGCGTTCACACAAGGAATACGTCATGAAACCTCAAATATTTTAACTATTTATATTTTGGAATTTTTACTATGTCGTTACATGAGGCACGTAATAGAAACTATTCAGGCCACAGACAGTGACGAAATTTGGTAAAAATAAAACAGTCTTGGAAAATAAATATCATCATAATATTCAGGCTATGGGTTTCCGAGGGCATGATGGTGCATTAAATCTTACACTATTTAATTGTAGATGATTTTACTGTTTATTTTAATATTCTGCGCCAGATCCCATGAGTTCATAGAACCACAGAATCTAAATCAATAAGCAGAAGTTTTGGTTGCCTCTCATACAATGGTGATCTGCATACAGGCTGCCTAAACCTTAGTGATGCTAAATTGAGTTTGGGAAAGAGGTTACAGAGGTTTTTCGAGGCTCTGGGATCTAAAATTCCAGGTCTCAGTCTCACATTGTACAATAGTTCCTCGGTACAAGTACTTAGTATTCTGTATTCAGTATTTTATCTACAAATAAACTCCAAATATGGACTCATATCAGTGATTACATTCATTTCCTGGTCAAAGATCATGGCCCTTGTGCAGAGTATGGTTTTTTTTAGCCTTTGTGGGGTAGATGGGTTACTGGAACAGATTAGGATGGTCAGTCTCTTCAATGATTCTATTTTGAAAGCATTTCAATGGTATGCGCTCCATATACCAAAACTTCTCTATGGGAACTGAATTTTATGAGTAAAAGCAATGTAAAAAAAAGGTACCTCCCAATCGCTCAGAAATGCCTGCCCGTATCTTTGTTTAAAAGCCCTGCTTGTGTAGCGGTTATCTGGATGGCTCTGACACCATCTATGCCAGGAATTCCTGACAACTATGTGCCTTTGATAAATCATTGGTAAAGGTCCTAGTGTGTACACATTCAGCACCTTTTCCGTGTGGGACTTCCAACAAGATAACTTTAGCAGCTTTTTAGGTTGGATATTATTCAGAAGTTGACGAGACGATTTAGCCGTTATTTTAAAGGTTGTATTAATTAAAGCCAAACTTCCGTCAGTCACAGGGAGACTTGAGTTGCCTTCTGCTGGCAACTGAACATTTATCAATGTAACTAAATATGTCTTTGTTATTATAACAATAATCCTTGCATTTGATATAATTTGAAATATTTGATATATATTTGGATATATATATATTTTATCACGTCATTGAGATTTCTCAAAGTGCTTCGCGGGATATACTGTAAAGTGAATTGACTGTATATTTTGCGGGCAAAATGCGGCAGCCAATTGCGCGCAGCACAATTGGAACAATGATTTTATTACATTACTTATATTCCATACTTACCAAGAAAAGATATGAACACATACTTGTAGCATAAATTGGAACTTACCTAACCCATGAGTTCAGTCTTAAATGTATGAGAAGTTCCAATGGTTTATAGCAACTGTATTTTGTGAACCCTGAGAGAGTCTCCTGGCCTATCTTTAACCCATTTGTAGAGCACTCTTATGCTTCTTAAAATCCAGTCAGCAGTCTTCACCAAATTCAAATACCAGTTGACCTAATAGCTAAGATCATGGCCAAGTCACAAAATCACACAAGATTAATTTGGATGAAGGAAGCCTCATTTTGAGCTCATCCTAGAATAATAATAATAATAATCCTTGCATTTGATATAGCGCTTTTTACGTCTTGTAGACGTCCCAAAGTGCTTCACAGAATATACTGTAAAGTGAATTGACTGTATATTTGTGGGCGAACGTGGCAGACAATTGTTTTTTTGGAGGGATTATTATTAGGCTCTGTGTGGAGTAAGGAAACTTGCCCGAATACCCACCCTACCGTTCCTCCCATCACAGCATCAAGCTTTATTTAAAAAATAAGTCCAGTGTCCTGGCTTCAGCCACCCTTCCTAGTAATCCGCTCCAGTCATGGAAAGAAGTTGCATATTAAAACCTCCAGGTAGCATAGCCAGTGATGACAAAATCCATCAGCAGGATTTTAGGTCACTTTATGATATGCTTCAAACTTATTGGCACCTGCAAAATTGTACTTCAGCAAAAGTCATCACAGAAGAACAGGAATACAAGAAGATTTGAGAGGAAAATGTGTATTGAAAGCTGAAGTATCAAAATCCTCTCCCCTCTCCCCTCTCCAATGTATTCATTTCAAGCATGGAATCGGGGTTCTCTCTGAATCAATATGAGTTTTGGAAGCAAATTTTATTTTTCATGCGCTCTGTTTAGGAATGTACGGGCAGAATGACTCAGAAAAACAGTTCCGAGAAATAATTATTCAACAAAGAGACAGTAGATCACTGTGAGGGCTTGTTAAAGGCTGCCGTTCTGTAGCTCAGTGGTTAGAACGCTCACCTCGCAAGTGAGAGGCCTGGGTCCATTCCTGGCAGGGCAAAACCTTGGGCAGGTTTCGTTACTCCACACACATGATAATAATTCCTCATGAAGGAAACAATGATAAATTGGTCACTTCAATCCACAACTGTTTGTGGGACACTGCTGTGCGCAATTGGCTGCCACGTTTTGCCCACAAATACACAGTCAATTCACTTTACAGTATATTTTTTTATGTTGGAGAAAATCTCCCCAGACCCCAGCAAGTCACTGAACTTCCATGTTACACAACTTTGGTTACTTACATCTCACTTCCTCTCCACACTGAATGAAGGCACAATATTTTACCATTAGTCATTTGGGTTAATGTGCGCCTCAGAATGGGATTCCGTTTAAGATCCTGCACCAGACTCTGGATATTCCCAGTGAAACTTGAACCATGAATTAATTGCTGAATGCAGAATGGAAACACCTTCTAGGGTAGACCACAGCTCAATCTGCAATTCCAAATGCAACAATTACATCGGTTATTAAGGGTCATGTTAATAGTCCCTCATATGAGCTGAAGTAAAAGCCACATCAGGTATCTCTGGAATGTTGCTCTACTGTTGCAATAGTCAAAAGGGTTGGGTAAGATTCCAAGCCCCAACACACAAAACACTTCAAAAAATCGTATATCACCTGGTGACAGCATCCTCCCATGACTCTTCATCCCACACCCTGTAAGTTTTCATCGTGCGCTAGTTACTGATCCAAATGTGATTCTTTCCAGGCGAACCGTGTCCCTATGTAGTCATGTACACTGATGGCTCTGCTGGAGTTGCAGAGGACGGGGCAGAATTTTTAAAATCTAAATATAAAAATATAAATTTTGAGATCCAGATTAAATCAGTTATCATTTTTAAAAGTCATTTTGCATTTTACCATTACCCGTGATAAAATATTTATATATTGTGCTGTATATATTGTACAATTTTTGGAAGGTAACCATTTCCACACGAAGCAGTAAACAAACATAATAGAGATTGAAATGTTTACTCAGAAGTGATCGCAAAATGCTGTCCTGATCTCGCTCTATGCTACCATCACGTGGTCTGTTGAGAGACTGCAGCTCCATCACAAATCCGTGCTCTCCATTCGGAACAGAATACATAAACAATAAATAATAATCCTTGCATTTTGATATAGCGCTTTTTACTTCTTCTAGACGTCTCAAACTGCTTCACAGAATATACTGTAAAGTGAGTTGACTTTGTGCATTTTTGTGGGCGGAAACATAACTAACAAATTCATGGCAATTATCGATGAAACTTCACATTTTTAAACCTATTCCTGCTAGTTCAGTCATCCTTCAAATTCCAAGGCAGTATCTTCCAGAGGGAACTATTAGACAGTACAGTATATTAATTGGCAGGGAGGGAAACTCGTTTCTAAATGCAAATTCTATAGGTAAAGATAAATGTGCCAAAAGTCCCAAACTGTAAAAATGTCTGGTGATCAGAGCCAGTGGTGCTCTTCTGATCAATCAGTGCAGTCAACAACTGATCACAAGCAAAAGTTCATTCAATAAATTGAAATAGGCATTCGATTAAATATTGTTTATTGAATAAAAATCGACAGATTTGGAAAAAAAGTTTGCAGAACATTGAATGTTTTAAATGTTCAGAACATTAGAACATTTCAAAATGAATGTCTTTTTTATGAGCTTTGAACTCAACTCATCATTGGATCTGAGCGGACATAGAGAGTGTCTTCTCTCCTGCTGTTAATTCACTGGCAGCTCCTTATGCTCAACAGTTCTCCAGTCAAAGGTATTGCAGAGGTTTAGGTACATCACTTTCCAAGGTGACATGTTGTAAATACTTGTGACATCATTTTCTTAAATGTTATTAGTTTAAAGTTTGCGTTTGGGTAACTCAGTTTGAAAAACCATCATTCCGTGTGGCTGATTGTAAGAGATCAGCATATTGTCTGCTGTGATTTTAATCGATACAAATCCACCCAATGTGCTGCAGTTTGAATTGGAGAAGTGTAACCAGTCTTTCGGAACCTTCTCCTGATGTTCTGTGGATTTGTCAATGAAGGTCCCAGTTCCACTGATGACGTACGCGATCCCCTCATCCTCCCGAATAAACTGCAAAGCAAGAGAGCGCGTTAGAATTCCCTGGTACATACGACTCCAGCTGCTCATGAACTATCCAGGTCGCTCATATACAATCAAAGCAGCACTGAGCTGCCCTCATCTGCTACCAAGCAACAGGTCGGAAAGTATTTTGCATTGCAGACACTCCTTCGTCAACTGTTCTTCAAATTGTGAATTGTTTCAATTGTTTCAAGGCAGGTCATGAACTGAGAGATCCTGAAATAATACATGCATTGTGTTCGGTTCTGCACTATCACTGATAACAACCCAGTTAAACAATACTAGCTAAAATAAATCTTATAATAATAATAATTACAAATAAATCTTAATTGTAATGTTCACTCGAAATAATAAAGACTAACACCAGAAAATCTAAAATGACACACACTGTTAGAATGGATTCCTACCTGGAGACTGTGATCGTGCCCACTGATGTAGACTGTGACATTATATTTCTTCAGAAGAGGCCTCAAGTGCTCCACAAGGCAATGAGTGGGGCCGTGATCACCTATAGACCATACTGGGTAGTGTCCAGCTACAACCAAGTAATCAGACCTGGAGCGGGAAGAGATATCCATAGAATGGTGCTTCTGTTTGTTTCATCAGTTATTTAATAGTAATAATAAACCTTGCATTTGATATCGCGCCTTATCATGTCTTTCAGACATTTCAAAGCGCTTCACAGAATATACTGTAAAGTGAATTGACTGTATATTTTGTGAGCGGCAGCCAATTGCGCACAGCAGTGTCTCGCAAACAGTTATGGATTGAGTGACAAATTCATCATTCTTATTATTATTTTTAAATACTTAAAAATATTTTTTAATATTTGACAGGTCCAAGTACAAACCGCACCTTTTTTTTCAAAAAAAGCAAATACGTATGTTATTGAAAGCATACTTGGAATTTCCCAATTTCTGTTGAATCCACTGAAGGTGCCTCTGAGCCATTTCAGGCTTCTCCGCTCCTTTTGGCTGCTTGGCATCATAGGTGTTTCCACAGATCAGGATCGTGTCAATCATCAGGATAGTGGCAGAAACATTGGTGTTTGGAATCTTGAATTTCAAATCATAATAGAAATCGGGAAATTTCCTACAATAAAAAAAATGGTGCAAAATACCACAGAGCCATCATTCAAAATATTCAATTCACCAGACACTCAATTTGCTTTACAGTATATTCTGTGAAGCGCTTTGAGATGTCTAAACAACATGATAAGGCGCTATATCAATAATAATATAATCCTTGCATTTGATATAGCCCTTTTCATGTCTTCTAGATGTCTCAAAGCTCTTCACAGAATATTCTGTAAACTGAATTGACTGTATATTCGTGGGCAAAACACGGCAGCCAATTACGCACAGCGGTGTGCCACAAACAGTCGTTGATTGAGTGACCACATTATTATTTTTTTTCTTGCGGTGTTATTATCAGACGTGTGGAGTAAGGAAACCTGTCCAAGGTTTCGCCCTACTGGGAACCAAACCCAGGTCTCTCTTGTGAGGCGAGCGCTCTAATTACTGAGCTACAGGACTCCTCAAAGCAAGGATTATTATTATTATTATTATTATTATTATTATCCCCTATCCCTTGTTGCTGCTTTCTTCCTAACACATAGGAACAGAAGAGCTTCAATTTAGAGAATCAGGTTGGTATGCTGCTAAACTTGTAAAATTGGAATATGATTTTTGTGCTCTACATTAGTTTTTTTATGCTCTGGGGTATAAATAAAATATTGTGTCCACTGCATTCTTTGTTTCAAAAGATGAACAGGACCACCTATTTGGTTGAGCTAAAAATAAATATATTTCAGCCAATTGACTTCAGTTGATCAATACAAATGGAGCTGAAATATTCGTGCAGTTTAACAGTTTAAAACTCAAACAAAGCTAATTTACACTGAGTTTATTTCAGGTCAATAGGCTGATGTGATCAAATGTCAAGTAAACTATTACGCACAATGTACGCAATGTATAAAGGAATTTTTTTTAAAAAGTATAGAATTGTCAATGAGTAAACACTGTGGGATATAATGAGATGTTCAGAAGCACTCACCATCTCTTCGAGATCTCAGAATAAGCAATCTGTGCCGACACATTACCCAAATAATCATGATTTCCTGCCAGGATGTACCAAGGAATGTTAACAAGGGATGGAGCCGTGAACACATTTTCAAATGTCTCCTATTGAAACAATTTATAAAAATCTATTGGTCAAATTTCCAGCAGCACATGGTGATTAGTCAATCTTCAATTGGCAGAATTCACAAAAGTTAGTCATGACAAAGATCGGCAAAGATTTTATGTTGTAGTAATAGAGATTTTTTTAAATATAAACTTTGTTTTCGGAAGGAAAGGAGAAAGAATCCTCATCAATATCTTCCACATACCCTTTGATGTCCTCAATCTGCTCTTAATTTACAAATTATACTTATTGGTTCAAATGTTTTCACTGGAACAGTGAAGGCTAAAACAAGATATAACAGAGCTCTTCAAAATCCTAAACAATTTTGGGCTGGTGAATGGAGTGCTTTGAGTTTGTGTCTCCGGTGTAGGATCAGTTTGTGTGATGTGATGCGGATTGCAACTCAGAGCACTTTCAGCAAATTAAGACAATCTCTGAGAGAGAAGGTCTGAACAGAGTTGAGGCATTTTAACATATGCTCACAGGGAGATCGCAGCACAACTGTAATGTAAACGCACCGATGGTAGTCACAGCATCGACTGCTTGCTGCTTGCGTTCTCTATAGATTCCTCCCACGTTTGAACAGAGAGAGTGCGCAACACTGGAGGTGATGGCAACCACTCGGAATTGTGTCAGCAACTGCCCGGCCCCAGCTGAACACAATATTGAGCGCGGTTTTGAAAATACAGCGGTACGGGTAGTTTGTTAAACACTGCAAACTAATGAAATCGCTTACTTTAAATCTGAAATCATTCACATTCTTTACACCCTGGAAGTAAAAATTGTCTCCAACGTTAAGCACAAAGTTTGTTCCTGAGCTCTGTGCCACTCTCCCCATCTCAGCTGCCGTTGCATCCAGAACTACTGTCACATACGGTGCATATGGCACTCCTCCACCATCTCCAAGTGCAATGAACTGAATGGCATTTTCTTGTGACTAAACCAGAAATCAAAACATCAGTGAATTGACACCGGAAATAAGAGATGAAGACACTGACTACTTGACAAGCGACATGTACAATTTAGAGCGAGTCGATTTTAAACACTGGAAATGACTGTAAGGCTGATGACACAGTATTATCTTTATTCAGGGACAAAGATTAAGCGCTCCGGGATGCTATCTTGTGTGAAGGGCAAGTTATTGTTGTTCGTTCCCGATCTCTGGAGGAAAAGTGCTGAACAAAGCATTGGCAGCATCTTCCTGATGGCACATATATTTAAATAGAAGATATTGCATAAATTTTGTCTGTATACCTTTGAATTTAGAAGGTTGAGGGGTGATCCAATTGAGGTTTTTAGAATAATAAAGGGATTTGATAGGGTAGATACAGAGAAACTATTTCCTCTGGTCCAGAACAAGGGGACATAATCTTAAAATTAGAGCTAGGCTATTTATGAGTGAAATCGGGAGGCAGTTTTTGAACTAAAGTGAAGTGGAAATCTGTATCTCTCTCCCCCAAAAGGCTGTGGATGCTGGATCCATTCACATTTTCAAGACTGAGGCGGATAGGTATTTCTTAGGTCAGGGTTTCAAGCGATATGGGGCAAGAGTGGGTAACTGGACTTGAGGTACAGATCAGCCATGATCTTACAGAATGGCAGAACAGGCTAAAGGGGCTGAATGGCCTACTCCTGTTTCTATGTTTCTAATTAAAATATTTATCAGGGAAGTCAAGTAATTGAGCTCCCATCGAAGCACCAGAAGTCAACATCTAAGCTTCCAGTAGAGGGTGAGCTGAACACTCTTGGCTATGATGCCTATGGGAGGGAAACTACTAGTCAGTCAAGTGAAGTGCAGCACAGATTGCTCAAACAGCTCTCTTGAAGTTCTCAGACTAACTGGCAATATAACTGCTTTGTAAGAAAAAAATGACTTGATTTCCAGCCCATTGGCTCAGCTGGTTGCTTGGTAATGTTGCTGTAAAAAAATAGGCCACTTTTACCCAATTCTGTACAATGGCTGTTTTGTTTCAATGCATTTATAACAAAACATAATAAAGCTTCCGATATCATCTCCAGTGCCACAAAGAATAGAGGTATTGTTTGCTGTTAATAGAAATGGCCTGTCTGGGGGAGAGTTTGTAAAGAGCGATTCTCCTCTGCGAAACATTTAATGCATTATTAAGCCAGAGATTATGTGAGGTTGTGCGAAATTGATTATAGCTGATGAAAGTCGAAGGCAATAAGCCTTGTCATATCATATCATACATATAATAAACACACCTTTACAGTGGTCTTTATAGTGTTCTGCACTTCATCTCCTCAAATGGCTTCTTCTCTAGCCCCCGGACCGTCTTGTGTGGCGTTCCGCAGGGCTCTGTCCTTGGTCCCCTCCTCTTCAACATCTATATGCTCCCGCTTGGTGACATCATTGCAGACATGGGGTCAACTTCCACATGTATGCGGATAAAACCCAACTCTACCTCTCTGCCTTTGACTCCAGGTCCACTGCTGTGCTGACAGAATGTCTGTCAGACATCAAGTCCTAGATGAGAACTAACTTTCTTCAGTTGAACATCAACAAGACCGAGGCTCCCCTGACTGGGTCCCGTCAGCACCTCCTCACCTCAGGCGCTGACAGTATCACCATCCATGGTTGCACACTCCACCTTGCTAAGCCAGTCCGAAACCTTGGGGTCTTGTTCAACCCTCAACTATCCTTTCTACCCCACATTCGCAGCATGGCCCGCTCTGCCTTCCCCCACCTCCACAACATCACCCAGCTCCGACACTGTCTCATACCACAGGCCGCCGAAACCCTCATACATCGAGGTTCAACTATGAAAACTCACTACTTGTCGGCCTCCCCAACTCCTCCCTCCACAGGCTGCAGATCATCCAGAACTCTGCAGCCCTTGTCCTCTCCTGCACCAAACTCTGTGACCCTATCACCCCCATCCTTGCCCAACTCCACTGGCTTCTCATCACACAGAGGATACAGTTCAATATCCTGGTCCTCACCTTGAAGGCCCTCCATGGTCTTGCTCCCCCCGACCTCCTAACCCCCTACCATCCTGTTCGCTCCCTCCGCTCAGTGGGCTCTGGCCTGCTTCACATGCCCCGTCTTGCTTGCCCTACTATCGGCAGGTGGGCCTTCTGCCACTCTGCCCCCACCCTCTGGAAATCCATCCTGCAGTCCCTCCGTCTCACCCCTTCCCGCGCCACCTTCAAGACCCACCTCTTTGACCATGCTTTCGATCACCCTGCTTCCCCCTGTCCTCCCCCATCCCGACCCTCAGCGCGGGTCCATAACTCTGTCTATCCAGCGCCTTGGGAAGTCCTCTTGACATGAAAGGCGCTTTATGTTCTATTATGGCATCGTGAGTCATTGGTAGTACTAACGAACAAGAATATCTGAGTTAGTCTTTTTTGGAAGCAGATAACTTGCAATAAGTTATTGCTTCTTTAAGAAGTACTTGCCAAATAATAGTGAGAGGCAAGGAATCGATTCATATTGAAAATGTAGAGACAGTCAGGATTGACATTATAGAAGAAATCTCAAGATTTGATAGTAAACTGCACGTGTGACTAAGCTTTCAGTTCTCTGATGAGACATTTTAAAAGATCGATTCACCCACCCATAGCAAAGGTGTTTTCACGCAACTAACATAATTCTTCATAATGTATTTCTAGAGGAATGTTACAAAAGTCAATACAAGAATCATACAAAACAAATGTAAGGATGCGAATACAAACAGTTATGTTACCTTGTTGGGGAAAAGAGGTAACGAACTGCAAGTAGCCCAATACCAGATAAAGCATAGTTTGAACAACTTCATGAATCTAGCAGAAAATGTAAAGACAGTCAGGACTGATTAATGTTATAGGGGAATTCTCTTCTTGGAGATTTGACAGCGAACCGCGTGTATGACTAAACTTTCAGCTCTCCGATGAGACATTTGAAAAGACGGTTTTCTTAATACATAATACAAAAAACTTGATTTCTAGCACAAAATTATGGTGGAGCATTTAATAAAAAGTGACAAAACTTACTTGAGTATCAGCATCAGTAAGTAGCAATGATCTGCAGCAGCCACTGAGATGAGGTTGTACACCTCCCAAAGCCTCAATCAACAGAAAACGACTAAATTCTAGCGATAAAGCGATCTGTTTATTTCAAACCTCGCTGCCAGAAATAGGATGTTTGCTATGTTGGTTTTATGTTACAAATCTAGTGAATTTAAGTTCAGCACACCACAAAAGGTCATGTCTTTGACTGATAGAACACTATGCGTCATAATTATAACTTGGAATAAACTCCAAAGTTCAAAGGAATGTTGACAAAAGGCGTCATAAATAGTTTGGTGTTCCGCCGCGCACTTGACAAGTTTAACACTTCTCTACTGGTCACCAACCCGAGGCAATCTGCATATCAGGTAGAATGTGAATGGAGCGCTCAATTCTTAACAGCATCTTTTCTACCGTTTGCCAAGGAATCAGAGAAGTATGGGTTTGTCTCTGCGATGTCCTGTGTCACCCTCTCCCTGAATCCCTCTGCTTTACCCATTTTCTCTCTGCTTCTAATTCTCCCCTTAAGATCTATCTCTGTGACTGGCTTTATTACTACCATTACCACGGCACATGAGAAATGGCTGGTTATTCTACCAACAACTGTGTGGAAGCATATGCTCCTTTAAATTCATTGTTCATAGTGAGTTCACAAACTGAATTCAATGAATGTGAGCTGTTTGAACATCTTGAGTATAAAGTTATTTATTTTTCTCTCTTCACTGCATGCCAAAAATGTAAAACATTTGTCTTTTGGCTGTTGAAATAAAGGTTTTTTTTTGTGCCAGGTGATAGCCTAAAATACATTTCTCTGGACTTCAATTGAGTGTCTCAGAATTTCTATTTCTTCCTCCTCCACTCACTTTGACACTGTGAACCTGTCTACTTGCCTGAGAACACTTTTTGTACAGCAGGCAGCTTGTTATTAAAATAGTTTTCGTTTTTATGAGCACAAAAAATACATTTTTAAATACTTAAGTGTGTATCAGTGACATGTAGTAAAAAAAACTTGGCCATGTTTAGTAATGATTCAATAGATATTGATATATGGTGTCATTTTCAGTTGCATAAAAAGAGATACAAGGATGGCACCTAGTATATCTCCATTTTTGAAATTCTGTCACAGTACTTCTAATGTGAAAAGTCAGATAAGGCAAGTGAAACATTGTCTTTTGACTGAGGAACCAAGACATATTTACTGCACACCATTAAATAGTACTTTGTTGATCAATGAAACATTATTTATACAGCATGCAACAGAATGATGTTAACATTTCACATGTTTATTTTTTCTGTAAAACATTAGGAAGTGACTTACAGATATCAAATCTTGCATATTAAGAGCATGCCTTTACGTAGTGCATTTCTACAGTACTTAATCGTTACTGTACATAAAACATAATTTAACTTAATTAAGTTATTTGCTTAATCAAATTAGTCTCTCGTTGAATTTTACTAAATATTCCAAGTCTCAATATTAATATTTCCAAATATACAGCCCTCATCAAGACTACAAATTAATAAACTTAATTATTCAGTTTCTTACAGTACCATCAAAACTGACATTTAATTACAAGTTACATTTTTAAAGTTAGTTTACAGGATAATGCATTTTGTACAGATTTCTGTAATCAGTCCACTTCTTCTGTCATAAACAGTGACTTCTGGATTTTAGGAACCAAATTCCACAGTATCTGCAGTGATTGGCTTAAATTCGTATTTGCCTCTGCCATCCATATGCAGATAATACTGGGGAAGAGAAAGAGTGGGAAAAGCCCCATATTAAAAAAATACATATAATCAACTGAAAGTAGATCATACTTGACATTTACTATAGTGCCGTATCAAGTCATCAAAGAGTCTCAATTCGCTTCACAAGATTTGCTATGAGTACGTATTTGCAGTCGAGTGCAGCAGCACACACCAATCTTCCTCAAATCATAAAGTGAGTTAACAATTTTATCTGGGTGATTATTGGCCAGAACACTGGAAGAAATTCTGTCTTCTTATCGAATTGTGCCATGGCATCTTTAAAGTCCACCCGAACATGTGGACGGGAGCTCGGTTAACGCCCCATCTGAAGGATGGAACCACCAACAATGTGCTGGAGTATCAGCCTAGACTATGAGCTCAAAGTCCCCAATGTGGGTTTGAACACACAACTTTCGGACATCTCAATGCACTTGATACTGTTGGCTGGGCACCTGAGCTGGGGGTGGGAGTCAAAGTGGGTGGGATGGGGAAAGAAAATCATTTAAACATCCACTCATTTAAATAAACTGAGTTTAAATATTAGCATTAATAAATTGAAATATGGTATTGATGATCTGCAACATTTACCAAGCATATCCATTACTTCTGATCAATGTCTCACTGTGTGGAAAATTGTGAGTTGAACCTATATCTTAGCACTCTGTGGAACAGGTCATCACACCCTTGAACTACAATATCAGTCCCTCTTTCAAATAAGTCATAGTAACCACTGTTGAGTGCTTCTGAATACAAAAAAAAATGAATATCTATTTGATACTCATGTTTGATATTATTTCAAGGTATTGTTAATATCGGCAAACATTTAATTTGTAAATAAATCAAATAGAGAAGAGAATTAAAACCTCTTGCTAGTATTGGCAAGGAGTTCACATTGGAGATTTTAGGTTTCAAATCTGATGAATAGAAGTGAAACTCTTTCATGTAAAATTGCTGTACTCACCTCATGGTGTTTCCAAAGAGACTTTCTGTGGGACACTGTGAACAACGTAATGCCAACCTACAAAAAACACAGATTGCAATCAATGTAAAACACACAATTGTTTGGGTCGCCAATCCCAGAAAGGATTATGTACAAGTTTCATTAATGAAATTATTCCTTAATATAAAAGTATAATTAAAGCCTTAAGTGGAGAACGAATTCTCAGAATATATTAAAAGCTTAACAGCACTAAGACTTTAAGGATGACAGCTCAATGTGGTAGCAAGAAGCAGTGGAGCTCAAACACAGCGAGTCTGCATGTGTAATTCTTTGACATTTCCATGGCTGCAATAAATTGGATGCAACACAGTAAGCCTTCATGAATAAATTCAGATCACTTTACTATTTTTCCTTCTTCACAACAGACTTTTACCTTTTCTGGTTCTAGGGAATTAGATACTCTGGGGTCAAAGAAGCTTTGAGAATTGTGAGAAAATGCAGCCCGATACAGTTTATTAGCAACTCTTTTCACTGATGATTTGTATGATTTGCAGAACTCTGATAATGAGAATATTGGGGGGAAAAAGAGGAGAAAACATATACTGTATCAAGTAACCCAGGTGCTGCTTGGTTCCTGGGACAAACCCATTCTATCCCCTGTTTTTTCCAGTGACAATATTAGCCTTGCAGTTATTCCATTTAGTTTAATGGGGACAAAATTTTGAATCTAGCTCAGAGCTATCTGATTCTAAGAAAGTGTATTCTAGCAAGAATGCAGCTTTACAAGTCTGTTAGCAGGCTCACACAGTCAGGTGGCTCCAGTGATCTCCCTGGTTAATGCAACACATTAAGTTTGAATTCATACACAATGAATTCAAACCTTTTTTTTCAGGTTAGAAAAATGAAACCAATAAATAACTCAAGTCTGGAATAATTTCTACTGTGTATTTAAAACATGAGAATGGAAACAAACTACAAGAGAGAACAATATATCTGGCCTGCACTAACTTACCTTCCTGCAGTGGTTGTAGATGTAGCCTTCAACATCCACACTAACCGCACTGGTACATTCATCTAGAATAGCAAACTGTGGTTTGTGGTAGAACAATCGAGCCATCTGCAATAAGGAAAAACAAAATGATGCTGACTTAGCCGTGTCCAATATAACCTCTAAAATTTGTTACTCCTTCCTCTCAAAGTAACAGTCAATTAGCAGCAGCTTTAAGAATTGCTTGGATAGAGAAAGGTTTTGTCTGAAGATTAATGGGAGGGGGGGAATGCTTTCAGCTGTAACAAACTGATAAATACACAAGACACTGTACAATTCTCTTGCAAATTGTTTTGAACTAATACAAGAACATTTACTGTTCACTGAAAAGATACTAGTAAGAATATTCTAAGCAAATACTGTAACAGATAATTTAGTATCTAGATCTGGCTTGAAAGAGTCTCTTTGGAATGAAGAAAAGTCACAATTAGTTTAGCACTTGGCTGACAGGGAAATACATTGTACTACCACGTGACAGGAATATAGATTTGAATCTGCAATTCACTGCGTAACACGGAATCTCATTAAGGTCACGAAGGAAAGGAGCTTTGAGCAAAGCATTGCAATAAGCAAGAAAAAGTGACAGCTGCTCTTGCATCTTTAAGCACCCAGTGCAGTGATAAGAAACATAAAAGCTTTTTGTCTCCATGGCACAGGAGCTGAATCCTGAATTAGTACAACCCGTGTGTGGGGGGGGGGGGGGGGGGAAGAGAAAGGAGAGGAGGTGAAAGATTATAAAAGCAAAACAAAACCTTAAAATGGGAGTGGATAATCATAAAATCATAGAAATATACGGCACAGAGGGAGACCATTTGCAGGTGTGCACACAATTCTTTGAAGTATTTTATTATAAACATGACATACAGCCATTCTCTGCTTCTCCCCACCACTGAGTACATCCATCCAGTCTTGAATACAATCCCAGCCTCCCTCACGATCCAGAATGTGGCCAAGTTGTACATTGCCAAGATAATCTTTCAATACCTGTCAACAAATGGTATTCATCAAAATCATATGCAACAATAGTTTACTAAAAGTTACAGTGGAGAGATGGCAAGTGAACTTAAATATAATAACATTATTTTATTGAGCCAAGTTTAGCTCTTTTGAATTTTTAATAAAATAATAATTACTCAAACACATTGCTTTATTACTTCTTAGGCTAAACAACAACAACAACATTCCATTTATTGAGCGCCTTTCACGTCGGGAGGACGTCCCAAGGCGCTGTAAAGTTGGGTCAGGACCCGAGCAGGGGGGAAATGGTCAGGGTGAGGGGAGGGAGCGAGGAGGGGGTAGAGAGTCGAGAGGGGAGCTGAAGGCACGGTCAAAGAGAAAGGTCTTGAGACCGGCCTTGAAGGAGGAAAGGGAGGAGGCAAGGAGAAGGCACTGGGGGATAGAGTTCCAGAGCCTCGGGGCTGAGAGCCCGGCCACCGATAGTAGGGCGGTTGGGGCGGGGGATGTGGAGCAGACCGGAGCCAGAGGAACGGAGGGTACGGGCGGGTAGGTAGGGGCATAGTAGGTCGGAGAGGTAGGAGGGAGCAAGGCCATGAATGGCCTTGTAGGTGAGGATGAGGATCTTGAATTCGATCCTCTGGGGGAAGGGGAGCCAGTGGAGGCGAGCGAGGGTGGGAGTGATGTGGTCGCGAAGCCTGGTGCGGGACAGTACACGAGCTGCAGAGTTCTGAATGACCTGCAGCTTGTGGAGGGAGGTGCCGGGAAGGCCGGCGAGGAGAGAGTTCCCATAGTCCAGCCTTGAGGTGATAAAGGCGTGGACCAGAGTTTCAGCAGCGTGAGGGGTGAGGTAGTGCCGTAGTCTGGCGACATTCCGGAGGTGATGGAAGGCAGTGCCAGTTGTGGCGCGGATATGGGGGAAAAAGGACAGCTCAGGGTCGAACAGAACCCCGAGGTTCCTGATGGCTTTGAGAGGTGGAGAGTGCAGCCTTGGATGCTGATGCTGTCAGCGCCTGAGGTGCGGAGGCGCTGACTCGAGCCAATCAGGAGGGCCTCAGTTTTGCGCACGTTGAGCTGGAGAAAGTTATATCTCGTCCAGAAAACTACAACATAAATATATTAAATACAAACTTAATTACAAACTGGAATTATTGGTGTTAGAAGACTTCTGAGTTCATGACAAACTTAAAACTATACTTAGGAACCCCAAAGCCCTTTGAAAAAAGCAACTGTACAGATGATTATAAAAAACTGCTAATTTGTTTCAAGAAAATTATTAACTTAGCCCCTCCATTCACTCATGCAACAGGCAGCCATTTCAAATGAGACGAGAGATTCTGAAAGCAGAGAAATGTGCAGCAAGTTTAATAATAGTTTATAATACCAGGTCAGATATTCCTTTCCGCCTCTGATCCTCTATGGTATCTGGGTAGATCACCTGATCCCTCAGAGTCCCTAGAGTCATGTATGGACGCTGGGAAACAAAAATACATTAATCTCATTACATTGGACCATTGTGAGACAGGTTAATTTTACCTTTCTGTTATGTTGTTACAATAATAATCCGAGCTTGAATAGAGAAATCAATCTTACCTGAGGAACGTAAAACAACTTCCCTCTGTCTGGTTTAGTCAGACGTCCTCCAAACAGGGGCCATAACTAGAAATTATGACAATTTATAGTTCAAATAATATCAATTGATTTCAATTCTACTTTTGATACTAGCATTATTTCAAAGGGTGAGATTATCACACTTACCTCTCCTAGACAACGGAAAAGTGAGCTCTTTCCACAACCATTTGGGCCACACACCAAGACATTCGTCCCTGATCGCACCTAAGAGAAAATACATCTAGATGTTCACTGATTAAGAACAGTTTACCAAGGAAATAAATTCTTGCACAATACAGATTTGTAAGAAAAATGTTGCAACTTCAACATTATCCTTAAGGCACTGGCTCAGGCTGGCATAGAGTGCTAAATGCCCTGGTTGCCCTCACCCAACTGACCAGTCTCAATGTGCAAACTTACACAAAAAGTACTGCATCCATGTGATAGGGAGGAACAGGAAAAAGAGAATCTTCCTGATTGATCCAGTCCTCACCCAACACACACACACTGCAGTTGCCAACAAGCAACAATTGCAATATATTCTTTTTGAATAGTAAAGCTTAAATTCAACTAATCTTTCTTGAAAATAAATGCTTTAAAAAACTGTTTTGCTAGAATTCAATTTGGGGAAATTGTCTTAAATTTCCAACAAATGTCCTTCTGATAAATATACAACAGTGAAAATAAGATGGGATGAAATAGTTGTCTGAAAACAGCCCTGTAACCATCCATTAATGTTCAAAAGCCGACACTGGCAACCAGTCTACCACTTTCTCCTAGTTTGGCAAGACACTTCGACTTATTACCTTACCTGTATGTGTGTGTGTATACATAAATATACATACACACATTTACACACACAGTAGCTGCATCATAATGCAAACCAAATATTTCAAGCTTTCCATGGTATACCTCAAACTTCATTAATCTCAGTAGAGTTTGGATTTTTGTGAGATTAACTACAAATAAGAATTCCTTTGAAATCCAAACAGGATCAACATATTTTATAGTGAAATGCAAGTCATACTCTACCTCAAATGAAAGATCTTGAATCAAAACATCTCCATTAGGTGTCACCAAGGGTACATGTTCAAATCTGAAGAGAAGAACTGGCTCATGTTACCATTCTAGGAGATCTGAGGCCTGAAATTCCACCTAGTCCTAGCCTGAAGACAATTTTGTCTTAAATTTTAAGATGGTGCAGAATTTGAGAAAATTATTTGAAAATAATTTGGTTCTTATTAAGGTTTGTGGATAGTTGTGGTCATTTTCCATATCAAAACTAAACCTAGGAATTTTCCACTATTCTGTGTGATCTTAAATGTTAAGGTAAATTGGATTTACAGCCTAAGACAAAATGTTGCATTTAGAACTTCAACATCGAGGAGTGTATACAGTAATCTAAATCTCTTCTTCGCACTAACTTTCAATGGATTAACTTAATTTCAGTTAATACTTTTTTTATTCAAGTTACATGCTTGTGCAATGATCAAGACTGTAAATTAAATCCATTTAGAGGCAAGTTTAACAATATCGATTGAAAATGTACGTCAGTATTGTAATAAAAATTATAACTATTGAATACGCTTACTTAATAACACGATCCAAAATAATGATTTTCCCACTCCCTGGTATCAAAGGCAAGGCACTTTGAGATTCTGAACCTTAATAAGGAAAAGAGAGCATGGATTAAAACCTTTTGGGGACTAAATTGCAATATACTAGGTGATACATTTAGCGTTTACACTGATGCATCAGAGAAGCATGCTCTTCTTTTGCTATGAAAATATTAAACATCTAGTTTGAAAATCCAAATGTGTAATTAAGTCTATTGTTTAGATTCATATAAATTATGTAACAATGATCAGCGATGCTAAAGTTTTTTGTATAATAAGCTATGAATTAAATGGATTCTGGCTTACTCACCCTTATCTAGCTGAGAAACCATAGTGCGCTCATATTTTCCACTATTTAGTTCCTTCAGAACCTGCATTAATTCAGTGATACGAGCTGTGAAACTAAAAAGAAAGGTAACGATTTTAGGAAGATCTCGGCAGCGTTATCCAAGGACATAATTTTACTAGGATTACATGTAAATAGAAAATATTAATGTTTCTGTACATAGAACTCAGTGGCAGATTCATTTAAACCGACAAAACACTGTCCTCATAAAATTAGAATCACTATGTAATCACGGAGATGGGATGCCACCAAAAAAGATGCGTGTATGTCACAATCTTTGAAGTAATGTTAAGGTCAAAAGATCATTGATGTGTTATTTTATCTAGTTAAAATGACTAAAACACACTACTAAAGTTTAGTCCAAATCAAACTGTTCACTTCTGAAATTTCATAGAAAATGAATGAGTGAAAATGAAATGACCTGGAAAGCTGTAATTTCATATTATATATATATATATATATAATATATACAAACACACACATATATATATATACACATACACACACAACATAAACTCACCCAGCCAATCTGGTCATCTCCCGACCAGCCAGTACTATTCTGCCAAGGGCCTGAGACAATCTCAGTAACATACGGCCACTCTGATAGTAGTCCTAAAGTGGAAACCATAATCAAAATAAATGAATTAAAAAGAACTATCATTTATTTCCAATTGAATTTTACTCTGAATGCATTGAAATGAATAGAACAGACTTTTTGTATTCGTAGGCACTAACAAATTACTAACACAAACTTACCTCAAGCAGTTCTGCATGGTTACTTTCCAGATGACGAGGGTGAGAGAGATTCAGGAAGGGTCGGCTAACAACTAGGTAACCGATAACAGTAGCAAGATCTAGAATAGATGTAAAATCAAACAAGTTCATACTGGAAATCATTCTTACAATACAAACATATACCATATTTAGCTAGCTTTGTGTTTAGATGGAGAAAATAACATTGGATGGTCCAAAAGACAAAAGCTATCTTTACTTATTTTCTTTTAGTTCATGATTGCACATCTTGAAAGAAAGCTAATTTGGTGGGTGACTATATACTCAGTGAGGCGAAAGCAAAATTGGATGGAAGGAGGTAGACTTCGAACATATTCTTATGGTTTCAACACTTATCCACTGTTCAAGCTGAATATTCATTTTGGACACAACCTGATGTTTTTGAACTTCTTTCAAAGAATCTTTAGTACATAAAGATATACCTAATTGTATGTGGGTGAACAAATCAAGACAATTTTATACCACCTCAGGTAAGGTTCTCTATTTGTTTCTGCACATACAATTAGAAATATTCAAAGTGGCATTATCAACTGCAATGGCTTTATTTACCTAAATGTGGTGGATAAAACATTGGCGTCACTATTTCTTAAAAACAGTGCTGTCAATTAGATCAGTTCTCATCTGCAGGGATCTGATTAGTTCAACCAATACTCAGACCAAGCTAGTCTCAAGGTTTTCCTTCAATGGGGAGTTATCAAAATCACTGTTTTTTTCGTTCTATCTGAAGTTTGTGCACAGAGTATAAGAGAAACTTCGGGAAAGCATAAATAATGTATTATTTCAGAGTATCAATAAGCTGCTGAGAGCTACAGTCCTACTATACACGTTCCACAGCAGAATCTTGGCAATCTCTTGCTTTGCTAAGTTTCCAAGAGATCCATCTTTGGGTATTCCTACCAGTTAAAACTGGCTTGACTTGCTCTGTAATGAAGAACCCACTCCTGAAATTGGATCTCATCTCTCTTAAGAGTATTTGTTGTAATGTTATAAATCTTGCGAGTTGATGAACAGATAAATCTGTGAGGTTTCGATTACACAATACAAAATGCTCAAATTACCATGTGAAGAAGGGATTTAAAGTAGGATTAAGTCCCTCTTTGTGTGTGTAATTCATGACAATAGCATTGTCTGATCAGATTTACTGATATGTTGTTTTCTGAAAAATTGAGCTAAACAGAGTACCCATGGCTTAGTCCTGATCATATTTCAAGGGAGACAAGGCAGTCATAAAATTTTACAAAATGGCCATCAGTTGCAGGAATTTCATATAATGTTTTAAATATATGCTCACTTACATTTGGCAATTATACTGTCCACAAATCCCATGCTAAAGCGGAAGACAATGAAATTGTGTAAGTGATCCACCTAGTAAGAAAGACCAATATATAAAATCAAACGATTAATTATAATTCTAGATAGATGCACCTACACAATAACAAGCAATGTGTTTTTCAAAGCAATATTTTAAAAGATATTTGGAAATATTTAATAATAATAATCCTTGCATTTGATATAGCGCTTTTCACGTCTTCTAGACGTCCCAAAGCGCTTCACAGAATATACTGTAAAGTGAATTGACTGTATATTTGTGGGCGAACGCCGCAGCCAATTGCGCACAGCAGTGTCCCACAGACCGTCATGGATTGAAAATGACCAATTTATTGTTTTGTTTTTTTGGAGGGATTATTATTAGGCGTGTGGAGTAAGGAAACTTGCCCAAGGTTTTGCCCTGCCTGGAATTGAACTCAGGTCTCTCACTTGCAAAGCGTGAGAGTTAGCACTCATTTGCTAACTCTCAATGTCTGTAACAAAACTATGAACACTAACTCTAACAACATGACCAGAAAAATGGTGATAGATCTCTTACCAGCCGTTTAAAGGACGTGTGTATAGTCTGTTTTTCCCTCCTGTTTCCATTGTAGAAAGCAATTTCCTCGCTGTAATAAGTAACAAGTTAACATTTCATTCTAAATAGAATCATACACTATGCATTTACCTTTAAAAATATTCCTACTTCAGTGGACCTATAAATTGTGCACTAACAGAAAGAAGGATGCAAGATTGTTCCATTAATTGGATGGGAGTTGCACTCCTGAAGCTTTTAAATATTTTGAATGATCAAAAACTGGAAGTTAACACAGGCCATTCCCATGCTGAATATGAGCAGTTGGATATGTTAAAAAGATAGAAAAATGGAGCAAAATATCACGTCTCTTTTTATTTAAGAGATTTACAAAGAATGTACTGTACGGAAACAGGCCATTCGACCAACTGATCAGTGCTATGTTTATACTCCACACCAGTCTCCACCCACTTACTCCCTCCCATATTCTTCTATGTCCTTCTCCTTAACTGAAGGTCTAGCTTCACCTTAAATGCATTTTTCAACGACCACTTCGGGAATCATTTTCACAATCTCACTATCTTCCGTGTGAAATCTTTAACTGCGTTTCAATTTCCATAGTTGCTATCTTATACATTAAGCACTGCAATGTTTGGACTTCATAGTTTTTTCACCTTTATTCCACTGAAACCCTGCTCACCTATTTGTAATTAGTCGCGAGTTGACATATCTGTATTCTCCTTCATATCTTTGTTCTGTCACTGTCATTTTACCAATTGGTCTTCTGAAACGCGTGAGAATCAGTCCTGAAATGATCAGGTAGGCCATCATACTAGCTGGACCCTGAACAGAAGACAATAATTAATCTAATGTTTCTAATTTGCAGTAATGACATTAGTGGGATAAAGTATGTGCTCTTCATCTGAAGTTACTATTATTTTACAAGATCACATAAATTTCATGAACTGAACAGTTCAAAACTTTCACAAAACTTACCTGAGCACCTATTGCACTTGCTAATTTATATATATACAGAAAGATGTCCAGAAGAGGCTGAAAAGGAAACACAGATCACATATTAATGAAAATGTGAAAATGATGCAATGAACCCTTATTTAAAAAAGCACTGTTTATAACTATGGTTTTATTTCAAAAATGTGGAGAAAAAATAAGTGAAAATAAAGATCATAATTTCACACGTTTTATTGGTGTTTTTAATGAAGTAAGAAATCTAATTTTTCATTCCAATTCCTACTTTGCCTTTACTTGGCTTAGTTGATAGCACTCTTGCCTCCAAGTCAGAAGGTTGTACATTCAAGTTCCTCATCAAGACTATGAACCCACACAATCTAGGCTGACATGCCAATGCAGTGCTAGTGGAGCACTGTACTACTGGAGGTGCTATTTTTCGGTTCAGATTGACATAAAAGATCCCAAGCACTATTTGAAAAAGAGAAGGGAGATTCTCCCAGTGTCCTGGTCAACAATCCCCTCAGATAGAATTGGTCATCTATTGCTGTGCTGCCGCACTTGCCTATAAAATATACTTTACAGGAAAAATCCTGTGAAGCTTTGAGATGTCCTGACAATCTGAAAGGCGTTTTATCAAAAACAAGGATTTTTTNAATATTGCAAGCAATAAACATGTGTCAGTGGAATTCAAAGGTCCAACTGTTTCTTGTTGGTCAGATGAGTGTCCGACATGTAGAAATTCATAACCCTATGCTTAAGAGTTTCACATGTGGCCCAACTGCGTCGTCAGGCAATAGAGCACAATATAGTGCTCTGGAACATTCCTATCCTCTTGTTGTAACTTCTGGTATTTCCAGAAAAAGAAGAAAGATTTTCATAACTCACCTTGCTCAGATTTGAATACAAGTCCACGACACTATTGCAGAACTTCTCCACATCTTGCGTCAACAGTTGGTCTGCATTTGCTATTCGATTGTCAAGGTTACCCATCTTATAGTAAGTGTAGCCCCTGTCGGAATAAAAACATCACACCAAATCAGGAAACTGTTAACATATAAATTTAATAAAAACCCTGAAATTGTTAAGGCTAATGCTGCAGCTTTGTTGTCACCTACAAGCTAAATTAAAATGATCCACAATCGTAATTTTGCAGCAAGGAATTAAGACGATTATATAAATTTAAAGAGATACTCAAATTATTTTGAACAGTTATGAATTCCATGAAATAGCGTTTAATGAGGATTGACCTATAAATTTATGTTGATGCCAGCTCTTCCATTGGAGCCATTTAGTCTAATCTCAATTCCCTGATCTTTCCCCATATCCTTTTACATTACCGCTTAAAATGTAGGTTGGGCCAACGGTCAATAGATTAATCATGTTCAAAAGCCCTGAAAGAAGTAATTAACTACCAATGCAAAGGATTACAAATGATTCTGCAAATCCTTTTCTGTGGTTAATTACATAATTAGGGCACCTACATGCAGTTTCAGGATAGATCCCTGGCACATAATGTTTCACCATTGTTCAACCATTTATAAACCAAAGCATAAAGGACAAATAATCTAGGATTAAAGATGATTGACTGACACCTTCTGAGCTCTCTAAGCTATTCACATTTTATTGTTCTTTGCAATTATCATTCTATATTCACGTTCGGTACCTTTTAAAAGCTAATTTCTGTTTAACTATGGATTCTTGCTGTATACCTTTACTTCTCATTTTTAATCTGTTCAATAACATAGAAATTTTCAGCATAGAAGAGAGTATTTAAGGCCTGTGCTGGAAGAGACATAATGGCATGAAAATATTATGATGAAAGGTTTATAAACCAAAGGTTGACCTCACTGGGCAGAGTAGATTAACAAGAGAATCTAACATAAGAGTTCAAAATTATCAATAAAGTATTTCAAGTTTTAATCTTGAAAATGTGTAGAAATGTAATGAATAGTAAGGCAACAATACTGCTTCAACATTCAGAACTTACTTTAAGTACTCCTCATATAGGTATCCGGTGAGTCTAACTCTGAATCGAAGTTTCAGTTGATTCAAACCCAACTTCAGGAAATTATTTACCACTGATATCTGAATATAAATTGGAAATTCATATAGAAAATTTAAGTTGCACAACTCTTCTGAAGAACAAACATAAATATTCTTACAGAAATACTCATCCAACCATCATGATGGCTTCTGTTTCTTGAATAAATTTGAAAACTTCCAATTTACAGAGTAAACATGTTACTACATACTATGTATGTATCACAATGCACGTTACCATATGCTGGAACCAGTGCAGATTTAGCAATCCATATTACTGATGTGGTTGGTAGTGTTACTACAAACAACAAAAAAAAACTTACAGCTGGCATTGCGGTGACAAAGTTGAATAAGTATCTCTTGAAATCTTTTGTGCTCCGACCAATAATTGCACTGCAAACCATGACATGCATAGAAACTGGGATTAAAGTACGCACGGCAAGCTGACTTAATGATAACACATGCTTCAATCAAACAAGCATTCTTAGAAAAGGCAATTTAATAGAAGACATTGTAGATTTTATATTGGAGATAGATGAAGTGGATTACTGTACTGTAGAATAAAATCAAACTGAAATAAGATCTCACCTGAGAAAGCAAATTACAAGGATTCTCTTACAAGTGCAAACAATCATAAACAAGTGATTCATAGACAAGTGAGAACTCACAAAACTTAAGTAATCATTTAGAATGAATGAGTCAAACACTTTGGGACCTTAGAAATGCTTTCAATTTATTTTTACATTACTGTCCAAACCTTGCCAACTGTTTGGTAGATATTAAACCTTTTCAAAACTCTATACGTCTAAAATCTCAATGATCAATTTGAGTCAAATTATTGCTTCTCCACAGTATAAAGAAAATTCCCAGATCATGATGTCTGATGTGTATAATATATTTCTCCTTTTCAGAATCTCTCTTGAATGTTGGCACAAACAAGTAATTTCTCAGAGAAATTTCTGATAGGTCAGTTTGGAGGGGAGCAGATTGATTTATAGGCACTATATTTACTCTTGTTCCTCTACATAGAATAGCAGTAGATATCCAGAGCCTAGGTTACTGTACATATTCCACCACACCAAAAAGCTTTGAATAAGCAATGAGTTGTTTTTTAATTGTTGGATGAGGTGAAACATCACTCACGCATCATTTCATGAAAGCCATTCAGGTTTGCAGCCGCACTCAACTTTGTCAGGTTTCAAACAGAAAAAAGCGTGAAATAATTCCCCACTATCTCCCTCAAAAGATCCAGATAGAAGCCACAAGGTTGTTCTTTTATCTATTTGTCCATCTCCTATTGGCTTTCAATTTAGCAAGTTGCAGGATAAAAAAATCTTATATTTTGGAAATCAGGCTGAGAAACATGAATCAATAATCTTTTTTTTAATAGCCATCAAGTTACTAAAGTTTGTGCAAAGGAATTGAATCCATAATTTCTGGAGGACATACCAGGAATGTACAGCCCACTACACAAATTTAACCACAATGTTTAAAAATCAGGCCCCAAATGCTTTGATTCCTTTTGCAGATTTACAATAAAACTACAAATCTATAGGATTATCTCCATTCTTGTTTTAAGTATCTAAGGAAACTAAAACTGTAAATATACAGAAGAACGTCTGTATTGCAAATCTTAAGTGTATAAAGGGCATTTTGTAAAGCAGTCACTTCATAACACAGATCAATTGAGAGGAAGTAAGTTGTGTCTTGGTAAGTTAATATACATTCTTATTAAATAAATGATAAATAGCAGAATTACAAATCAATAATGTTATGGAATACTTCCTTCACCTCAACAATGCAATTTGGTATAAAATAATGTTACCATGGGCATAGCAGCAATAAACCATACAAAATGCTTCTTGAATAACTGCGAATTTCTGCTTATGATTCCACTATAAAAATTACAGAAAAAGGGTAAATTAACAGAGTAATTAATCAAATGAGTTAAAATTATTTTAGCTTACATTAAAACAATTAATAGCACAGAATTGTGTGATGAAGTACATGTATTAAGCAGAAATATGGAAACTGTTTCTATTTTTGACTAAAGTGGCATAATTCTTTTAACAGTACTGGGTTTCCCCAGTAGCTCTTAAATGCTATATAAGAATAATAATGAGATTTAAACTGTACCAGAAAGGATTTTCAACCTTAAAGGCACTTGGATTACAAGATTCCCAACTAGGATACCTGAATTTCAATCCCAGTGTTGATTAATTCACGCTCAGGTTTCTTCTATAGGCTTTGTCAGTCTTAACTAGGTCATCTGTTGAAAGAATGGAAGCTGTCTGGGAGAGCTATATGCATTTCTTCCCCCTCCATTACCCTATTGGCATGGTAACCATGAAATTAAATTTGATCATGGAGCTAACCCCAGGTAATGGTCATTAATCTCCCTGGAGATCGCTGGTTTATGGTCTACTTTGAAATTTCTTACTGTGATTAACAAACCTCTTTTACAGAATATCATTCCTACAGCCGGCACTACAACAATAAAGTTTTCTAATGGTTCAAAGTATCACAAATGGCAAGTATGCAGACATACCTTTCGATCAAGGTCCCATTTTGAATCATCCAGACATCACAGTAAGTGCGAGCAACAAGCATGACAGCAATGAGCAACAGGTATGCAGACTAGAATCAAAAAAACAAATAGTTTATAAGTCGATTTACAAACAGCCATGGAGGGAGTAACTAATGTTATTTGGGGGATTGTTGGCCAGACACCTGAAAGAAACTTCCTTCTCTTTTCGATTAGTTCCATGGGATCTTTAACGTCACCCGAAAAAGCTGACAGGACCTCGGTTTAACATCTCATCTGAAGGATGGCACTTCCTTCAATGCAACACACCCCACAATACCGCATTGGAGTATCAGTTTAGATTGTGATTCCAAGTTCCAATGTGGGGCTCAGAACTACAACCTTCTGACTCAGAGGTGAGAGTGCTACCACTGGATCAGGCTGAAACAAATTACATGTAAACTGCACAAGCAAATCCTTCTGGCAGCAGTTGCTTTTTTGTCTTTACTTTTTGTAGGAAAGGCCAACGAAAAGATTAGGACTGCGCCATTTACTTTGCAAATTTCAGGCTGCTATCTGAGGCAAAGCAAATGAGGCATCAATACTGCAGTATCTTGTATAAAGCATATTTGCTGAGCCACGTGATTATAAACATTTTTCTACAAACACACATAATATTCTTATGCTAAGAATATTAGAATAATAATATTTTTACCTTGATCAAATTAGGATTCACCATCAGGTTTATGCAAACAGAATGGATTGAAGGCTTGTTGTTGAGCGAGATGCTAATCTTTAAAGATCAATGTCTGTGTTTTATCAAATTCATGCCCTGCTTTCTGGCACAGGATGAGGTCAAATGATGCATTTTTTTAAAAAAAAGACTATTTTAAAATAGATTTGAGTAAAATCAGAATAGGCACATTAATACTCAGTCTAAGTAAGGAAAAACATTTGAGACTTGACATTGCTCATTCACATCATAGTTGTTTGTAGGACATTGTTGTTTGTTAAATGACCGCCATTGCTTTGTGTTAATTGACTGCCATGTATGCCTACAAAGTCACAAATACACAATCACTGCACTTAACGTTGTGAAGCATTTTGAGACATTCTTGATGTTATAGGTAATACAAGGATTATTATTTTAGGACCTCACTGCACACAATCGGAGGTGTTAGTGATCTACTCCCAGTCTACTGTTGTTCCCTAACCAGCCATGAGAAAGTACATATGTACCCCCAAATTTTCTCAAAATAAGGAGTCATATGTTTACAATGTTAGATTGTAAATTATTTATTTTCATGTAATAATAATCCTTGTATTTGATATAGCACCTTATCACGTCTTCGAGACATCTCAAAACACTTCACAGAATACACTGTAAAGTGAACTCACTGTACATTCTGTGGGCGAAACACATCAGCCAATCGCACACAGCAGTTTCCCACAAACAGTCATGGATTGAGTGACCTTTTTTTGTTGAAGAAATTAGTAACCCCGGAAAAACGATCCACCAATCGACTAACAACTGGGTTCCTACTTACTGATAGGTAAACAGAGGTGTGGAGTAAGGAAACTTGCCCAACGGTTCGCCCTGCTGGGAATCAAACCCAGGTCTCCTGCTTGCGAGGTGAGTGTTCTTTCCACTGAGCTACAGGACTCCATAATGTCTAAATATTTAATCAAATACATAACACCTACCTCTTGTGAAACTAATCCAGGCACCATTATTTTCAAAATCCTCCATAACCTTGAAAAGAAAACACCGTCCACAACTGCTTTATCTTTTTTTGATTCTTTCTAAAAATAAGAGGGTAGGCACAGTTACTCCAATGAAGTAAAATAAATACCCAGATAATTTGTAAATGGCAAAAATATTTTTATGATAAAAGTTATACTCACATCACTTGTAAGCACTTTGCCACCATTCTTACTGCAATAAAAAGTTTCACAAATTAAAAAAGGAATAAATAGTCTGGATTATTAAATGCAAGATGTACAAATTAATGTACATTACAGTTAAGGTACTGGAATAAATTGCGTAATAGGTACACCCAAGGTGCTGGACAGTCAGGGATTTGGACCCGAGCAAGGGGGTTGGGATCAAGGAGGGTGAAACGACATTGGTGGGGCGGGCCGGGCCGTGCGGGGCCTGCTGAGCAGAGGGAGTGAACAGGTTAAATTTAAAACTGGTGTAGTCCAAAAGCTGATTATGGTATGAGAATATGGCGCCAACATATTACCTCATCCATATATGGATTGCATAACTCTGTTAAAATTGTGGACATATGTCGAGCCAAATGTCAAGTGTTCCATTAAACTGAACACACTGAAATTCCTCTTCAGATCACTTTAAAAAATATTTTTATTGATCTTTCAGCAGTGACAGCCACGAAAAAAAGTTTAATCAATGATTAAGGAAGACTTGAAAAGTCACAAAGGACAAAGTCAAAGTTGATTTGTGATGCTTTTTTTTTCTCTACTCATTGCCATGCTATTTACAGAGTTCTATCTGAATCAGTTGCTGAAGTGTGGGAGAGACCAACTCTTCCTCAACACATTACTTAACAGATTATCAATATCAGCAACAAAGCATTGGAGAACCTGGAAGTGTGCACCAAACTGTGGAACAATGGATAGGAGCACCAATTTTGCATCAAAGTCACGTCTTCGAGACGTCTCAAAGCGCTTCACAGAATAAACTGTAGAGTGAATTGACTATATTTTCTGGGCAAAACATGGATGGGGATGCAAGGAAGGACCGTCTTCATCTTATTTAAAACAACACTAATATGCTTAAGAGGTACGGTGTAGTTGAAAGGTTTCAAATATTTCATAAACTCAAGTGTCGTGCAGGCAAAAAAAACGAGTTTGCAAGAAATGCGTGAGGTTGGGAGGCACGGCTCACCCTCACGAGCACAGCCGAACTCGGAATTTCTACGACGGGAGTGACCGAACCACAGATTTAAGACTTGCGATTATCTTATCGTGGGTTCGCGTGGACCACCTGCCCGGTAGGTCGAACACGAGCGTGCAGCGTGAAACGATGAATAGGGCAGACGAAGAACCCCCATCGAAACACCGCTGCCCGCAAAATATACAAAGTCAGTTCACTTTACGGTTGAGGCGTCTCAATGACATGATAAGGCGCTACATCAAACGGCAGAATTATTATTATTATTATTATTACTATTACTACTACTACTACAACTTCTGGGAAGGTATCTTTTGGGATCATCTCTTCCCCCCCACCCCCCACCTCAAAAAAAAATCATCGCAGCATCCCAACCTGCAAAATGTCAGTCGTTGTCTTTGTGCTCTGACTCCCCCTTCTCACATGACACTTAAGGACAATGCTTAGGCCGAACGACATCCCCGGCATCGAGTACCGAGCTCAGTCCCCCCCCCCCACCACCACCACCACCATCTGCACCTGTCATCAGCCCTTTCCCACACGGCGAATGTCCCGGTACCGGTACCTGAGCAGCGTGTTTCTCCTCTTTCTTCTGACCAGGTAGGCGAAGGCCAAGGCGGTTGTGGCGGCGGCGGCTGTGGCGGCGGCGGCGGCTGTCAGTGAGGAGTTTCTCCCGGTCACCAGTTTGCTGAGAGCCGCCATTTTCCGCGAGAGGACGGCGAACCGCGAGCGCTGCCGGGAAAACGGGCCGACCGCCCACTCCGACGGGTTTGTAGCCCAAAGTCCAGCGAGGACTAGCCCAAAAGTAGCCCAACAGTGTGCCCTGGCCTCCTGTGTGGGGGGGCAGCAGAGTGGCCCGAGTTAGGTCAGTGGTCCGGGAAACTGTGTAAGGAGATAAAGGTCTTCCAGTGGTGGGTGGGTAGTGGGGGGGGGGGGACACGACTTGAGGGTTTAAATCATTTTTCACAACAGTTTTTTTCCAGTGCAATAACGACGACGACAACAACAAAACGCGCCGAATTGGGCGTGAACCTGCCCGCTCTCCAACCCTGGCTGGCAGGTGGCGGAACGTCACCCGACTGGGGCGCCGTGCAACCGAGAGCAGGGTGCAGTGCACCCGGTAACCCGAGCAACCGAGAGCAGGGTGCAGTGCACCCGGTACCCCGAGTAACCGAGAGCAGGGTGCAGTGCACCCGGTAACCCGAGTAACCGAGAGCAGGGTGCAGTGCACCCGGTAACCCGAGCAACCGAGAGCAGGGTACCGTGCACCCGTGCAAATCATTGGTGTGATAACAATATACGGGAAGGCATGCAGCACACCACGCGTTGCTGTGCCGGTGAGCTCGGGGACAGTGTGCAGTGAAACTCAGGGACGACTCGTTGCAAATATGTAACCAGAGGGCAGCGTCCAATGTAACACTGCAACACACAGACGGCATGCGATACAACTAGGAAACAACATCAAATGTAACTTGGCGCACTCGGGATAGCCTACAGTGCAGAATTGGTGAGCAGTGCAAACCATACAATGGGGCAGGCAGCCCACAGAACAATTCAGCATATGACCTTAATGACTGTTTGCAGTGAAACCTGAGGCAGCGCACAGTATCATGTAGCCTGGGGCAGCAGCTCAACGATATAGTTTGGGATATTACAACGGACAGATGCCACTCCTAGCAGTGAATGTGGATAACGTGCATTGTAATCCTTCAGCCTGGAGCAGCGAGCACAAACACACCGCAGCGGCAACAGGGAGCAGTGAAAACAGAGCTTTGTTAAAGACATTAAAAAGAAATTTAGTTTTTAGTAAAAAAAAGTAAAAGAAAGTAATGTGGTATTCGTATGATGACTTTATTCATCCTATTTCCTGGGGCAGATGTTGGAAAAACGAAACTGATAAATTTAACTATTTAAATTTAGGAAAATGTCAGACACTGAGGGAATATTCTTAAGTATACTTTATGGATACAGTTTTGGGCTACATTAGTTTAGTAGTAAGACAGCATAGTAGTTTCTTTGAAACCTTTACTAAAGTAATGTAGATTACAAGGTGTGGATGCCAGTTTTCAGGATCACATGGGTCTCTTTCATCGAGTAAGTAATGGAAATTAAACGGAGTTTTTCCGAACAGTTGAATGTTGAAGAACAATGAATGGCATTGTCGGATTAGAGTCAAAAACAGTTACTAAAGCAAAATCGCAGGACATTCTATTGATATCCCAAATCTCTATTCTGTGTATACAGAAAATACCCATTATAGCGCCATCTAGTAGAGAGACGCCTTGCTCACTCAACTGTGGACCAATGCAGGCTTCCCATTCAATAATATGGCTAACGTTAAGCTCGTTAGGTCACTGTTAACATCACTTACTACACGTTGCGGACATAATAATAATCCTTGCATTTGTGTAGCACCTGATCATGTCGTCAAGATATCTCAAAGCGATTTTCCCTTCTGTTTTCGAATAGTGTAATGGGATCTTTAATATCCACTTGAACAGGCAGATGGGACCTCAGTTTAGTCTCATCCAAAGGACAACACCTCTGACAATGCAGCACATCCCCACATTGGAGTATCAGCATAGACTTTACGGGTTCCAAATTCTGACATGTGGCTTGAACCCACAACCTTCTGACTCAAGGGTGAGAGAGCTCCCAACTGAGACAGAGATGCCACTTCCAGATAATGCACATGTGTACTATGGAAGCACCACGTTGCAAAATAATATACATTAGTAGCACTTATTTCACATTGCACTTGTGTGCAGTACCAGGAATTGATATTACAAGTCTTCTTGCATAATAGCTTGCATGCGAGCAGAAAGTGATGTCAGTGGTGACCTGATAGTCAGCCATTTTTCTATGATTATCTGGATGATTAGGCTGCCATGTTTGCCTACAAATACACAGTCACTCCACTTAACAATAAATCCTGTGAAACGCTTTGTAAACACTCCTCTGTTTACCTAGCAGTAAGTAGGAACCCGATTGTTTGTCGATTTGTGGATAGCTTTAATTTGGTCACTCAATCCACGACTGTTTTATGGGATACTGCTGTGCGAATTTGGTTGCCGCTATTTGCCCACAAAATATACAGTCAATTCACTTTACAGTATATTCTGTGAAGCACTTTGAGATGTCTCAAAGGCATGATAAGGCTCTATATCAAATGCAAGGATCATTACAGTGTATTTGCAAATTAATTTAATGAGAGAACTTAATTCCTCTTCAGTGTAATTTTGCACACTTATCACCAGAGGGCACAAGCAGATCTGATGAATCTGCTTCATGTTCTGGAGCAGAAATTTTTTTCTACAAAGGACCATCTTGCCAATTGCTTATACCATACAGGATAGCAATTCTAAAACTAGTTAGAACTATACTCCCTGTGGGTTATTTTTTCTTTTTAAAAAAGGATGTTTTAAAGATGCTGTCACTGTGTTTATTGTGTGAGTTGTTGGGAGTTCCTGTGTATTCCACAGGGTACAAACTGAAACAATGAAAGGTAAAGAAACTGTTCCAGCTCCTCCAATAGGACCACCACCTTGGAAGCATGCCAGTTCAAAGAATTGCAGCTGTGCATTCTTACTTGACCCCATATACCCGTCATTAGTACAGCCACACACAATGGACTGACTGTCATTTGTCACTGCACCTTATGTTCGACATAAAAACGTAAGAAGGGCCATTTAGCTTACACAAAACCTATCCTTACCCTCCTTCAAGTCCCGCCTCAAGACCCTCCTCTTTGACCATGCCATCGGCCACAACTCTCCCCCAGACCCCAGCTCGGGTCTGAAATGCTGTACACTGTCCAGCACCTTGGGATGTCCTCCCGACGTGAAAGGCGCTATACAAATGTAATCTTGTTGTATTTTGAACTTCATCCCACCAATGATAATAATAATCCTTGAATTTGATGACCATTAAAGCTTGTGACACTGCTTTAAAAGTAGCACTTCATCACCAATAGTAACTACTTTTGAATTGCCCTTTCCTAACAAGAACATTGAATCCTCTATTTGTGTGGATGAACTCCTTCAAATAATAAAAATATAATAATCCTTGCATTTGAATAGCACTTTAGTACATCAAGATGTCTGAAAGTACTTCACAGGGTATTCCTCGTGATACAACTGTGTATTTTTTGAGCGAAGGTGGCAGACAATTTGTACAGTGCAACATCCCACAAAAGCCATTGATTGAATGACTTTTTATTTGGGGGACTATTGGCCAGATATCAACCATGATATTACAATAAATATTTAAAATTTATCTTTCAGATTGATCTCTCTACAGTTGGTTGATTACGAAAGCAGCATTTCCTCAGAGAAGAGTTAAGAAAACTGGTAATCTTATCAAATAAGCAAGCATAAGTACGTTTACGCGAAGAAAGAAGATAAAGGATCAAAATAACAGTAAATGAAGCTCTCCAACCTACATTTATCAGCCTTGCTTGATCCAAACCTCAATGTTTGATAAACATTGGCACAAATTACTATGTAACAACTCTACACATTTCCTTGAATGAAAATGCAAATGTATTGGATGAGATCATCCATTTAGTGGTATGACCTTTGACTTGGCAGTTTCCCAAGAGTGACATAATAATGAACTCATAGAGTCCAAGATGATCAGATACCATAAAGACACTAAAGGTGCATGGTTGCAGAAACCACTTGTCTGCAAACATGATGCAACTCCACCAATGTTAAATGATCTGTTTGAAGAAAAACTTCTCATTACAAGTCTAAAAATCATTTCTTCTGAATGATAGCAAACAATTGAAGAAGTTAGAATAGTGAAGCTCACAGCTTCTAACGCTCAAATCTCAGTTGGGATTGTGTCACTCTTGACCAAAGATGTTGGTGCAACCTCTTTTAATGCTTAATTGTCTGGGAAGCGGAGTTGGTCTTGAATCAGATTGTCTCACCGAAATTTCCTGAGCCATCTTAGATAAATTACTTCCAGAATGTGGGCCAGGCTGAAACCAAAAAATGGACTGTTCTCGACATCAGACTGAAACGAAAGACACTGGTTTAATGCCAATCTTTTCCTGAAGTTCTTTTGAGGAAGGATAAGACCCTGCCCTTTGAGAGTTTTGTAAGGACTTAAATCAACCTGATTATTTCTGGGCTTTTTTTTAAGAGCAAGTGTTTTCAAATCCAAACTAGAAGTGTTCCCTTTTGAAAGAAGAAGAAATGTCTAACAAGCGACCAACCAAATCTACAAGAGTCATTTGAGACATTCTAAAGAAATTTCAACAATGTACAAAGGAATAGAGAGAGGTACCTAATCAGAAGGATAAACATTTTATTTTTTTAAAAAACACACCAATCTATTCAAATATTATTTTACAGTTTTTATGTGGTTTCATAATCCACAAAGTGCAAAGCTTTATTCACAATATGAAATGGTCTACAAGCACCTATTTGTACCCACGCCAGATATCGTCATCAAATTACTTTCTACAGTGTAAACCCAATCAACTAAATTATACACACTGCTTATAAAAAATACTGATGCTTCTTTTGAAAATGCAAGTAAATTCCTAATGTCTTACAATCTCCGCTCCCCACACACATACACATAGACACACAGTCACAATCAGCAACTTTCAACAAATTGCTCACATATTTTATGAGGAAAAATGATAAGAATGACACAAATTGGTAACTATTATGACAGAACTTAAAGCAATAGTTTGAAAGGGCAAGGACAAAATAAATTAACATTTCACAAAACTAATCTTACTAACGCACTGAACGTTCTTGCTGGTATTATTAAAGCACTGATGTTTAACAATGTCATTTATGTTTGTAACTACTGGGTGGATAATTGTATCTATACCAAAATCTGGAAAGCAGATTACTGTTAGCATAACAAAGACAGTTCACTTAGTTTATGACTCACCAAAAACCTTCAATATAAAAAGCTGTTCTGAAAGTTAGTCAATGGAACATTGTTTTTCTACAGCCCACAACAGCTGTTAACTCCATTTTGTTCTGAACACTGGAATTTACCATTATGGTAATTTGATTAAAACACCCACTGCGGATTTAAAAGCAAGTATGAAGTAATTGGATTCAAATTAGACTTCTATAAACTGTTGATTTTTTCTTTCAGGAAGCCTTCAACCGGGGAAGCATCTCAGAGCACTTAAATATTTAGAAATTGAGAAAAGACCAACAGATTCTGTAGATTTTCACCTCGACTGCCGAAATGAAAAGAAGCAATAAGCAACTCCCATCAATTTCACTTTAATACTATAATACTAGCCCATTAAAATAAAGGCAACACAAAATTTTAAGCACAAATATTTTTTAAAAATCTGTGCTGATTCTGTCTCTATGTTTTTATTTCTATTATTACCTATTCTCTTTTGAATTGTAACCTTTTTTTTACCTATTCTAACCTTGAACCATGTTTTGTCAGGATTGGCTCAGTTGGTAGTACTCTCGCCTCTGAGTCAAAAAGTTGTGGGTTCAAACCCCACATTGATACTTTAAACACAGTCTAGACTGACACTCCAGTACAATATTGGGATTGTGCTGCATTGCCCTTCATGATATGTCAAATCAAGGTCTCACATACCTATTCAGGTGGACGTTAAAGATCCCATGGCATCCCAATCCCCAGATAAAATTGGTCATTTATTTCATGGTTGTTTGTGGAACTATGCAATGCGCAAATTGGCTGCTACATTCATCTACAAAATTATAGTCATTAAGTTTACAATAAATCTTGTGAAGAGCTTTGAGAGGTCCTCCCAAAATACACTATATCAGATGCAAGTATTTATTATTATACTTATTTCTAACTTTACCTTTCACTTAGTTCCCATCAATTTTGTGCTGCAGAACAACCTATTTTTAAAGGTGATTTTCATTGGCTCCGAAGAGACAGCAAATGAAACCCACAGGATTTCATGAATGGTCATCAGTCTAGCACTTGAGATTATCAGTCGGGAGTTGGACCCTGCAAAAGTCCTCTTGTTAGCGGCTCCTAGGAAACAATTATACCTGAATAGAATCGTCTGGGAGTGCTGAAAGAATTACAATATTTCACGTCAGAGTAACTGCTTTTATTTTTTCGTAGTATTTTCTCCTATTCTCTCCTCTCCCATTCGAGAGGCGAGGCAGGTGGATTACCACCATGTCTCCAGCAGTGCCACACAAGAGACCACTGGGAGGCGCACCAGACTGTCCCACTGATTGCACTTCCCTTACATCTATTTCTCTCGTAGCATAGCTGGAATGAACAACCGAACAGCGAGAGGACTAAAAGACACAAATCGAAGACCATTCGATGGTCTTGCCAGCGCGCCAAACTCTTACAAGCACGCAAGTGGTCATTTGCTTCAAAAAAAAGCACATGGGAGTACAAACGTTTTTTTATTGGTGGTGGTGGTAATCATAATAATCCTTGCATTTGATATAGCGCCTTATCAAGTCTTCCGAGATGCCTCAAACATATATACTGTAAGTGATAGGCAAGTCAGTCAGAGAAAAGTTTATTCTTCGATGTAGCCCCCAAACAATAAATAAAAACTACAATCCCATTCATCACGCCTGAAAATGCACGAATTCCATAGTATGAATCAGAATTTAACGCAGAGAGGGCGATTTATTTGCACTGAAGCCCATCGCTTAGGTGTCGGAAATTTACATTGGGACTTTTTTTTGTTTGTTGTTAAAGAATAACAATAATAATCCAATGCATTTGATCGCGTGCCCTAATCACATCTTCGAGACGCCTCAAAGTGCTTCACAGAAATATGTACTGTGGAGCGAACCCAACGTGTATTTATTTTTTTTTGGTGGGGGGCACTTTGAACTCACTTCCCCCCTCCCCCACCACCACTGCCACTGGAGCATTGCTTCAAGACCCCCTTTGATCTCTGTCTATCTTGTGTCTGTCTGTGGCCAGGGTCAGATTGCAAGAGGGCAGGAGGGGGCGAGGGAGAGGGAGTGGGTGGAGGGAGGGAGGGAGTGGGTGGAGGGTAAGAAGGGGGGGGGCGGGGGAGAGAGACAGACCCTCAGCACCACCGACACCTCAGCCAATTGCCTGCCGGGGCTGGCGGTCACGTGGCGCTGGGAGGCCGCTGGAGGAACCAGAAGGTGAAGCGGCCGCTCAGACTGGAGGAGCCGCAGTGATCGGTCAGCGGCAGTTTCAGCGGTTGTACTTTTGAAAACCTACCGTTTAAACGCACGCACGTACACACACAGACACAGACAGACACACCGCCCGCGCCCCCGCCCCCCACCGACCGCACTTCACCTCACCTCTCACCATGCGAGAAACAACCGAAAGAGCAGCCACACCGTAGTAGTACGACGACGACGGCGGAGGAGGAGGAGGTAAGTTGGGAGTTAAAAGAAACACGCTAACTTAAACTTAGTGGTTTGTTTTTCAATCTCTCTCCCCCCCCCCTCCAAAAAAAAATGGAAGGGTAGAGGAGTCAGATGGTGGGGTGGAGGGGGCTTTCTCAAACGGGTGTGTTGTTTTAAGAAAAGAGTTAAAACGGGTGGGTGGGTGGGGGGGGGCGGTCGGTCGGTAGAGGCACAGGTACGGGTGTGTTTTTTTTAAAAAAAAGACTTCTTGGGGCGGGTGGTGTTTGTTTGTGTATGTGGTGAAGCGACGACGCTCGCCTTTTTTTCTGCCGTTGCTCCTGCACTCCCCCCGCCTCCCCCTCCCTCCCTCCCTCGCTCGAGCCCCGGAAAGTGACCGTTATTCGGGGGGGGGGGAGAGAGAGGAGGGCCAACAGCGCGTGTGGGGAAGGTGGCTCGAGCGGCGCGCACTGTGTGTGTGGGTGTGGGGGGGGGTAGAGAGCGCGGCTCGAGCGACCTGTGTGCGCGTGCGGCTCGCGCTGGAGCGGCTCGCGCTGCTCTTTAAACCGCCCGATGCGCCCCCACACACACACACAACGTCCGCTCGTGGTTTTCATGCCGTCTCTCTGCCTGAGGTGAGCTGTTGGCTTCTCTCCCTCTTCCTCACCACTCCCCCCCTCTCCCCACTCTTCCCCTTGAAATTCCCTGACCCCGCTGCCCGCTTCTATTTTAAATCAGCCGAAGAAACTTTTCCCCCCCTCGCCCGCCCCCTCCTCCTCCTCCTCTCTCTCGAAAAAAAGGAAAGAAGGTGAAAAGAAAATTGGAAGCCCGATAGCCGGAGGAGAGCGCTCGTCAGGTGGTGTGCGGGGAGGGAGGGAGGGGGGGGGGAAGGAAAGGAAGCGTTCGTTATCAGCCGCAGATCTGTTATTTTCGGGGTGGGTGGGCTGTGTATTTTTTTTCTGAGGGGGGGGGGAGGGAAGCCACAAAGCGTGTCCCTCACTTGCTTCAGACCAACGGCTTTTGACACGTTTTTTTTTCAAAAAAAACACACACACACACACACACGGGAGGGGGAAAATGAGGGGGAAAACGAGTCTGCAGACTCGTCCTGAGGTGTTTTTTTTCTGACACACACACACAAAAAAAAAGGCGCCCTTGCGATGTGGATCGTTCATCACCAGCACAGTGCTCTGTGAAGTAAACAGGAAAACCTCTTGCCACAAAAGTTTATGGCTCTGAAGTTTTTTTTCTCTCTCTCTCCCTCCCTCCCTCTCTCTCTCTCTCTCTGGGTTATCTGTTCTGGTGAGATTAGAGGGAAGTGTTTCTTTTTTTTAAAAAACAAATCAGGACTGGACGTTGTTTGTCACTGCGACGGGACTTGTTGACGTGTTTTTTTTTTAAAAAGACGCGTGAGTTGTGGTTCCTTATTCCTGTGATGTGCCCAGGTACCCATCCACGTCTTGCAGAGGGCGCCCACGTGAACTTTGAACACTTCCTTGGGACGTCCGCCCGACGCGAAGGGCGCTGTACAAATGTGCATTTGTTGTTGTTGTTCGTATGAACTCGTTGTCATGTTGCATATGTTGACCTCACCCTTGTCTTCAAATCCCTCCACGCCTCTGCACCCCATCTCTCTGACCTCTCTCCTCAAAACAGTGCCCGTTGCCTTCGTTCCTCCAGATGTGGCCTCCTCGTCCCCCGAGTCCTCCGCTCCCACCCTTGGCGGCCGTGCCTTCAGCCACTACGCCCCGAGGCTCTGGAACTCCCATCCTCACTCCCTTTGCCTCTCTCCTTCTCTTCCTACTTTCAGGTCTCAGCTGAAGACCGTTTTGGCCGCGCTTTTGGTCACCTTCCTCCCCCTGGCTTGGCCCCGGGATCCGTTACTGTGAAGCGCTCTGAGATGCCATCCAGCGTGGAGGGCGCTATATAAATCCAAGTTGTTGTTGAAGTTGTTGTTGATGCTTAATGAGTCATGTAATTATGGTTTGATAACTCATTTGACAGTTATGCATTTTAGAGTGAAATTACACAGTTTGGGTTGGCCTAATGTGAATTATAGCACTACATATTCCAAAAAAATGTGGAAGGCATAATTGTTACCCATCCTAGGCTTCTGATGAACTCGGTAGATGAAAATGAGTTGATATTGACCATTTGTGTATACAGTACTTTCCAAATGGAGCAAAACTACAGCTTGTAGGGAAGGAATATGAGATGTATAGTAGCAGCTGGGAGAAGAGAGGAGGGTTTGATTCAAGCATTATCAAATGTTGAGAACAATATAGATTTTTAATACTCTAATTTTAATACTCTTGTTAAATTGTTAACATAAATAGCTAATGCTAACTAAACCGTGTATTCTCTCCTTTTTTAGGATTTGCCATCCTCAACTTTTTTTAAATTTGAACTTTCTGATGGTCTTTTAGCCAAATTTACGAGTTGTCCAGAGGATTTCACAAGCAGCACAGCAGTTGGGATGTTGCGACAGAACGTCGGAAGCAATAAACGTGGTTTGGGCCTTACCCGTTTCTCCAGTTCAAATTTCTTTGCCTTGCCCAGCTCGGGAAACAGGAGCATGGGCCGAAGTGCCAAAAGCGGCTCTGTTAGCAGCAGCATCTCCCATTCAGATTGTTATGATAGCCCAATGGTGGACCCAGAACACATTATGCAGTTGGTGAATGATGTCAGGAAGTTTTCAGAAGTACTGGCAAATTTGAAAGAAGCCTTTCTTTCAGAAGGTGCGTCATTTACTTTGTGCTTATCCTTCAATTTCCTTAGGATTAACTAGATTTGGCAATGCAAAATGCACACAGTAGTGATCGTAACAGATTTTTCTATGCTTTGCTTCTGCCAAAACCCCAAATAAGGATAAGTGTTAGTTACATTTGTTTAGTCTTTCTTTTTGATGGGAGGAGGAACCTTTTAACTTATCAAGAATCATCAGTCAAAATGCAGATCAAAAGAACATTGGAAACACATTAACTAATGTTAATTAATTAATGAACTCATATTAATTAATGTGAGAGTGAGCTATAAAGATGTAATTAAACTGAGGGGTTGAAATAATGATCTGGATTATGCATAATTTGATGAACCCTAAGAATTTACTGCTGGAGTCTTCAATCCTGTGAAATTCACCTAGTTTGCATTGTGGGGTCAACTTCAAAAATGCAGGTATAGACAAATGATCTTGTGTGTAGTTTTATAGAAGGCGGGAATAATAACTTTTATTTCTAGCAGGATACATTGAAGAGACTAGAAGACCTGTAGAGATTAGTGACGCATAAAGTGCATTGCTAACCTCAATTGTCAGCCCACCCACAATCAGAAAAATGTTTGCAAGTGCTGCTGATAACAAGCATTTATATTTGCTGGTGGCAGCACTGCATTTATTGGAGGAGCCCTTAAAATCATTTGATAGGTTTGATGTTTAGTGAAGTTCCCCATCTTTATGGGGGGGGCGGTGGGTGCAGACGCATATACTTTTAAATCAAAGGTTTGACTCTGATAATTTAAATCAATTGTTTTAGCATTCACTCAGCCAGTTTTATTCTTTTTAAAGCCATCTAGCCTTCTTTGGAAAGCAAGTTAATTTAATTTTGTTTAATTGTTTGTTTTAGTAAATCAGCCTATGATAGAATGCCTATGATATTCTTAAGTGGGCTATTCTGCAATGCCACAATAAATCAATTGGATCCAGCAGGGGGTGTTGTAACCTGGTTGGAAGGGTATTAATAATTTCCTCTTCATGAGCGGCAAAGGGTATGAAATGCTGATTGAAATATTAACCGCGTAGAAGATTTACCTTCCATTTCATCTTTTTTTCTGACTTTTTTAAAAGATTTTAAATTCATTGTTACTGCATTAATTCAACAGAATCTTAATGTCCTGCATTTTTAATGCTACATAGAATTAATCAGAAAAATGGGAGGATGATCTAAAATATTCTTGTTTGTTTCCTACAGCAATAACAGTCTTGTGCAGACTTAGATCTGGTAAAATTGTTTAATCTGTGTGTAAGAATAATGTAAATCAAGAAAGATGTTGTGAATTTACTACTAATAATAATAATGCTGCATTTGGTATAATAATAATCATTGCACTTGATAAAGTGCTTTTCACGTCTTCTAGACGTCTCAAAACGCTTCACAGAATATGCTGTAAAGTGAATTGACTGTACATTTGTGGGTGAAACATGGCAGCCAATTGCGCACAGCAGTGTCCCACGAACAGTCATGGATTGAAATTGACCAATTTATTATTGTTTTTTTTTATATAGCACCTTTCACGTCAGGAGGATGTCCCAAACCACTTCACAGGACTTACTGTGAAGTGGAGCGACTGTGTATTGAGCATTGTAATAATAATCCCTCCAAAACCAAAACAATAATAGATTGGTCATTTTCAATCTACGACTGTTTGTGGGACATTGCTGTGCGCAATTGGCTGCCGCGTTCACCCACAAATATACAGTCAATTCACTTTACAGTGTGTTTTGTGAAGCGCTTTGGGACGTCCCCCCGACGTGAAAAGCGCTATATCAAATGCAAGGATTATTATTATTATTATTATTATTGTCTCAGTTGATCAGGACTTGGGAGAAACACCTTTCTCTTTTCGAATAGCGCCATGAGTTCTTTAATCTCCACCTGTACAAGTAGACAGGACCTAGGTTTAATGTCTCATCTGAAGGATGGCACTTCCAGCAATGCAACATACCACCAGCATTGGAGTCTCATTTTAGATTATAGGAGTCCAGGTCCCAACATGGGTCATTAAACCCACATCCTTCTGATTTGGAGGCGAGAGTGCTACCACTGAGCCAGGTTGATGCAGTGTTTTCGGTTTTAATTAATACTTCATGTAAATTGAGTACTTTGTAGTTTTTTTTTGTTCAGTTTTAAATGCTGGATGGCAGTTTGGGGCCAGTGGTAATTTTTATTCTTTTTCACAAGCATATTTGTGTTTTCTTCCAAAAAGAGAACATGTTGCTCATCACCACTTGCTTGAAGTGTAGATATAGGGTGAGGAGAAATGTGTGTGATGCCACCGAGGTGAGCCTTCTAATGCTTATTGTCTAGATTAACTTGTGATGAGTGGTCACTTGGAGAGGTACTGAAGGACTGTTTGTGTCTGTAAAACCCTGGACAACATGAGTGTTCTCAAGTGAAAATGTGTGTGGGAATATTTTGAATGTATTTCTGACAATGAACACAGCAGTGTCCCACAAACAGCTACAAAGTGAATGATCATTTTTATTTGGGCATTGTTTGCCAGGATACCAGGAGAAACTCCCTTTTCAAATACTGCCATGGGATCTTTAACACTCACCGAACTAGAAGGTGGAACCTTGGATTAATGTCTCAACTAAATGAGGGCACCCCCAGTGCTACATTGGAGTGTCAGCATAGATTATGAATTTAAAACCCTAATGTTGAGTTTAAATCCACCACTTTTGATCTCAAAGGCAAGAGTGTTATCAACTGAGCCAGGCTAACATGTTGTACGGTGACAAAAATTCTTTGGAATTCCATGGTTTTTAAGCAATATTTTTCTGAAGTCAGTAAAGCTGAACTCCGGTAAAACTTGATGAACAATCAGGTGTTTAAGTACAACAGGCTTCATTTTAATATACTCTATTGGAGACCTTTTAAGATTTTATAGTAAATAATTTTTGCATTTCATATACTGTTGCGTCTTTCATATCAGGATGGTGTCTCAAAGCGCTTCACAGGATTTTTGCGTAGATACTGGCTGTAGGCGAATGCAGTAGCCAATTTATGTGAATAGAAATGAGCCATAAACAACTATAAAATGAACTACATAGAGTGCATCTAGACCAATGAAGATTTTCTACTTATTAGGGCCAAATTCTTTCCATTTGGTATGTGTCACTACCGTCATTAATCCTGGTATTGAAGAAATTATTGGTGATTGCAGTGCATGTATGCCAATGTTTTCCTTGGCTGTAGCGGTACTTTGGGGAAATTGACACTTTAATGTGTGCGTGTTCATCCTATTCTTAATGGAAATAGCATTTTGAAAGTTGTCATGACACTAATTACAAAGAAAATTCAGGCTATATACTTTCCAGTCTACTCTGTTTGCTAATGCTGAAACTTTCCATGCATTGCAGATGATCAAGGGAAATAATTTTTCAGCCATAGAAGCTATCCATTGTCAGAATGCAAAGACATTAATTGTAGACGGGAGAAATTGCAAACAAAAAGTCTGTGCAGACAATACTTACAAAGACTGAAATTTTAAAGAGTCCTGCCCATCAAACTGGGTTTTAAACCCATCCTCCTCTAAAAATCCAGCCTCAATTTATCTTTTAAACCTTTCAGCTTCTGAACTTCAATTTATGGACTTATTAAAATCGTATTTTTCAGGTCATGCAGCCAACAGACCAGTGTTTGCAAATGCCCTTTAACAATGACGAGGTTTCTTAGTCAAACAGCCTTTCTTATGTGAGAATAAAGTGTGTTTTACTTAGTAATTCCTGTTGCTTTTTCACATGGAAATCGACATCCTCCTTTTGTATGCAGCTGTGAAAGAATGCCATGAGGTTAAGTGATGATCCTATAGTTGGATACGTATTCAGTATATCCTACTGTGGTGCAACTTGCAAATTTGGGCTTGAAGTAATGCCAAAAATAACTGGGTAATAATATAACATTCTATTTTAAATATTTCCTTTGCAGCACAGTGTTTCATTTTTCAGTAATATGTATATTTTGAAAATCTGCCCATGGTAAGAAACACTTAGTAACGTAGGTTCAGTGTTTAAGCTATGTTTATATTTGGACATACTGTAAAGTTGCTTCAAATAGAAGTAGTTCTGCAGTTCTGATCCCTTGGTGCAGTAGATTCACTTTTTTAAGGTGGATTGTAGAGAAGACATCGAAATTTTTTTAAAAAAACATTTTTTATGTAACAGTGTAAAAACAGAGTAGGATGTTGTCTTAAAACATTTCAGAACACATTTTAGTGTCATTTTAAAATTGAAACCTATCTCGTGTGGCTATTTTACACACAACTAATATTTTGCGGCTCGGTATTGCAGTATTTTGGTGAGGAATATAGTTGTGTGATTCTCAGAAGCTTTTGAATTCAGATTTCAAATCTAAGTGAGATAAAAGTAGGCATAAATAATCTGAAATGCAACACCCAAAATACCCATATTTAATTTCTAGAAAGATTGTAAAGTGACATTCTTCCAAGCACTGTTAATGTTTTAAACATTTCTGAAGTGTCAAATGTGGACACAGGCTGATTTTGTTCTTTCACTATAGATTTTGTGCCAACTCACGTGCGTTTCCCTTATTGAAACAAAGATGCTTCTTAATTAGAAAGCAACAGGTTACTTATTTATTAGCCACTTTTGCTGACAACTGATGAAGACTGATTGAGAGAGTTACCATAGCATGACATGCAACTCCAGAGATCCTGTTGTGCTGCTGACAAAGTTTTTCACAAATACAGTAATGTGCTGAGTCAATATGCTTAATTGCTGCACAATGTAGGTTTGAAGAGGGTATAAATGAATAGCTGATAGAAAGCTGGTTTCTATCAAAAATATGAACATTGTATGATCATGAACCACATTCATCTAGATCAGATTGCTACAAAAATTACCATATTATACTCTGACTATGGAATAAAGCAAAATCTATAATTTTTAGGGCAATATATGTGTATATCTTACTTCTCTGAGCCAGTCCTTTTAGAACTACTTTAGTGATTATAATTATGCACAATGTTTGAGAGCATTTTCCACATCATGAATGTTGTGAAGACTGGTCTAGAATTGTCTTGGGTTTTATGTTTGCTGCCCTGCAATACATCTACGGTATGGTAACACGTTATAAATGCATAAACATTGTCAGTTTTACTGATTTTGAGCAAGGATGTGTCGTCTGAGCACGAGGCACATATAATTATAAATTTAATAGGATCAAGCTTCAATTGATAAATTGATAAATCCATCTGATGGGCAAGTGGGTGGTTTTCTCTTCTGATCAATGGCACCTCTAGGAACATAACACGGTACTGTCGACCCTAAATATGAGCTCAAACCTTCCATATTTGCTTGAGCCCGCAACCTTCTGACCCAGAAGCGAAAGTGAACCGCCCTGAACCAAATGATCTACCAATAATACTCGAGTATAAGCTTATAATGGATAATTTATTGTTTTATGAAAAGGGTATTATGGAATGACATTACATCCATGTGGAACATCTATATCTTTCGAACACCACTTGGTTGAATTTGCATTTTTCTAATACGTTTTGCAACAAAACACTGAACAATACTCTCCCCACTTTTAGGTTTGTACTTCACAAATGATAACTAGACAACAGTCCATGTGTCATAATTTTGCACGGTCTGATTGAATTAAGATGCTTTGTGTTTGAAGCGAGGGTGTGGCAAATTCATCATGTAAAGTAATGAATGTGAGCTTATTGTTATTCAACATGTTGTTCAAAAAAAAAAGTCTGCATCCAGAACAACATTCTTGCCTTTTCATTGTTTTTCCTGTTTCCTGTAGAAAGTTAAATTTATCTTGCTTTGCTGGTGTATCCATACACATGTTTTTTTTTGTTTAGTTACTTTTAGTGAAGTTTTAAATCATTTATTTTCCTCTGGGGGGGGGAAAAAGATTGTTGTTTAGTACCTTCAAACAGAGGTTTGCTAGTTTTATTTATGGTTATGTATAAAGAATTGATCCGATAGCAACTCTCTAATTTGTTTCTATACGACGAAGGAAGTGGGCAGGCAACTCTGTAAGTGGAAATGTGCAATTCCCTGTGGTGACTCTACTTCAAGATGGCAGACCTAATGAAGGGTCCAGCCACGTTCCTGTTTTCTGCAGGCTTAATCATACGGGTGAGAGTGTTTTAGAATAATTGTATACACAATTACTGTTGCAAGGTTCACCTATATTTTCCTTCATTGTGAAAGAATAAATATCACTATGTATTCAATTGTATTTGAGGTAGATTGTGAGGTTTTTAAATGTGCTATACATTTTAGTGTTGTGCTATTTTTGGAGGGGAGAAGTATTTTTTTCTTTCCTTAGAATTTGAAGCTGTTCTCCTGTGGTAAAGGAAATGAATGTTTATATCATTTGCATTGTACTTTAAGCTACAGGATGAGTCCTTTCTTATAGAAAGGCTTAGAAATATTGAATGGGCTCCCTGGTGATTTATTTAAGAATTCAGAATAGAACTGTTGCTCTGAAAGATTTATAGAATGGAACTTTTATTAATTGGTGCTTTATTTTACTTGTGTTTTATATAAAATAAGTAGTGTGTCATCATTCAATCAAAATAAATACTGCACTGGAACTACATAAAGTTGTAGACGGCTAAATACCTTCAAAAATATATCCTCTGTGGCTATAGATGGAAAGGGACAGAGCCAAATGTACCCTTCAAATGCAACAAACAAAGCTTAGCAAATTATCCCTTTGCATTTACAGCCGACAGAAGCTCAAACAAAAGTTGTCTGCTGAGATTTTCTTCACGTAACATCCCATGAAGATCCTTTTTCAAATTGCATTCACAGTTGCACAGGGTGTCGTTGGTAATTTTGACCTGTGTAGTCTATTCTTAGTTCTGTGAGTCTGTCAACATTCATATGTATTATTTGCAAGAATCCATATTAGTGTTTGCTGAGTTTGAGAAAGGTGCACAATCTGATAAGGTTAGCTCCTTTAAAAATACTCAAACAACTTGAAGTTGAGCTATAATTTAACGTTTAAGCACAATCCTCAAGATGTGGTCAAAAAGTCAAATGTAAAAAGACAATATTGAGATGACTTTTGCAGAGTTTGAAATATAATTGTAGCGTCTCAGATGGGGAGAAATAAATAAGTGCTACATTGTGAACAGGAGCATGGCTTCATAATGATTGTATCATATGTGTAATGTGCAGCTTGAACTTTTAAGGCACAAAGCTGCACTGGAGCCTGGTATGGTTTTGTTTTTAAAAAGAATGGAAGTGAAAGTTGCAGCATAGCTGCATTTGACAGTTGCATGCACATTTCAGCAGGTTTTGTCTAAAATGATTAGGGAAGCACATTCATAATGCATCACATAGATCATACTATGTTTATTGGAAGTCACTGTTTAAGGAAGTGTATAATTGCTGAACACTTGACTACAGTATGGTTTTCTTTCTCTTTCAGCAAATAAAGTTTCTTTACATTCTGTGGCCCATGAACGTTTAGGAGAGCTATTAAGAGTATTAAAAGCAGTGATTAGCAAACACCAGTCATTGAATTCTGTGGACATTCTAAGTGCAACAGGGACAGTCATTTCTAAAGTAAAAGGTAAGTGGAACAGTAATTTTTCAACTGAGTTGTAATGTATCAATGGTAAGACAAATATTGGTAAAATATATGAAAAGTCAAAAGAGCGGTCTAAATTTGAGGTTTTTTTTAAAAATCTGCTAGGTTAATCATATAGGAGAATTTTCATAATACAGTGCTGCATAGTCTTTTACTGAATGAACTGTACACAGATGTATTTAAATAAACACATTTGAAAATTGTCCCTTGTTTTGCTGGTTTTAATTTGCTTAACTGAAATAGTTAATACTTTCTGTTTAGGATTAGAAGTTTTACCATACTTTCCCCAAAATTGTTTCACAATTTCTGTTTCGGTGGAAGTAATAGCATGAATATTTTCTATTTGAATTCTGTAGGTAATATATGCCACAGAAGACAGTAATGATTTACCCTGAACGAAGTGAATATTCATGAATTACATTCATTTAGCTATTGATTAATTTGATTTTGTCAAATGCTTTGATCTGGTTCCACAGTAAGTTAAACAGACAAAGGCAATGTGTGCTACCCCATCTAGCCCATCCACTTTAATGCTAAATGCTGCTTTAATTAGCCTGTTGATGTGGCAACCTGTGGACAGAAAGAAGTTAGCAAATGGGGAGCAGAGCAATTAGTTATCAAAGATATAATGGCGAATAGTATTTGACTATTGTAAATGGAATGTAACATGCTATCAAATCCCTTCATGCCCTCGCATCTTCCTACCTATCTGATTTGCTTACCCTCCCACTCCCCCACCTGCTGTCTCCGCTCGGCTGGCTCCAGCCTCCTGTTTGCCCCTCGTCCCCTCCTCTTAACCATTTGTGGCTGTGCCTTCAGCCACTATGCCCCGAAACTCTGGAATTCTCAATTCCTCCATCTTGCCCCACCCCTCCCCACTTTTAAATCCCACCTGAAGACCTTCCTTCATGATTATTCTTACGGTCACTTCCCCCCTCCCTCTCCCCTTGGCTCGGGGAGTGACTCTGCCACTGTCGAGTGCTCCAGGACGCTATCCCATGTGAAGGACCCTATATAAATGCAAGTTGTTGTTAATAAATGCAAATGCATTTAATTCCAGCACCACCATCCAAAATCCATAAACTGCTGTTGAAAATCTGACATTTATTATAAATCATTTTTTAAGAAATTGAACTTGCTTGCAGTTAAGCTTGCAGACATAATTTGTTTTTTTTGGGCCAGCTGGGTAACTGACAAATGCAAAAAACAATCATCATACTTAAGAGTATCTAAACCAGAGTGAGAATTCCACATTTGTATGTCACTTACATGTGTGTGGTGGGTGGAGGAAACTACCATTAGACAGACATTCTATGCTTCTATGGCAAACATTTAGTTGCTAAAAGTTCACTAAATTTATTGGGTGGTGGAAAATATGACAAGAACCACAAACTACAGTTTTTCCAAATGTCAAATTTCTGGATCAAATTTGACCAGACCTACTGCAACCAGTGACTTTGGTTGCAACACAACTGCAGGAAGTTTGTTTCCTCAAAACTAGAGGGATCAAAGGGCTTAAGCAAAGCTCTTACCAGAAGTCTTCCTGTAACAGGAAAAAAAAATCTTTGTTTAGATGTCATGTACACAATTTTGATTGGTGTTGGCAATTGCAAATGAGATGGGAAACTTAAGATTTTGGCATTGACAGGGCAAGGTTTTTGTTTGTATTTTTGTCATCTAGATCATTTTAATTCCTACAGTGATTAGTTGTTACAAAGTAATGTTTATTTGAACAACATGTAGTGCTATCTTCTGTAGTATGTGAGAGGAAGTCTGTTATGAAGACAAATATTTTAGTGGCCTGTGGAATGGATCACATTTTTTCCAAATATTAAAGCTTGATACGTTTGACGGGGGTGGGTGGGAAGAGAAAGGTAAGAATTTAATTATCTTCTGAAAACGTGATTTTAATCATTTTCATTTAGTGTTTTAACTAGCATTTTCTTCTTAATCACTGAAAGGACTAGATGGATTACATTAGGGTTCCTTTTTCAAACAAGTTTAGAAGGTGCCTGATTATGTTTTGTTTACTTTGCTGTTCATCCATTATTACGTTCAGAGGCACAGGAAACTGATGTCTTTACAAGATTGCAGTTACAATCTTGATATAACAGAAGATCTGTAGATTCTTGTCACTTGTTAATGTTTAGGTGAAGAAATTCCTGTACTCAGTGTGTCAGTCGTTTTGTCCATTGATTTTTTTTATATCAAAGCTGGCTTGGTCTGGCTGGCAATGTCTGCATCAAATTTAATGGCTGTGAGTTTCTTCAGGACAACAACAAGAAAAAAAAGTATGGGCACAATTTGGATTAGTGATAACAAATTTGAGTTAAGTTAACCACTAGACTTTACAGAATCGAAAATATTTCTTTGGTGACGATAGGGTTGAGAATGCCATGTTTTTTTTATCATTGCAAAATTGTAACAAATCTGATTCGCTAATGCAAGGTGAAATTTTTATAAGTCGAAATATGCAGCACTAACTAAATTTCTGTTTTTTGAATTATATTGCAAGTTGTAACTACCCTTTAGTTACATAGAGCAAACGCTACATGTATCTCACATATGTATGTAATTTCCCTTCAGGTGCAAACTACAATGAAGTGAATGATGACAGAAGAGAACATTTTGGTGATATATTTGCTTCTATCGACACGTTAGCATTCACCTTTGGTAATGTGTAAGTAATTATTTAGGCTTTTTAACTCGTGTGCAAAAAAGCTTCTAAAATTGTTTGTTTGAGGCCTTTGATCTCTTCAGTTCAGTTTTGAGGAAACCAGCTTCCTACTGTATTGTTCAGCTACATTCAACATTTTAAACTTACTTAGAAAGTCACTTTTTAAACAAAAGAATTTCAATTCTTGAATTTTTCTTATCTTTCAACTATCTGAGTAAACAATCCAAAACATGTACGTTATATTAAATGAGTATATTTTGAGTGAATCAAGTTTAGGCTGTAAAAAGACAATCTTATCTGTGTAGGTGGATGCTGATGATCCCATCACTATTCAAAAAGGGAAGGGAGGGTCTCACGATTTCTGACCAGCAAACCTGCCATATAAATTGCCCACTCAATTCATGGCTGTTTCTGGAATTTTGCTATTTCTCCCTGCTGAAGGGGAAACATTATTAACCTTTTGTATAAAATGTCAGTTATTGATTTATAAATATCTGAATCAAATACATCTGACTTGCAGCATCTCAAACTTCCTTATGGGAGATATGGACAACTCCTCATCCTTGGGAGTCCCACTGACTGGGAGAAGCCGGGTAAGTTCCCAGAAAATCATGTTAGAATATGAAAGTTTGATGCATGAAATCGTTAACTTGCTGAAGCTTGGTAGTTTTTCATTTGTTAAACTATTGTTTTATTCCAGCTATGTAATTGATTTGTTATGAAGAAATATTGATTTTGATTTTATTATTTGCAAGTCTTTTGAAAACCTGTCCTTGGGATCTGGAGGGTCAGTTCAAGAAAGAGATGATCTACGGAGTACAGGTACAATTTATCTATTGAGTACTAAATACTGCCAAATGGGCTTCACATTTTGGTTCCAATTGATTATATTTGTCCTCATTGGCTCAACTTAAACATAGAAATACCCCTTATTCCCTCAAGCTCTAAGATTTCTTTTCACCCTTCAGTAAAATGAGCTTGTTTCATGTGCTTTTCTTTCATGTTCAAGTGGACATTTGTTTACATAAAAGAAAAAAAAGATTCTCGGTAGTCATCCCATGATTAGTCTTCAGCTTTTACAATTATTTTGATTGCCCTTTTAAATCAGTTTTGCTTACATTTGAAAATTTCCTTTTTTTAAAAAAAAAGCTTGCTGGTCCAATGACTGCCATTTTCCTCAATTCCCTTAGGTGCTTTAAAATAATAATAATCTTTGCATTTGATATAGCGCTTTTCACGTCTACTAGACATCTCAAAGCGCTTCACAGAATATGCTGTAAAGTGAATTGACTGAATATTTGTGGGCGAAACGCGGCAGCCAATTGTGCATAGCAGTGTCCTACAAACAGTCGTGGATTAAAAATGACCAATTTTTATTATTGTTTTGGAGGGATTGTTATTAGGCGTGTGGAGTAAGGAAACTTGCCCATGGTTTCGACTTGCGTGGAATTGAACCCAGGTGTCTCGCTTGCAAGGCGAGTGCTCTAACCACTGAGCTACAGGACTCCGCACGCCGCTTTATGGGGGGCTTTCATTTTCTGATTTGATTTCAACAACAACAAGATTCCATTTATAGAGCGCCTTTCACGTCGGGAGGACGTCCCAAGGCTCTGTACAGTTGAGTCAGGACCCGAGCAGGGGGGAAATGGTCAGGATGAGGGGAGGGAGCGAGGAGGGGGTAGAGAGTCGAGAGGGGAGCTGAAGCTCAAAGAGAAAGGTCTTGAGACCGGCCTTGAAGGAGGAAAGGGAGGAGGCGGCGAAGGCACTGGGGGATAGAGTTCCAGAGCCTCGGGGCTGAGAGGCTGAAAGCCCGGCCACCGATGGTAGGGCGGTTGGGGCAGGGGATGTGGAGCAGACCGGAGCCAGAGGAACGGAGGGTACGGGCAGGTAGGTAGGGGGATAGTAGGTCAGAGAGGTAGGAGGGAGCTAGGTGAGGATGAGGATCTTGAATTCGATTCTCTGGGGGATGGGGAGCCAGTGTCCTGTAGCTCAGTGGTTAGAGCACTCGCTTTGCAAGTGAGAGACCTGAGTTCAATTCCAGGCAGAGGGCGAATCCTTGGGCAAGTTTCCTTACTCCACACGCCTAATAATAATCCCTCCACAAAAAAAAACAATAATAATAAATTGGTCATTTTCAATCTACGACTGTTTGTGGGACATTGCTGTGCGCAATTGGCTGCCGCGTTCGCCTACAAATATACAGTCAATTCACTTTACAGTGTGTTCTGTGAAGCGCTTTGGGACGTCCTCCCGACGTGAAAAGCGCTATATCAAATGCAAGGATTATTATTATTATTATTAGAGGTGCGGAGGCGCTGACGCAAGCCAATCAGGAGGGCCTCAGTTTTACGCATGTTGAGCTGAAGAAAGTTATTTCTCGTCCAGGACTCAATGTCAATATTTATTCAGAAAACATCTCCATTTGGCTAATAATTCAAAACAGTCCCTTGCTGACTAGAATCATAAACATGAAAGAGTAGTTGTGATTCTCTTTGTGGGAGAAATGTATACTTTACAATGCCTGGATCTCAACTGCCATGAAACTTTTTTTTTATATACGAGTCCAGGTGAGTAATTGGTAAAAGATGCCTTAGTCTTTGAATGCTTTTGAAAGTGTTTCAACAAAGATGTATGCAAACACCACCTTGCACATCAGAATCTGTCTTAAATTTCTTTGCTCTATTTACATTTGTTCTGATATTTGCAGATCAATATTGTCCTGATGGTCCCAGATTACTAGTACCTATAATCTGATGGGTTCAGGCAATCTAGCCAAATATCAATAAGGATTAAAATGGGCAAAAATGCTCTATCATGCATCTATAAGATAATTTCCTTTTGAGTATATCTATTGTGATGATATTTGATGGACCACCTGAAAATGTTTGATTAGAATTTGAAGTCAACAATTATTGCTGGAAATAATAGCTGATATTGTGTGGTCAATTTGATTGCTATTAAAATGTTTAATATTTTAAATGCAATAAGGCAATATACTTAATATACGTATATTGTGCTTAGATTTTTATGATGGGGGAAGTCCAGTCATTGTATCATTTGGAATGATTTTCCTTTCATCCCCTCCCCCACCATCATTCTGATTTAGTGTCAACTTGCATTAAGATATATTTCCAAGGTCAAAGTGGCTTTTCAGAACAGACATTTTGGATGTCAGCTTGTTGGTGGGACTCGGTCTGTCTGATCCTCATTTCCTTATGTTCGACTTCCTGTTTTCAGGGACTCTTCGAGCAGAAGATCTTGACAACATGTTGTTAAAAATTGATAGTGGAATAGAATCGGCTCTAATTTACACAAAAACCTGGTCAAAATATACCAAAGATGTTCTGGCCTGGTTAGAAAAAAGGCTCAACCTGGGTGAGTTGTACACTATGCTGTCTGATCCTATTTATCAAGATAGATTTAAATATGTCAACTGGATTATGCTGTTGCAGTATCTTTGTTGCTAATGTAATTGTAAAATTCAGTGACTTTTGCATAAATAATTGTTACCTAATTATTAAATGTGATCATTTCCATTTTAATGTTTTAGATATTGCTAAAATGTCAGATAAAATGGTTAATGACATTATTAGTGATTTTTAAAAGTTGCATCGCGTCTCTGTGATGGTTTTTCTGCAATCTTCAACTGAAGTTTTATTTTTTTCAGATGTGGAATATGCAAGAAACTTTTCAAAACTGGCTGAATCTGCTAAAACATCTATCAGCCAACCGGTAAATACCAAAATTGTTTTAATGTTAATCCTTTAAAAACTGGTGCTTATCAAGTTACTCACTTCTAATGTTTTGTTGCCGTTAAATTATTTTACACTGTAGTTTCTTTTCTGGTAGATTAATTCTAATTTATCATTGTAGAAAGTTTACAATTGCACTGCCTGCTTTTTGTCACTCTAAAAAAAATCCCAACGAAAATAAGTCTACTTGTTAAACAGAATTTGAAATGACTGTTTTTACAGTAGGAATGAGAAACTATTCAGTTCATACATGTACCAGCTTGACTCACTCTGCATTGGGATTGCAGCAAAGGGATAAACATGAATATCATGCTGTCTTGTTTTATATTGTTCTTAGTCACTGCTATAAAAGCTACAAACAATATTATTTAAAGCACTGTAATTTTGAAATTTTACTATAAAAATATGAATTTTTTTTAACAAGTCAATATTTTTACTAGGAACATATGCCATTTCAATCAGTTTACATCTCTGCCTTTGAATATGATGTTGAATATAGTCAGCTTCTGCTTCAAACAGGAGCAGCACTCCAAACAAACAAATTTATTCAGGTGAGACAATTTATCAGAAATATGATCATGTATTTTATACTCACAGTCAGTTTTATTTTGTTTGGCCTTACTATTTTCTTTAACTTTTATATAGCTCTTGTTTGCAGTTAGTAGTGGTCAAGGAGCAATGGTTTGCTTGATCTTTTTTCAGTTTAATATAATTTACTAATTTATTTTCAAGGTCAAAGAGACATTGTGCACTGTAGTTTTTGAAATGTAGGGTTTGATCAATAGTAAATTATAGGTACAAAGTTATCTTTCAGAATTTTGCGAGCAGAGTAACACCCTTGCTCTATCTGGCATTTGAATTAATCATTTTATTCTGCAAAATGTCTTAATTTCTGGAGGATGAATTGAGTCCATAATATTAAGCTGTTGTATGAAAATGAAATTCTGGTTATGTTTTTGCAGCCTCTTTTGTTGCGAAGAAACGAACTGGACAAACAACGTAAAGAAATCAAAGAACAGTGGCAACGAGAGCAAAGAAAAATGGTACTATGCTCTATAGTTAATAACCATCCCTATAACTACTGACCTCTTTAGCTTCACATCTACTATTTGCTGTATTGTAATAATACTTGCATTTGATGTAAAGTCTTGTTACATTCAAGTGTCTCAAAGTGCTTCATGCAGTGAGTTACAATGAAATGTCTGTTATCTCAGTAAACTTGGTAGCTAATCTGCACCAATAATGGCTGGAAATTGATTTAAAGTGAATTTCCAATTAGTCTGTCTTTGATGAATTTGCATGATGGAGAAAGATTGGCCAGAACATCAGAAAACTCCCTGCTCTTTGAAATATTGCTAATGGTTCTTTGCATTTACCCAATAAGCATCTATTAGAACAGGCAAATAGGCCCTCAGTAATGCACTGTAAAATTAGCCTTGATTGAGCTCAGGTTCTGGTAAGATTGTGCCCACATCCTTTTGACTCAATGATGAAATTGCAATAAGCTGACACTGCTTATTGAAAAAGATGAAATCTTAAAAATATTGCCATCTTATGTAATTTGCAGCAAGAAGCAGACTCAACCCTTAAAAAAGCAAGACTATTACACGTTCAGCGACGAGAAGAATATGAGAAGGCAAAATCTTCCACAATCCGAGCAGAAGAAGATTTGACCTTAAATGGTGGACAAGTTGGAAATTATAACCGGCAAATTGAAAAAAAGAAAAAACTGGAAGAAGAAGCTTTACAAAAAGTAATTAAAAAAAAAACTTCGGAAAATTCTGAGAATATCTTTACAATAGTCATACTTTTTTCTGTTATTTAAAGAATGTTGTATATGATTACATTGAAAGTCAGACTGTAGATAAAATGTTGTATTGTGTATGCCTAAAAATCCTTTATGCTGAATAAACCTCTTCAGCTACAGTTAGTAGTTACTGTACTAACTACCTCTTCATGTGATTAGCACAGTAACTACTAACTGTATTGTTTTTAGGAGTAAAATCTTTATTTCAAAATTTCTACCATGTCTGAATGTTTCCTGAGCCTTTAGCAAACTTAAACTGAAGACTTGATGCATAAATCCCTATTTTAAATTCATTCAGCGCATTACTATTTCTGTTGGTGCAGTAGTTAGTACAGGTTTGTTTGCTGTCAATCGATTATTAGGTCAATAGTGACAATTGTATGGTAAATTTGTAGAATTATAATTCTGCTTTTCTAGACATAAATTGTTTGTGTTGCAGGCTGATGAAGCTGGAGAGCATTACAAAACGTGCATATCTGATGCCAATGAAAAACGAAGCGAGTTGGAGGAAGTCAAAAGTGACATACTGACACAACTACGTGAACTAGTCTATCAATGTGATCTCACTTTGAAATCAGTAAGCATATTACATGGGTCTTATATTACATAATCCAGAACTCTGCAGCCCGTGTCCTCTCACGCACCAAACTCTGTGACCCCACCTCCCCCACTCTCGCCCGACTCCACTGGCTCCCTATCCTTCAGAGGGTCCAGTTCAAGATCCTGGTCCTCACATGCAAAGCCCTCCATGGCCTCGCCCCACCCTACCTCTGCGACCTTCTAACCCCCTACCAACCCGCCGGTTCCCTCCGCTCAGCCGGCTCTGTCCTGCTCCATGTCCCTCGACCCACCCGCCCCACCATTGGCGGGAGAGCCTTCAGCCACTCTGCCCCAACCTCTGGAATTCCAACCCCAGTCACTCTGCCGCCCCCCCCTGCTTAGCCTCCTTTAAGTCCTGCCTCAAGACCCTCTTCTTTGACCATGCCATCGTCCACTCCCCTCCCTCCCACCCCCCCCCACCCCAGCTCGGGTCTGAAATGCTGTACTCTGTCCAGCGCCTTGGGACGTCCTCCCGATGTGAAAGGCACTATACAAATGTAATCTTGTTATTGTCTTCTGCCAAATTTATAGCTTAGATAAAGATATTAAGAGTTTTAGCTTTGTGAGTAGAACTTGATAAACATAAAATATTTGAAATTGTATTTGATTAGACTGAAATGACATTTTAAATTTCAAATTTAAAATGTCAACAAATTCAATTTTTCAGGTGACTGTCAACTTGTTCCAAATGCAGCATGCCAAAGTGGTATCCCTTCCTGTTAACTATCAATCTCTTTGTGAAAATACCAAGTTGTATGAACCAGGGCAACAGTATTCCGAATTTGTCAAGAGCCTACCAAAAGAGGAAGTTCCTATGGGACAATACTTATTTGAGTCTTCTGTTCCATCAGCTGGAGGGTAAGTGTTGGGTGATGGTCCTTAATTATGCAATGGGAACTTGCTTAGAGTAAACCAAGGCATATGTTGGTCTTCTATGGCGAACCAAAAAAAACTGTAGAGAACACCTTTTATATTGTGAATTTGCAAATTGCAAGTTGGTTTGCATAGCTGAGGAGAGGCAAGAGATGTCAAGCAAAAAAAGCCAAAAATTTAAAACATGTCGTCAGGGTTATTCCCATGCTCATCCTCATAATCTTTTATTATGGGTAGTATTGACAGAAACCTACGATTAAGTTGTAGCTGAATGGTTCATACTGTGGGAATTTCTCCCCCCTCTTTACTGGCTGAAGACTCTTTTAAAGTTGCTTTCTCTCCTTTTGTAGGCTTACTAAAAGAACAACAAGTAGTACCCATTCATCACAAGGAAACTTGTCACAAACTTCAGGCACATCAGGAGATCTTAATTTTCAACCGACTGATGTTGATGGCCTCTTTCATGTTAGGCAGGACAATATCAAAGAGAAGCGGTCAAATAGCAGCAATGATATACAAGGTAATTAAAGAGAATGTTTATCCTATTGCTAACTTGTTTTATCAATTTAATCAATTTTTCACCATTTTGGACTATTCAGTATAGAGTCCAGAAATGAAACAAATTCAAATCATTTTACAGCTGCACACTTTTAATACAATGTTTAACAAAAATGTTGCCATCGTATACATAGTGACTGCTAATGTATCTTGCACAATTAAATTTAGACACATAACTGGCTTGTTGCAAGATTTTTAGCCCAGAATCCTATATTTTTTTGTTGTGTAAATTATCTACTAAGACCAGAAATCGTTTTCCTTGAAGATGCATTGCTTTATTTTTATTGTGCCTGTACATGTGGGTACACCACTACCCTTTCCTGGCAGGTTCTGTTTGGAAGTCCCAACTAGGACCATCTGTTTGTAGTTGCTCTTTGTTAATTGCTTTAACACCATCTGTTAACAGAATTTCTCAATCTGTTAATTGGACCATCAACTAACTCTGATCTATGTAATCAGCTTCATCTGCTTCCTAAAGTGTTTTTCTTCCTAACCTGGATTTGCTTGCCTTTCATTAGCCACACGTTTCGCCCACAAAACACAGTCAATTGAATTTACTGTGTATATCCTGTGAAGCGCTTTGAGATGTCTTGATGGCATAAAAGGACACATTATCAAATGCAAGGCTTATTATGCTCTATTGGAGTTACGATAAATTCTGATAAATGATAATGGTCGTGTTAACCCATCTCTGTGCACTGCTATCCTATTGCATTGAACATTAATATCCCAATGCCGTGTGGGCAATAGTTTGAAATCTGTGTTTGTGTTGTTTAGATAACCTTGTATGAGATGGCCTGTTGTGCTCAAGTGATGACATGACCAGTTGTATCATTAGTTGAGTGTCATGACAAACTATTTTCTGTGGCTTTTGCAGTACTTCGGGGTCAGGGCCCATTTAGAGCTTGGCCCATGGGTATCCAGGGGAGTGGCATGTGCAGTGATTCAGAAAGTGCCGGTGGAAGTAGTGAATCACGCTCCATGGATTCTCCCTCTGCCAGCCCAGGTACAAAACCAAAAACATTTATTGTATTTATAAGATGATTAAATAATCCTTTAGGTGAAAAACCTTAGTGCACTAGGATTTTCTGAGTGGCATATGCCCTTCTGGTTGTCTAATATATGGCACATTGCTATGAAAAGAGAATTTTACATATACTCTTTCAAATTGTATGGAAACCTGGAAATAAGGTGTGCATTTTTGTATAACCAAAAATCAGCTGTCTATGTTGTAAGTATAATTAATGTGTGGGTTTTCTGACCGTGACAGGTGATTTTAAACGAAGGTTGCCCCGAACTCCCTCAACAGGCACAATGTCTTCTGCAGATGACTTGGATGAAAGAGAGCCACCCTCACCCTCAGACCCTGGTGTGTATTTAGTTCACCACATTTACAAATTATTTTCTGTTTCATTGTCCAACGAAGCCAACTTTCCCTCTTTAACCGTGCTTTTCCCCACCCTCTGTAGCCCCCCTCACCGGCTCAGATGCCAAGCATTAGCACAGGAATTCAGAATATGTCATCAATTTTCGATAAATTCCTTATCTATATAATTTAGGAACAGTGTATTTTGATGGTGGTTAATATTTTAGTGAAAAAGATCAAGAAAATCCGATTCACTTCATTGTGCTTTAGTCTCCTTGAAAGAACAATTTGCATCAAAATGTAATAATTTGCAAAAACCGTACAGCATTTACATTGTGTTCCATTTATTTGTACCGTAGGCCTAAATGACATTGTAGCAGAGATGCCAAATTCTCCAGGGCCTTTTCGTAATACTCTCATGTCCAAGGCAGCACAAACACACAAGCTGCGAAAGTTACGGGCACCATCAAAGTGTAGAGAATGTGACAGCCTTGTTGTATTCCATGGAGCTGAGTGTGAAGAGGTAAGTTCTTTTATGATGTAGGAATAGTTAATTCCTTAACCAACACTTCAAAGTTCTATATTAGATAGGGGAAGGGATTCATTACCTGTAACTTGAAATTTTTATTTTATCACATTCATTTACTCAGTTCATAAACAATAATTTGATTTCTTGCAATGAATTGCAAGATTGTGTAATGCAATTATAATGTTATATCTGTTTGAGTGCTTTACAAATCTTATCCTAATCTGGAGATATGGTCTTTTAACTTATTCCTTAGTGCAGATAAACATTTTGCTGTTGTGAGGTTTGCAGAAAAGTTTATTTTTCATCATGTCTAATACTTCAAATGAAGCCAAATGACTTTACCAAAAGCCGTGACGCTTCTTTTCTCATTTCTGTTCCTCAGTCCCTCAGCCTTGCCTCCTCATTCCCTGTCTTCAGTTCACACTTGAAGACCTTCCTCCTCGTCCGTGCCTACAGTCACCTTCTGTAGTTCGGGGTCAATCTCTTGCCACAGTTAAGAGTTCCAAGACTCTATCCCTTGTTGTTGCTTTCTCAGTGTATGAAATACTATGAGCCAATCCGACACCTCAGCACTTCCACATGTGAATCTGCACTATAAGCTAAATGTATTCTTTCAGTTTACACTGAATATGCATAATATTCAATGTAGTGACAAAATGTTTAAATTGGATGGCCCTTTTTGTCTCTTTCATCATGATTTCATTATCCTTCACTTACTACTTGGTGTTGGCCCATCCCCAATCATAGAATTATACAGCACAGAAGGAGGCCATTTGGTCCATCATGTGTGTGCTGGCTCTTTGAAAAGAGCTATCCAAATCAATCCCACTCCCCTGCTCTCTCCCCGAAGCCCTGCAAACTTGTCCTCCCCAAATAATTATCTACTTCTTTCTTAAAATGGGAGGAAATTATGAAGACAATTGTCTTTGAGTAATGTTCTAAGGCAGTGTTCTGAAGGAAAACAGTTAGATTCATAATAGTAAACTTGTCAAGATTTGAAGTGAACTAATGTTGTGACAACTGATTCCAATTTACAGTGTACATTAGCTTGCCACAAAAAGTGTCTCGAGACTCTGGCTATTCAATGTGGCCATAAGAAACTCCTAGGTCGACTACACTTGTTTGGGGTAGATTTTACTCAAACTGCAAAAAATTCTTCTGATGGAATTCCTTTCATTATTAAAAAATGCACTTCCGAGATTGAAAGCCGAGCCCTGAACATAAAGGTAAATTTATAACTCATTATGCAGAAGACAGTTAAAAATATATATTTTTTAATTTGTTGCAAACCTTATACTATTAAACTGAAATGTGAAATAGATCTTGTATTTGTTTAATTCAAAAATTGAATGCCTTTGTAATTCCTGTTTTTCCGCCCAAATGTAGAGTACCATTAATCTGTTAAAACTGTTATGTGTGACACAAGTCAGATGCTCTTTATCTTGAGATCATACATAATGAATGATATAATCAATATGCTTTACGTTTCAAGAATAAAACGTAAAGCATATTGATTATACATTGAATGAAATCTTGTTTTACCATTTGGAAGCCAAGTGGTAATTGGTTAAAATCTCTTTCTGCAACAGTAGAATTTATAGTGCAATTACCAAATCACATTTTTGAAACAAATCCAGTAAAAGTCTGAACTCACCTATTGCTAAGCAGTTTAATGTTCACAAATAAGGACAGTGTCCAAATAATATTTTTACAGCAAAGTATTCTGGTACTTAATGTACTGCTGTACTAAGAGTAGTTGTCTTTTACCAGAAAAATAACAAATCTCTTAAATTTTTTCAGGGTATTTATCGTGTGAATGGAGCAAAATCAAGAGTTGAAAAGTTGTGCCAGGCTTTTGAAAATGGGAAGGATTTAGTAGAACTTTCTGATTTATATGCTCATGATATCAGCAATGTACTCAAACTATATCTCCGCCAGGTAAGTGCACGATTCCCTGAAACGTAAATTAATATTTGATCTTTATTACTGAAATGTAATTTTTTTTGTCTGTCCTCTCCTGACAGCTGCCGGAACCATTGATTTCATTCCGCCTTTACAATGAATTCATTGGCTTGGCCAAGGAAAGCCACAATATTAGTGATGAAGATAATGGGAAACTGAACAGTCCAAATTCAGAGAAAAGGTGGTTAACTAACGTAGTTAGAATTGTTTTCAGAGTGAAAGATCTACTTCGACAACTGCCACGGATCAACTACAAGACTCTGCAATACCTCATAGATCATCTTCACAAGTGAGTGAGAAAACAAATGTATATAATATAGCATTCCTGATTACACTGTTCAATATGGTACAAATTAGTTGATCTTGATCTGTTGATTCTGTCTTGTCATGCAGTCTGATTGCTCAGTGCAATAAACCTCCCATCTTTGGTTTTTCCAGATGGTTTATATGGTACTTCAGGACACATGAATTGTTAGGGATAGGGCTACTCTTTAGCCTCACTCTAATTTCATCTAATGCAAGTTGTAAAGATAGAGGACTAGCACCTCTCTTATTGTTCTCTGCTAATATGCTTTAATAGCCAAATGAGCAATAGAGAAGTTGCCTCAGTGGATTAATACTTACTATCGAACTTAAATACTTTCCGACTCATGTTTTAACACTGCTTTTAGAATTTTAAAATTAATTTTGAGGTAATATTGTCATAATGTTGCTTTTCAGTATAATACTACTTTACTGCGATCATATTGTTTTTAAAAACTGAGAAGATATTTTGTCCTTCCGCTTTCCTCCCCCCCCCTCCCCCTCCAAAAAAGCAAATTGGGTAAGGTGTTTGTTTTTTTCTTGACAGGGTGGCAGAGCAAGCTGAAGAGAATAAAATGTCAGCTAGCAACCTCGGGATTATTTTTGGGCCCACTCTTCTTCGACCAAGACAGACCGATGCTACTGTGTCATTGTCTTCTCTTGTTGATTATCCATATCAGGCTCAAACAGTGGAGCTTCTCATAACCTACTATGATAAAATATTTCTTTCTTCATCAACTCCATCATCTCCTTTACAAAAGGGATATCCATCAGTTGATGAGAAAGACAAAAATATGGCCGAAGAAGGGTTATCTGAAAATGAAAGACTACAATCAACTAGCAAAGTAGTAAGTGCTAAAACTTGTCATAAAAAAGGTGGTACTTGTGATACAATTTATTGTCTTTTCCATCTATAATGCTGTGAGCTATGTAAAAGTAATACATTTTCAGGAATTCATCTAAAAAATCCTAAAAGCATTGCGACCCAAGAAAAGCTGAATTTGATTTATTGAAAAGTGGGAGGTGATTTTATGTTGTTCCCCTTTAAATTACTTGTCCTTTATAAACTAAAAATCATTCTTTATTGTGCATATGTTAATCTTAATACACCATAACATGATGTAAAATGTAAATCACCATAACAGGTGATTTTACTAGGTTATTATTGGATAGAAAAATGAAGTGTATGTATTTAGAAAAANGTGAAGACATTTTCATCTTGTATATTGAGATGTAATCACATTTCTGAATTACCTTATTCTTCAACATTGGCAGAGCTTTGGGTTGGCTGGAAGTGAGTGTGATTCTCCAGAAATGGCATCTTCCAGTGAGACCTTCGATGTGGTAAAAGGTCTCAAATGGAATGCAAAAGATGGTGCATCAGGTTGGTAAATATTATGTTTCAAAATAGTGATATTTGTTGTCACTATCAAAAGCCAACATGGTCTTAAATTACGTTTTCTTGTTCGTTGGCAATGTTAAACGGTTTCACAATGTGAAACTACTGATGGCTTAATACTGGGTTTTCAGTAAGATTCATTAAGTTACAATAATTTGATAGTTTCTTTAACATCAGCTTTTCTGTATGATAAACTAATTCCTGTTCTATAAAATTTCAGGTCCAGTGATCACACAGATTTCAGAGAAACCTGTTGGACTGTTGAACTTACAAAGTGCACAAATTTCAGAAGCACAGAAGTCAAACAAGTCATCGCTAATTAACAAAACTAGTAAATCGCATGTTAAAGTCAACATGCGGCCTCCCAGGACAAAGCCATTTATGCCTCGGCCTACAAGCTTACCAGTTTCTGAATCTGTGATTTCTTACTCAAATGACAAAAATTCAAAAGGGCTGTGTAACATAGACAGCATTGAAAGGAGTCCTATTATTGAGGAAGCCTCTGAGTTGAAAAGTCATACCAACAATACAAGCACGTGTAGGCATTCATATTATGATACTCAGTCGATGCGTAGGACTTGGGATAAACAGTATAAATGTTATGACATAACTCAAAAGACAGCTATGATTGTGGCAAATGTTCCTCCAGAAAAAAAAACCAGTGACCTTTCTTTTTCACCACCTTTAGCCTATACTTCTGGCAATGCCTTTGCAAGCAGTTTGCATCCTAATAAGCTACATACAGTGCCTGGTAGGCCTGTAAGGACCACAAAGATTGATGGGAACGTATCTGAGACTGTTTTTGCATTCCGTGCTCCAAGAACCTTGCAGCCTCCACCTGGCACTTTTTACATACCTCCTACCATCAAGCAGAGTGTAGACTCTTTGTCTAAAACTCTAACAAAATTAGACAGTAGTTTTACGTCTGTGCAGGGTAATACTGGGACAGTAATTCCTGTAAAGGAAAATGAAAAGTGCAGCAACGTAGATAAGGAAATCGAGACTGCACAAAATACAGCACAAGAAGAGGTTGAAGTAGAGCATAAGCCAGCATTTCAAAGACTGCGATCAAAACGAATTCCACCAGAATATGAACACCGAGAGGCACATTTTGTGTAGCAGCAAATTACCTGAACGTTAGAGAAGTGTAACTGACTGTTTTAGTATCCCAAGTTTCTGTTTTAATACAATTATAAAGTTTTATTTTTCTATGAGGAAAGAGCGCCATAACAAATACAATTTGAAATACAAGAAGTAGAACAGTGTCTGCATATTTACACAGTAAAGGTGCAGCTTGAAGTAAATTAGTTCAAATATCTCAAGAGCAGACACATGGGTATTTTTGATTTATTTTATATTTTAGAAGCCATCAGAGTTTATTAGCAAAAGACGGAGGGTTGGATTAGAACTCTGGTACAATTTTATATTAATTTCCCATAACTTGCTTTTATGTCCTGATGTAATGGACACATTTTGAGAATTTTTTACTTTGTAGGTTGGGATAATTGCATTATCTCAAGGCTTTGTGGCTATAGTTTTTTTAAACACTTCTTAGAAATAAAGCTTTAGTGGGGAAAAAATATATTGGCTTTACACCCTCAATTGCCATTCTTAGTTGTGCAATCAAAGCTTGCTGTATCAGTCTTTTCAAACATGCACAAATGCTACAAGGCATGCTGTTGCCCAAAACCATGGAAATTATTCCTATTAATGTTGTTTTGTCACATGTTTTCAAGCCAAGATGAATTTTTAAAGGTTGTACCTTGTAGCCTTTATTTGTTACTTTTGTATTATGGTCAGTGACCAAAATGATGCACACTTTAAGGTTTCTGTCTCTTAAAATGTGAATTAGAAATTCATTGCCTTTAATTTGTGCATATGTTGATTATTTATGTTTTGTTACATGTATACGTTTCTTACATAATTTTGTACACAAGATACACTAAGATATGTTAAAGCAAATATATTAATTCTTATACATCAATTATAATGCGTTCAAAGAAACTTCTTAACTTTTGGAAAGCGTTCTTATGTAATTTATTAAAGTTTAGGTTTATATTTGTTTGTATGTGTATATGTAAAATATATATATATTGGTATTCCATACAAGTTAATGATTACTATCCAAATATGAATAATTATGTACTCTTTCATGTTGTGTTTTTGTACTAGTAATTCTTTTCAGTGAATTACTTCATCCTTGGGGAATTTCCTGACAGGTATAAATGAACAGTGAGCGACATCAGTATTTGTTATAACTATATTAAAAATATTTGTAGGTTTGGCCATTTACATCTGTGTTGTACATTTATAGGAAGTTTCACCAATGCCACTGTTTTATTTTTTTTCTTTTGTAATTAAGATCCACTGTTTAATTTATGAAGGTCTTGAATGAAAGAATAGTAAGAACATGCTTTGGTTGACATTGTTTATTCTTTGTAGTTTTACAGTGAGGGTAAACTGTATAATATTTTGTTTGTATTTAGGAAGTTTATTTGGAGATGCAAAATGTCACTAATACTGACTGTTTAAGATCTAGTTGTCCTGTATCCTACTGTTATCCTATTGTACCCAACTGTTATCTTACAGAATTGCCAAACTGGTTATTTTGAACCGTAGCCTTTTTGTATGGCACTAAATTGTAATAAATATTGTACATTTTATTCCTTGAAAAATTTGTAATTCTATAACAGTTGAGAGAGAGCAATACTTTCAGTTCCCACTTTAACTTTATTTCCACATTGCACTTGCATCACTTATATAAGGGCATGAAAAGTCCCAAAAGTTTTAAAAGAAAAATAAACCAGACTATATATTGAATGTGCTTTGATTTGCACATTCCATAAGCAGTCAAGTTATTGCTCTGTAAATCATTGCCAGCTTTTTGGATTAATTTCTTTTTTTTGCAGTTTTTCATACAAAAATTGGTACAAATGCAAGTCTGAAAATATAAAAAATATATTGAAAAGTAATCTGAACTGTATATGAGCACTAACATTTTAAAAAGTGCTATCCTATCTCAACACAAACAATCTAGTTAGGAGATTAATATTTTACTTTTCAGGAATGCACATTATATCTTAAAATACATCATAACAATCTGCCCTCAAATATAATTTAATGCTGCCTCAGATTTTAGTTGGTTGTGATTTGTTCAATCTTATAGTGGACAGGTCAATTTCCAATTTAGGATTTTGACAATTTTAGATTGTTTTTCTGATTGTTAACCTCTTGCACCAGTTCTAAGATTAATATGTGAATAAGTTGATAACTGATCTACATCAGGTGAGCTAGTCAGCTAATGATTTTTTGACAATTCATTCAACTGTAATGCACAAATATATTGGTAACATCCCAGAAAAGATTCAGCATTTGTATTACGGCTGATTCTTAATGCATTCTATCAGATCCACAGGGCCTACTTTGATCAGTTTCAATCCAGTTGACTTACTTTCAATCAGATGAGAAAGGTTCAGTATCTGGGTTGCTAGTAGATTCCCAAATTGGGATTTTGTATTTACTTGATTAAATCAACAAGTCAATATGGTATTACTGTGGAAGATTGATTCTGATTATTTGCCTCTTCATCTGACTCTGGTAATGAGATTTCAATTCAACATGTTTATGTAATCCATGGGGTGCCAGCCAAAGGAAAAAAGGTTTCCTTTAAAATCCCAGTTTAGTTCAGGTGCCAAATGTTCTAGATCCGATAGTTAGAGGAGGGGAAGCCAGCAACTTCAGTTTAGATTCTCTTGATTATTACAACAAGGTCAGGGGAGGCACAGAGCTCCCCCTGTGTTGGGAGACAGGGGCTATGGAAGCATTTAAAGTGAAGATAAGAATCTTGGTGGCACTCTTGGTAAGGTATTGAAGGATGGTCAATAATTGGGAAACAAAAATATGAAGCAGAGCCTTTAGAAGGAGAGGGGTAAATGTAATGGAATTTTTTTTTAAAAAAAGCAACTTGGATGTAATCCCAGAAATGACGCTGAAAACAATTTCAGATTTGAGCCCATGGCACCTACTGAGGGTCAACAAACACACACATGCACACACTGTAGGAATGAAAACCCTTGCTGAAACAACCGGAACAGACTGAAACAGGATAATGTGAAGCCTGCAGGGGAGATCAGTCTGCAGAAAGCAGCAACAACATCTTGAACGCAATGCAAAACTAGAAAAGAAAAGATGGGCACAGTATTGCAGCCTTCATGAGAGATTCACAGCGGTGAGCTGGTGATACAGGCACGATAAATACAGATGAAACTGACCAATGAAATAAGTTTCCTTGATTAGTTGCTGCCCTCAGGAATTCATTGGTTAGCTTTTAAATTAGATACGGTAGGAGGAAAGAGATAAGATTAGCTATTAAAAATGGAACTTAACTATAATCATGACCCAAGATTACATGTAAATATTCTTAAACTCAATACTAAAATACCTGCTTCATAAGTAAAACATAACGATAAAACTTTAGATCCCAAACTACAGCACACTGATAATCACACAGTTTACACTTGTGTAAATATCCTCAATTCTTGCATCTACATGGTGGTTGTGATTTAGTTCCTCTGCTTCTCGCACGCATGTAAAATGTGGGATGGATCACATGCACTGTGGACAAGTGCCATTGACTTACGTGATGAGTGCTATAATACAAGTTGTTGTTCAATGAGAGGCAGCGCTTTTGAACTAGCTGGGGACAAAAGGCCTACAGATAATAAATGGAAGGTAGAATGTAGGTTGATTCTACAGTATAGTAGGTGAGGTGGACCTCTCACCAAGAAGATAAGTTTAATATTAATAGTAGATGTAATGCAAGGCAATTAATCTTGTAAACGAAATCAACTGCACCGGATGCGAGCTAAACTTTCCTTTAGACATTGTTTCCTTGTGAATTGTGAAACAAGATATGCTCATCTTGGTTAAAGATCTGCAAGAGATTAGTTCGTGTTATATAAGAGTACAAGACAATGACCAAGGATGAACGATACAGATTGTTTAAACTTTCAGTGTAATGATTATTTTTTTCAAAAAACATACATTTATTTTCCATAGTATTTACCATTTAAATGGTATGGTAAATTAAAACGTGCCTTTGGCCACCCTCCTACACCTACCCTCCCTGCCTTCCTGATCCCAACCCTCTGCTCGGGGCCAAATCCCTTACTGTCCAGCATGTTGGGGCACTTTCCTGACGTAAAAGGTGCTGTACAAATGTAATTTGTGTTGTTTTAAATGACACAAAAAGTGACAATCTTATCGATATTTTTTCTTTATCGATTGGCATTTTGGATTGTTCATATCATAACCCAATTATTGGGCACGAGGAAATATGGTCACTTGGCAATGTGAATGTAATGGTAAGAACGTCCCTAAATGATTAATGTTTCTTTGAATTAAATAATGAACATAATTGGTATAATTCCGTGTGAAAAGATTTACAATTTCAAAAATGTGCTGTGATTATCTGAACGCTGAAATGCAATGGAGGAGTAGAGTTATTGTAAGGAGAGTCATAAGACTACTGCATTCGCCAGTACATCCATAAGTAGATTGCAAACTGGATGCCCTTATGTTTCATTTTATATCCTTCCAAAGCTCCTTAACCTGGTTCAGTCTAACCTAGTGCAAGATCATTTGCAGTGGACACTATACTGAGACAAAAAAAACCTTTCTCGTTATACTTTTTAACGGTGGCTTCTCTCCACAAGTAGTGTTGAATATTGAAAAGTCAATTTTAAGTAATTTAAGGCAAAAAAAAGTATTTTGCAGCATTTTAGCAAATTCAGTTTGTTCAGAAATATTTTAATTTAGCACTTTTGCACATGAATAGTCCAGGTTGCTCTTTTTTTTTGCAGGATTGCCTTTTGTTCTTGCTTTTAATCCTTGCATCATGGCTTTTCATCACAACTGTAGATATTTGATTTGTTTCTTGTTATAAACCCTAATATTTTTCATGTGAAAACTGAAGTTTCTGCACTGCTATTTTGAATTTTTTTTCTTGTTATTCATAATTTTTCTTCAAATTTTTAAAGTATGTGCTGGATATGTGTTAAAATATGAAACCTCTTATCAAAAATAAATGTTTTAATCAAGGCCAAAATGTTACAATTAAGTATGAACACATTATTTTGGTAGTTATCATATGAATGCTATTTCTATGTCTGATCTGTACTGCTGCTGAAATTATTTGGAGAGTTTTATTGCTTCATATCTTATTGGACTAATTAACAATGACAGCCTTCTATATGCTTTGCTACAATTTTTAAGTGCATATCATGTAAATGCTCGATGACATATAGGTCACATATTACCAAAACTTCACAATAGCAATTGATTGAATGTCTTTTAAAAATGATACTTAAAAAACTGTGAAAAACAATACAACTTGTATTGAAAAATATTTTTCTGTTCCATCAAATCAAATTTTCTTTAACTTGTTTTTACAAATGTTACTTGGCGGGAGAGCTCCATTTTGAGATGGGGATTAATGCAATCAGATTACAGTTGAGCCGTGTAGTTTGAAGCAGCTCTTCTGCGATACGCATCACTAGGAACTTGCTTAGAAATGTATTGTCATAAGAGTTTGATTTCCTTAGATGTCGCTTTCAAATGGCAGTTTTCAGTTTAAGGTAAGTTCCCGAATGTTTTTTTTTATATTTTACACAGAATTCTTGTCTTGTATGACCTACATTTCTTCTTGTTTATCCTTAGATTCTTGTTAATCTGAAGCAGGCCTTACTGTCTACCTAAATCACTATCGCTAAATCCCTGCTTAATTGCCATTGGAATGCAAGAAACATTTCTGTAGAAATATACGTGAATAAAGTCCCTTTAGTCTCTGGTAGTTTTCTTAAGGAGCATGTTAAACCTTAGTTTGATGAAAAATAAAATAAGAGTGAAATGGACGCATATCTCGAAATGTTAGAAGAGGAACAGACTTAACTTATATAAACAAGAAAGGTATTTCTCTAAATTCTAGGAATATGTACGAAGGAATGTAGAATATTTCAGAGGCAAAAAAACTTAAAGGAACTTGAACGAAAAGTAATTTCCTGATTGAAGGATATCACTGAAATGTAAATTAAAATGTTTTGTAACAGAGGAGATGATTGCATACCAAGAGCGATTGAGAATGGTGGGTTGGCCTGTCAAAGTCAAGATTGTGAAACATGTTTGAGTTGAGAACATGTCCCCTGAAACTAATAGTCTGTACATGTTTTACATCCGTTTCTCAACTATAAATAAAATGACAATCTATAACTGATCAGCTTTAGCTGCAAATGTAGACTCAGACACTTTGGAATATTTTATTTTACAAGCAGTAGTTGGTATTAACTGAAGACAATGTGTAACGTTGTGTTGTCTTTTATGTGGGTGTATCCATGTGCACTTTATTTTTGTTTACGAAATGATGCACCAAACTGGTATTCTGAAATAACTATAATTGACCTAGATTTGAATCAGTTTCTTTATTATTTTACATACAGTACATGGTGATTACATGGTCAGTTTTGAGGTTTTAAAGGATTTTATTTGCATATTTAGAAATATTCAAGTATCTGATTCGGGTGGCCTGTTTTCATATTCCATTCTGGAAAAAGTCCAAACCAGTGTGAAATCTCAGATCACTTTTACTGCTGTTAAGATTGAAATTCATTTATGTTGCTACTGAAATTAAAATTCTAGTTTATGAGCCACACAGTTCACAAATTGAGCTGATGGAGCTGTTTAATATTCATCTACTAGTTTGCTATTCTTGCTGTCTTGCAGTCTTCTTAAGACTAGTATGAACCAGAGTTTGTCATTCAGGATTCTACACGTCAGCAAAAGAAAATCCCTCCCCATCATAAATAATTTGTTCTAATTGGATTAAATATCTTTTGAGAGCAGCAACAAAAATCTAATGCACCAGCTTTGGAAGTACTTACGTGTATCTACATGAGAGTATTGGTCACGGAAATAATCCATTTTTATTCTGAATCCATTAATGAGATTTAGATAACTCTGCATATGATGTGAAAATATGTTTAATATTCATGATTTGCTAAATATTACTCTTTTTTGTTGAACATCGTACCACAATGCAAATGTAAAATTACATCTTAAGTTTTATTGATGGCATTATTATAAAGAATTTATATCATAACAATTATGTTCAACTTGATGGTTAATAAAATAACTATAAGGAACTTTCAGGTTTTGTTTCTTTGCAGAAAAAGCATATTCAATAGTAGACTTAAATGCTTGCAAGATTTCACCATAAAATATTCACCATAAAATTCATTAAGTAGAATTAAAGAAACCTAATTTCTAAATTAAGTTATAACTGTCTCGATGGTTGTAGATCTCAACCAATTGGCTGCCTGTTTCACCCACAAAATTCACTTTATAGTATATTCTGTGAGGCGCTTTGTGACGTATCAATGGCATGATAATCAGCTATACAAAATGCAAGGATTATTATTGTTGTAGGTGGATAGCCGCTAGGTTAATAGGGTGGCAGGAGTTCGCAGACGTAGGGTGGGGCAAGGCTATGGGGAGATATGAAAATGAGGATGAGGATCTTGAATTTAATCCACTGGTGGAGGAGACGCAATGAAGCAAAGTAAAGGATGGGGGTTGATAGGCTCACAGAGTTTGACGTATGAGAGGACATAGGCTACAAAGTTCTGGAAGGGCTGCAGCTTGTGTTGGGAGGAGCTGGGCAGCCCAGGAGTTGGGGCATTGGAATAATCAAGTCTGGCCGTGATGAGAGTGTCAATTTATTTTGGCAGCCATGGGAGAGAGATAGTAGCGGAGGCAGGTGATGTTGCGGAGGTGAGGAAAAGCTGAGTGAGTTAGAACCCGGTTAAGGGGCTTGAAAGATAGTTGTGGGAGTCCAACAAGACAACACAATTTCATACTTGCTCTATGAGGCGAAGATGCACTGATGGGAGGCAAGCAGGAGAGCCTTAGTCTTGTTGATCCCAAACTTCTCTGCCCACATACTCACACGTACTAAACTCCTAACCTCCATCACCCCAGTTCTAGCCAGGCTCCACTGGCTATCTATCGCCAAACGGATCCATTTCAAGATCCTCACGTTCGTTTTCAAATCCCTTTATGCCCTGGAAACTCCCTACCGCTCTGACCTGCTTATCCCCCCAACCCATTACCCGCTGCCTCCACTCAACTGGCTCTGACCTCCTGCTTGTCTCTCATGCCCTCTGTTCCATCCTCGGTGGCCGCTTTCAGCCTTACCCCCCGAAACTCTGGAACACTCTTCCTCTATCCCTCCACCTTGCCCATTCCTTCCCCATCTTCAGATCGTACCTGAAGACCTTCCTCTTCGACCGTGCCTATGGTCAGCTCCCTTCCCACATCCCCCTAGCTTGGTGTTGTGCTCCACCACTGTCAAGTGGTCTGAAATGCTACCCTGAGTGGGGGGAGCTATATAAAGTTGACATTCAACTGAAGCTCATCAGGATGCACATGTGGAAATTAACTCCATACCCGTGGATGATGTCATCAAGTGGGAGCATATAGAGAGTGAAAACGAGAGGACCAAGTGTAGAGCGCTGAGGAATACTGCATGTGTATGTGTGAGGGTGGGAGTGAGACCATTGGAAGAGATGAAGATACTGGGATAAGTGGGAGTGAAACCAGGAAAGGTCAGAACCGTGGAGTTGAAACAGGAAGGAGAGACCGTAGAGAAGGGTGGAATGATCAACACTGTCGAAGATGGCAGAGGGGTCAAGGAGAACGAGGAGGCAGAGAGCCTTGGTTGCAAAATCACACAGGAAAGAGGATTTAAACAGACACAACGAACAGGCTTGTCTGTTACAGATGTAACGACAAGGTTGAATACATTGCTGGCACTCACTGTCTAGGCTTAAACCAGAATAACAGGCACTTGGTCAGCAATGTATTCAACATTACCATTGCATTTGTAACACACCAGCTTGCTCCTGGCCAGACCTAAAGTCTAAACGTACACATTTAAACATATTTCAATGAATGCAAGTAGTCATCAGGAGGGGAACTCTGATTTTTTTTTCATTTTTAGCTCAGGAACACTGAGACGAATTTCAACCACCATCCGAGTTGGAATTAGGATCTCAAAACAGACCAGGGTTTGAATCCGGGGCTTTCTTTATATTTGGCTCAGTTCTCCACTCGATGGTATAGTTCAACATTGCCAAACCATATAGATTCACGAGCCACATGTGGCTCATAAAGGATTGCGATGTGACTCCCAGGCACCTCAGCTTCAACAGAAAACTTGTGTTTCAGATAATTCTCTCTAACGATTTGCCTACAGGGATGTGTGCGTGGCAATTTGAACGCATTGTATGTATGCGGTAAAAAAACCTCAAGCTTTTTGAATATTCAATTGAAAGAGTCGTCTAAAATAATACTCGTCTGAATAATGGAACAAAACTACTGATATTCAGTTGACACATTTGGTGATAGAACTGCTTTGTGCAGTTGCGCAATCGTTTTCACTGAAATTACAGAAGTTTTGCTGCTGTCTTCGTGGTATTTTGGTGGTGCATTTGCTGAAATAGAGTAAGACATTCTTTGACTTGTTTTATTTTTCAACTGGTGGTGACTCAGGGCATGGTTTAAGGAATTGTCACTGGTGGGGACTGAACCCAAAGGAGCACAGTTTTCCCACATCCAGAAGCGTTAAAACCAAATTTCTACAGATGAAGCGATGCTTCATGCATTTGTTTCAAACCTTATGTTTGAAATATTATGAAAGCAGGAATCTAATAAGTAATAATCGTACAATGTCTTTAATTATCAAATAATATTCTGTAAAATTTGCCTAAAATTCTGTAAAAACTGCCTACACAGTGACCACTTGGAGACTGCGGACAAAATCGTCATTACCTTTATTATTATCGCTATTATTATGGAAGAGCAATTATTATTTACTGATGGTGAATTTTGAAATGTTTGCTGGGGAATTCCTAGTGGGGACTTTAACCACTACTTTATACGTATATAAAAAAACCCTGGTATAGTTCACACTGTGGCTCAGTACAAATCTGGGTTTGACAACACTAATCACCAAATGAAATCACAAGATCACAAGAAATTTTCAGATGAAGGAGGTCATTCGACCGATTTTATCTCATCCTTCCAGAATACAAAACCTATTGTTCTCCAACTACAGCATCAAGCTGCGTTTTATAAATAAATCCAGCCACCTTGCTGGTAACCTGTACCAGTCTTTAATTACCTTTTAAATAAATAAATACTTCCTGTAAATAACTACAGGATAACATTATAAATGCAAGTTGCTGGTGGTGTTTTGTTGTCCACCTGTCAGTTTGTTTGACCATCCTTTTCAGTGGGAAATAACGTGTAGTTTAATTTTTTTTAAAAACGGTTTGATCTTAAAATATTAACTGGGATTAGCATTGGCTAAACAACAACAAGAACTTGCATTTATAACTTGCATTTATATATATAACTTGCATTTATATAGCGTCCCTCGTGCAGGGTGGGGTCCCAGAGCGCTTGACTAAACCCAAACTATGTCTTATTTAGGATTAATCTAAAGTTCAATTTGCACTGCTATCAACGCAATTTGATGTATGCATGAGCGAGAAAGAAATACATTTAGTCGAGGAGAGGGGATTAGGAAGGGCGGAAGGTTGTGCGGTGCATAAAACACCAGCACAGCTAGTTGGGCAGAATGATTGTTCCTGTGCTGTAACACTCTATGTAATACCTGTGAGTGAAAGCTACAAGCGAAGAAAATAATATTCAAAGTTACGTTCCGACAGTCAAAACTGCAATAAAGGGAGCTTCTGTTCAGAATGACCTCCGAGCTGCTAGATCATCTCTATGGTTACAGTGATCGTCTTAATTGTGACTACCTTAAGTCCTCCCTGAGACATTCTGCGCAACCAACAGAGTATAACAGCTTGAAAACTGCCACAAAATAGGAGCTATTTATGGAACAGACACGCTGATTGAAGCTGTCGTGGTCAGTGTGTGTGGTTAGTTGCTCATTGTGAACGAAAATGAGACGTTTCAAACTGAGCTGCCTTGCTAGTTGCTGGATAACCCAAATTAGAGTTGTGTCTAAATAAACTAATATAAAAATAATAATCCTTGCACTTGATATAGGGCCTAATCACGTCTTCGAGACGTCTCAAAGTGCTTCACAGAATATACTGTGAAGTGAATTGACTGTGTATTTTGTGGGCGAAACGCAGCAGCCAATTGCACACAACAGCGTCCCACAAGCAGTCGTGGATTGAATGACCAAATTACTATTATTTTTTTCTACACACGGTTTGATTTCTTTTATAAACGGAAACACAGAATGTTTTTGTTTTAAGGCAGTGAGGTGCAACCAGTGGAGTTGAACAGCATGAACAACAACAATAACTTGCATTTATATAGCGCCCTGACTTTATAAACTCCTGTTTAAAAATAGAGGGGAAAATATTTAGTTAATTAAAAAAATATTATCTCTGTTTATTTTTCAGGAGTGCAAGTGCTGAACCGCAGTAGTGGAGAAGAGGAGGAAGCATGTCCTCCAGTCAGGTGTCTCTGTTGCTGTGGAAGAACTGGATACTCAGGAAGAGACAGAAGGTGCGATGCTTGAATTTAACAACCATTTGTATAGCTTCCCTCACACAGGGTAGCGTCCTAGAGCGCTTGACAGTGGTGGAGCACGATGCCGAGTGAGGGGGAGGTGACCGTAGGCACAGTCGAAGAAGAAGGTCTTCAGGCTCGACCTGAAGATGGGGACGGAAGGGACAAGGCGGAGGGATAGAGAAAGAGAGTTCCAGAGTATTGGGGCGGAGTGGCTGAAAGCACGGCCGTAATTCCCAGTGGCTTGTAATTCCCACGTGATTTAACAACAAAAAAAGGGCTTTAAAAGAAGACGGTTAATGTTGAATCAAATCCTGTAGAAAATGGTATTGCGCTAGTTAAAATTAATACCAGACTGAATGGTAAATTGTCACCTCACAGAAGTTCGATTATCTTTTCTCTCGTATCAGCGATGTAATCATCCTGCAATGTAATGCGATTCAGCCACCCACTGCAAAGTAGATGAGATGGTTATTCCTTTTAAGACTGTTCGGTTTCCATGGAGCTCACAGAGTTGGGCATTTTAAGAACTTGTACATCTATTGAGCAATTCCAGTAATTGAATTCAGGGTCCTGTGGCTTTTGAACTTCAACTGTGCTGTAGAATTCTGCCGAGCTGAGTTGTCATCTTACCAGGTTTTCACTGTTGGCCCAACTCAATGGCTGTGCATCTAATTTACTAAAGACCAGGCACTTCACTGGTACTTCATTGACAGGTTGAAAAAGAAGCATTTCCTCACACAACATTTTAATGAATTTTCCTGAGCACACATTGACAGTTATGTAGGAATATAGGAGTAGGAGTAGGCCATTCAGCCCCTCAAGCCTGTTCCGCCATGCTATAAGATCATGGCTGATCTGTCCGTCAACTCCAATTACTTTAATTTAATGAATTAAATGAATGAACTGAAGTTTCTCTCACTGAAGGCATAGCTATGTATACAACATTATAACAAATCTTGAGCATTTAGTTGCCAATAGTTGGACTAGCAAAAAAAAGCCCTTGAGGCATTCCAGAAACACCTTGTTTCGCTGGAAACCTGTAAACAAGTAAACTTTGTTTGATGCCATGTCTTCTACCAGTTAAATAGTCACTTTACCGCTCTTAAGGACAATAGTACTGTTAAACCAATATGGACTGGGTTTGCCACAGAAGGTGCTGGGTTCAGTCTATGTAAGTTGATAACCCACAATCTTCTGACTCAGAGGTGAGAGTCCGACCAACTGAGTGACTTCTGGTGAGGGTGCCAGCAGCGTATAACCAGTCTGAATAATTTTGATCACTATTTCAGAAACTTCAAGGATTTTAGAGATGAGTGTTGATTATTTTGACAACTTACGTTGTGACTTTAAAGAGGGAGCAAATAAAGGAAGCCATGCTTCACAAACAGGTTGGTCACATTGATTGAGCCGCATTGTCCGGTAGGATTTGCCCACAAAATATACAGTTAATTCATTATATTGTATATTCTGTGACGTGCTTTGAGACGTCTAGAAGATGTGATAAGGCACATATCAAATGCAAGGATTATTATTATTATTATTATTATTATAGGATACTCCGAGGTGAATCTGACATATCTGGAGTTATGTGACTGATTCAATTAGGTGGTAAAAGCACTCTTCTGCTACTTTCTCCTGTGTTTTATATAAGTAACCTTAGTGTAACTCTAACGTATAAACAACATTACATTAGAAGTGATAAAATGAAGATTATGTTCATTATTTATAAACACAGAGATTAGGAACGTTTACTAAAACAAGTAGAATTGTATTTAGTTGCAGCAAGGCTCAGTGTTCAGCCACAAATGCAGTCACTACACTTTACAATACTTGCTGTTAAGCACTTTGAAATGTTTCTATGAGGTGATAAGATACTCTACCAAATGCAACGATTAATATTACTGTGTTATTGTTGTAAAGGGACTGGAGAGTGAAATGGGGCAGAATGCTGGAATGGAATTTAAAGATAAATAAGTTGTTTATTTCAGCTGCACGTGAAACATAAATCCAGTGATTTTTAGCTTGATGATTCATATATTCTCCTCTATCTTATTAATATTTACCAGCTCCGTCTCCTCGTGGAACTTGTATGGCCTCTCTCTCTTTTCCTGGTTTTGGTTTGGCTGCGGAAAGCAAATCCACTCTACCAACAGCATGAGTGTAAGTAACCACAGCTATTTGTGTTTGCCGTAAAAAGTATTGCGTTTTATAATCTTCATATTGCCGACCTTTAACTCAAGGTAATTGGCACTGAGCATGTAAAAGAAATATGCTTCTCTAGGTCATTGCTTTTGAAATTGGAAATACACAGTAACTTGAAGTTAAGTCGCGTAGAGGTAGTGAAGATCCCTTCGTACTGCTGAGTGCTACAAACTGCATATGGATAATGTTAGTGGAGTCTCAGTGTATTTGATCTGACTAAGAATGACTGCTCCACACCAGCTGCCCTAATTCATCAATCTCTTTTCAAAGAGGCACGGATTTCAGGAGCAGTGAATGGCAGCATCAATAGTGCAGCAGGAGAGACTTTCTGGTGTTCAAAACTGCATAGTTGACTCTGTTCCAAGGATACATCATTTTACTGAAGTATTACTGTGGTCAGAAGGAAAGCGAGACAGAGTGTCTTTCTTTGATACCCGTCTTCTCGTTTCTAAAGAACGCTAAATAAGTTTTTTTTAAACAAAAAAAAACAGGAGACGCGATGCTGTATATCTATAAAGTTCCTTGAAAATGCCTTTGTATTTTTTTCCCCCTCCCCGTTTAGGCCATTTTCCTAATAAAGCGATGCCCTCTGCAGGAATGTTGCCATGGTTACAGGGAATTTTCTGTAACATGAACAACCCTTGCTTCCGCTACCCTACCCTTGGGGAATCTCCTGGTGTGGTTTCCAACTACAAAAACTCCATGTAAGTATAACCTGAGGAGTGGTGGTAAAAAAACAACACCAGAACGCAACAGTTCATTCTAAATAACCTTGCAGTAAAGTCCAAATTGACAGATTTTATATTATATTAATCTACACCTTTATGACAAACATCAACCCAGCACCTAGAAGACAAGATAATTAAACGCAAGTACGTTCCTCTTCCAGGGTATATTAAATTAAAAATAAATGTAATCGTAGAAATAATGCATATGTGCTGTGATTTTTTTAACGTTATTTTTCAACATTTCTACAATTCTTTCTCCCTTATTTATTTTAGCTGCTTCTGGTTGCCTGCCCTTTCGTTGCGTTGCTTTCTAATTTTTGATTCTACTTTGTTTGTTGACCATTAAGGTGATGAGATTCATCGAATAATAAGAATACTCCACTGTAAAAATAAAGGACCACTAAAACATGTAAAATGTTAGCTTAAGAGCCAATAATCTGTTCCGACAGTTATTAACACTCCTAGCATTTAAACATGGGGCATATTGTGAGTAATTGCCAATATGAGGATCAATAGTAGCATTGCATATTTCAATAGATATCCCAGACTCTTTGTGTTGCCCTCATCAAAATGTTGAATATTTTGCAAAATTTTGCAAAGACATTTCTTAAGCATTGACTGTGAATTATCTGGATGTGCAGGCGATACCAATTATTTTTGATGATTCCTTCATGTTCCTGTGCCTCTTAGATTGGCACGACTGTACACAGATGCTCAGGAGTTGTTGTTTGATGAACCTAAGATCTATCAGTTGCGAAAAATCTGGAAGGATGTATACTTTTTATCGGAATTAATGGATTCACTTAGAACCAATCCAAGAAAATTTGCAGGTAAGAATTAACTATATTTTGCTTATTTTATTGTAGGTTATAAATCATCCTCAAACAGTGAAGGACTTTCTGTCTTGTTGTTAGCGTTGAACCAGCACTAAGACTGGATGACTTTGTGTTTAAGAGTGCTCCAATCTTGATCTCCAGACATTAATTCTTCAACTCTTTCCAAGTTTTGCAACAGACTATCATGGTACTTTGACTCATTAGACTATGTATTTTCGATTACACTGATCCACAAGATTTGGGCTGCACATGTAAAAATGCCGCACAGTACATTGGATTCAGTGCTCACAATCCAGTGTTTGTAACAAGTGCAGACTGAGCTCAGGGATTCGAGTTGAATACTTGGGATTCCAACAATGCTCACTGTAACCAACTTAAATTATAGTAAGGAATATATAAGTCAGTGGTTTGGGAAGACTCTTTGTTCTGGCTGGCTTTCTGCTTTCACATAGCTTCTATCTTATTTTTTTAGGGAGAGGTGTTCGAATTAAAGATATTCTCAAGGAAGATGAAACCCTGACTGCATTTCTACTCAAGGATATCATGCTCTCGGACTCGATTGTTTATCAGCTGATCAATGCTCAAGTCCGGGCTGAGCAGGTGTGTGCTGCTGCCAAGGCAATCGTATTTAGTCGCGGAAATGTCTGCAGATATGATGGACGGCGGACATGTGATGTAGCAATCTTCTTTTGTCCGTGGCATCATCTGATCCCCTGAATGCATCCCATTTGGTGTTCATTCATTCACTGCTTAACAAACGTACCAATTTTGGAGCTAGTTTTGGGTCTCTGCTTTGCCACATTGGCAACACACATCAGCAGAGACACTGACAAGCAACAGCCACAGAAAAGCTCAGGGTCCATTGAGAATACGATCTGTGGAGACCTGGGACTACTTAGCCACAGCTGGTGTCCAGCCTAAGAGAAAATAAAGGAACTCATAGCCTCACATAAAACAACTGAAAATGTTAGTGGTAGCATTTTGGAAAAAAAATCAATCAAAATATATTTTCCACTGGATTTTCATCATACCTTGAAGCAAAGGATCCCCTGTATCATTTCTCATTGAATGTCTAAGTGCTGAGATAATTCCAATCTGCATCAGAATGTTCTTTTGCTACTGATGTGAGGCCCCCAGGACTTTTCGTTGTCTGTTTTGCAGATGGAATGTACTCGTGTGGGAAGGACTGATGCTGCTGGGAGAGCAACACAATCCTGAAAACTCTGTACATAGTCAAAAAGATCTTTTCATATGCAAATAGATCAAATAATTAGAAAACATCCACGTATACTTTGATTCAGAATTGCACAGACCTCACCAATTTAACCTTCATTAGAAGCTTCAAGCCAAATAGTTCCTGAACAACAACTGAGAATTCTCACAGCCTGATCCACTGGACAGAATATATTAATATGGCACATGGCTAACCCCTGGAACAGTAGCTTAACCTATCAAACAGACTGTACAGTGTACTTCATGTGTTCGTACATCTCTGCTGGAATGTCAGAAGATTTATGGTTGCCAGTGAATGATTGACTTTGTGGCTATTGCTGTCATTTTCTGTTTTACAGTCACTGGCACAAAACAAGTTATTCACTGGTGAATAAATAAAAAAACTTTCTAAAGTTTAAAGTTGTCACATGGAAGAATACACGATCATAGTTGGGCATATAAAAATGACTGAATGCTAGTAATGTTTGCTTGGCTTATGATACAACTCGGGTCAAAGGCCATTAATGTATCTATAAGCTACGCTCTAACCAAATGCATTCCTTTAAACGTTGGCTTTGGAGCTGGAGCCAAAGGTCAGTTGTTACATTGCTGACATGGCCAATATCGTCGAAGGTGAATTTGTCTTAAAGAGGTTGTCTTGCTTTGTTTTTGTGGAGTCCTGTAGCTCAGTGGTTAGAGCACTCGCCTCACAAGCGAGAGACCTGGGTTTGATTCCCGGCAGGACAAAACCTTGGGCAAGTTTCCTTACTCCACACGCCTGATAATAATCCCTCAAAAAAAAATAAGAATTTGGTCACTCAATCCACGACTGTTTTTGGGACACTGCTGTGCACAATTGGCTGCTGCGTTTCGCCCACAAATATACAGTCAATTCACTTTACAGTATATTCTGTGAAGCGCGTTGAGACGTCTAGAAGACGTGAAAAGCGCTATATCAAATGCAAGGATTATTATTATTACTATTAATGTCGTATTATAGGCACTACAAAAATGCTAATTCTTCTTCTATTGTTTATTTTTCCCCAGTCTTACATGAATCAGTGACATTCACCCGATGTGTCGATGTTAATGTGCATGTTCTACTGAAGCTTTGGCCAGAGTTTAGCAATGTGAGCCGCCTGGTGATGTGCTCTGAGAAATTCGCTGAAGGGAGTTGGGGATAATGGCTCAGATGTTTTAAAGTTTTAGCTTCAATAATCAGCACCCAAGAATCCAGGCATTCCAAAGGAATAGATCACCAGGAACTTTTCCGTACCTATCACCCACTCCCACTGCCAACAAACATAGCGGAGCCAGAGATTATACAGATGTGGGAGGGTGGGTGTTGATTACACAGTAACACATGCACATGTCCTCCTCCCTCATTAAGCTGTCGGGAATTTAATATTTCTCGTGCTAAAATGCTGAGCGTAATTTTTTTTTAAACAATCATTTACGTTAATTCTGCGACTCAAATCCCAGTAAAATATTAACTTTTCACAAGGTTAAAAATGCCTGAACCACAAATTGTCAGAATTTGGATCAGATCTGTGTTTACAAGAATAAATCTTGGTTGCTGTGATACGAGTTGAGTTGTCAGTATCTCTAATTTTCCAGTTGGTACCCAATGCAATTCCTCCCAGTCTTTCTGTACTGCCAGCATCCATCAGCATCAAACTCCTCTCCTTGTCCTGGTTGCTTTTGACTGCACCTTGTTTTTTATACACTTTATTATTGAGACCATGCAGATTTACACTCAGTCTTGAGTCATGGTACAATACAGGTTACACGGTTACAAGGACACTCAGAAACCTACATTAAAGGTTTCCCAAGATTTTGTTAGAGATCTTGAGCTTAAGGCTCGCCAGCAGGTCAGCAGCCTTGGTAGGAGCTGAGGATAGCTGCTCGGGTATTCAATCAGCCGGGTCTTTCTGTTGTTTGCTGGGGCTGAACTGCCTTGTGCTGCCACCAAATGCACACAATAGTTTTGCTTCACGAGATTGATAAAAGGATTTGTAAATAGCAAATCCCAGATATGTTCTGGCCAACATCTGGGAACTCCATTCAAATACTGATCTCAGCTTTATTACTTATGCTTTGAAGACAGTGTGCGAGTGATTCCCAGTGATGACGCATTTATTTGTCTCTACTTGACTCCATTTACTTGTCCTTCCGCTAATCTGGCAGATTTGAATAAAACTCAAATCATAATTAAAGTTAGCCTTTTCTTGTGTTGTTAACCCACCCTTGCTACATGAAACAGTTCACAAGTTCACAGAAAAAATCTTTTGACAATTAATCTTTTGACACATCAGTAATTGATTATCCAGTTAATGAATAAAGGTGAATGAATTTCTATAATTGTTCTTAAAATATTTGTTGAAGTTTAATTTATCAGTAAGTGCACAGCGCCACAAGTATGTGTTTTCTTTTGATTAGTAGATATTGTGACATTCTGGGTCTTTAACAAGGAAGAATGCAGATATGCTGTTAATATTTGCAATTTAACCTTGATTCTCTGACTGAGCTAAAACACATGGATGAGTTTCTGATATGAGTCATTTGATTACCAATTAGTGTATTTGCCATCTTCGATTGAGGAGTTTAGTAAATTTCATAAACTGTTTTCCTTCAACACAAACAGCTCTCGGCGAGAGACATGCAATTTGTTTTATTCAGAGATAAGTAAAATAGACGAGTTACGGATGAGGTAGATGAGTGTTATGGTTGTAGTACTCCGTGTAATATCCTCTTGCTTTGCTGTGCTTACAGTTTGCTTATGGAGTTCCAGATTTAGCCCTGAAAGACATAGCTTGCAGCCAGACACTTTTGGATCGTTTCATCATTTTCTCAAATCGCCGAGGTCTGCACACTGTTCTGAATGGAATGTGTGTTCTGTCTCAACAACGGCTTCAGAGAGTAGAGGACAAGCTTTACGACAATGTGGATTTCTTCAAACTCTTCAATGCGGTAGGTCCCATCGCAAAGATCTTTATCCATTTATTATCACTGAAAGATTTAGCAAGTGACGGTTTTATTAAATGCTTGTACACATCATTGGTATTGATGACCGCAATCCTTGTCAAGAGTTAGCAAGTGTTATGAGTAGCAATGTAATTGGATACTATCTTCTCTCACGGTTGTCATTATCTGAATCCCAGGCTGAAGATTCTGCTTTTGACGCAAGTAATGTTGGTTAGTTTACAACGTACTTGCTATAAGAATGTTCTTTTTTAAAAAAAGCTTGAAACTTGAGCTAGCAAGCATGCTCTGCTCCTGGCACAGACAAAGCCTACCCTACTGTAGACCCTTCAGCACCTCGAGCTGTTACCCTGCGTGAAGAGCTCTATACAAGTTGCTATTGTACAATTCTAACTCCTAAAGGACAGTTCTGCTAATAAGTACTGCACGAACTCAGAGGTAACCAAGCAAAACTACAGAATATTCTTCCATTCCCACGTGTCCATATTCAACAATGGTCTTTTTCCCACCGCGGATACTTAAAGCTATCTTAAACAAATCAGAATTGCTTTTTCAGCTTGTAGTATCTGGTACACAGGTGTAACGTTAACATACCGTAGGTGTAAAGGTCAAATAGTATTTTTGCAAACCTCTACACTCCCACGAGTTATCAGGCATCACATGTTAACGTTATTGACAGTAATGTGGCAACAAAGTGTAATGTAAATTACACCACTCACACTGTACTGTGTAAATGGCACAACTCCATCAAACTAAAGGAATTTTGTGAATCTATGCTTGGGTTTGAGCAGCCGAGCACAGGTTTCGAAAAGGCATTAGGACATTGCGTGTACACAAGATACAGTATTGGGATTTAAAACATGATATTGGTAGCAAGGAGTCACAAATTGTCACAATATGGGGTGTTATCATAACAGCAACTCTCTCTGACACTATTTAACTCTAGTCTCAGAGTTACTGCGAATCAGTATAAGGTACATTTGGTCACAGTCGGGAGGTGGATGTGTCCCAAATACATCTCTATGATTCAGCGGTCCACACAGACCAGAAAGTGACAAACCAGAATCTTTGTCAGTGTTAAGCTATCGGATCGCAAATGGGCAACAATGAGGATGTTACACTGACATCAGTGTCCCTGAACTAGAGAAGGGCAAATCAATCAAGGTTCTTGCTCACTGTCCACAAATCCTTGTTACAAAGCACTTGTTTGTAGAGATTGAGTAAGAACTTGTTCACATATAATCCCCCCAACCTCACTATACCCAAATAGTTTGCCAGCACTCACTGTGAAGGCTCACACGTGAATAAAGGCCAGTGATTGGCATCCCTGGAACTTTACTCTGGTAGAAATTTGGGGGAAAAAAACTCAAACTCCTTTCAGGAGAGGGGGAGAAAAATTGGCGTCAAAAAGGAACAAGATCTCATTAGAAAGGCGACGGTGCCAGCAATCAAATTATGAACAGATGACAATAGGAGAAAGAATGTCACAATAGACTTGCACAATGTGCTTTCATTACTGGATCCGTGTTTGAATCCAGACCAGACTGATGGAATGAAAGGCTCCTCTCTCTGCTGGCTGAAAAGGTCCCATTTGAAGTTAGTTTGGCCAATCTCAATGTACATTCTGCTGGCTGCAAGTCCACAAAACTGTGCAGAATTCAGCACGAAATTAGAAATCCCTTTCAGTCTGGCCTTCACGGTCTAATTGAAAACAATGGTCAAATTAAAGGGAGAAGCAGCAGCAATATCATTATACAGAGAGATGGTGGCAGCAATCAAATGGAAGAGAGATAGTAATGATTTACTTGAAAGAGATAGCAGCGATCAAATTAAAGTGAGAGACTTGGGCCAGTCATTGAATTAGAGCGAGAAAGAGAGTGAGAGACAGAGACAGTTATTGAATTAGAGAGAGAGAGAGTGAGACAGGGCCAGTGAACAAATGAAAAAGAGAGTGATAGATTCAGTCACCAAACTAGAGAGAAAAAGTTAAAGCCAGTGATCAAATTAAAGAGATTGAGAGTTAGAGCAAGTGATCGAATTAGAAAGAAAGCTAAGACCAGTGATCGAATAAGAGTGATCACTAAGGCCAGTGATCGATAAGACAGTGAAGTGGGGGAAATTAAAGAGAAGGAAGTCCGAGGCAGTGACCGAATTAAAGAGAATTGAGAAATGAGGCCAGTGATGAAATTAAAGAGCAGGACAGCAGCATTAATCACATTAAACAGCGAAGCAGATCTAGTGGCAATGATCTTCTTAAAATGAGAGATGACTGAGATCAAATTACAGTGATGGCAGAGGTTGTGATCGAATTAATAAGAGAAAAGGAGATAGTGATTTACTTATAGAGAAGACAGCATGTACCAGGTACTTTCCAGACTCCGCACCCCGATTGCTCCAGTCCTTGTCAAATTCCACTGGCTCCTGTCACAGAGCAGATCAACTTCAAGATCCTCACTCTAGTGTTTAAATCCCTTCATTCCTTGCCCCCACCTCATCTCTCTAACCTCCTCCCTCCCCACAGCAATACCCGCTGCCTCCGCTCTACTGGATCCGGCCTCCTCCGCATCCCCTGGATCCCCACCATCGGCAGCCGGAGCCTTCAGCCACTACGCCCCGAAACTTTGGAACTGCTTCCCTCAACCCCTTTACCTCATCCTCTCCTTCCCCATCTTCAGGTCGTGCCTGAAGATCTTCCTTTCAGTCACCTATGATCACCTTCCCCTTCTCCCTGGCTTTAGGCCATACATCGTATTACAGATTACTGTAAATCTAAGGTAGGACGAAACATCACACATCGTATTTCTTTTTAGTGACTAGTTGCAAATGCATAGAAGCAGAGTAGATATAAAACAAATAAAAGTTACTGAAGAAGAGAAGGTAAAACTCTTAAGGATCTAATGTGTACAGAGAAAGTGTAATCGTGTTGAATATGCAAATCGATTTGTGCATCATTTCTTTTTAGCTTCCAAAAGTCCTGGACAGAAAATCATCTGGAATAGATTTACATTTTTGGATGGAAATTCTGAACGAGGCATCACCAATATTACAAGAGGTATGGAAATTAAAATTGACATTAATTCAGTTTGCGTTGTTCAGTATGCTTTAATTGCTGCCTTGCAACACCATATAGTTTCTATATTTTTCAGACACAATAAGACTGTCCTGTAAAATTTGTTCAATCATTAGATATAAAGGTTCAGGAGACTAAGTCACACTCAGTGTGTGAGGTTTAAATCATGTGTGCAAAGTTCTGTAATTTCCCTCCCAGCACTGCCTATATAAAGGAATTCACCCACATCATTGTTGTAGCCTCTCTGAATCAGGTTTAAACCTGATTTAGATCTGAGGTCAATTCTGGGCAGTCCTGTGCTCTGCACCCTCAGAATAGAAATTGACTAAAACATCTCAGCTAAGTTTTACTTTACACCCTTTCAGGTGGGAGAAAAGGGAAATGTTCATTCCCTATTACCGAGTTATGAATTCACTGATTAAAATATATGGAAAAGTGTTTTATATATATATTCTTTAATGGTGGTTCACTTCATCGCTGTTTGTGGGATATTTTGTACAAATCGGCTGCTGTGTTCACCTGAAATTCAGCCAGTACGTTGACAGAAACCCCTTTGAGGTGTTTCGATATGATGAGGGCACTATTATGAAATGCAAAGATTATTATTTTATAATTAAACTATTTATAAATGACTCTCATCTACAGTTTACCAATAAGGAGAGTGTTCAGAATCTGATCCCAGTGCTTCATCCACTCTTTCGGGACGGTGGCCCAAGTTCATTCAGTCAACTAACAGATTTAATATCGAATTTAATCTGTGGTTATCCTGAAGGAGGAGGCTCGAGAGTCTTTTCTTTCAACTGGTATGAAGACAACAACTACAAGGCTTTCCTGGGAATAAACGATACTACGAAACAGTCAAAGTATATATATGATCCCACAACCAGTAAGTGTTTCCTTTTACCAGCGAATATCTACTTTCTCTCTAGTTGCTGCTACTAACTAACGAAAGGCATTTGTGGACATTTGAAGTTTAGAGATCCAAAATTTGGACAGTTTTGATTTATAAGTCAGACTGCTCGAGATCTCTTGAAACATGAGACTTGCTCCCATACTGTACCTCGACTAGACTCTCTGCGCTTGAGACATGCAAGTACTTGGCAAACAGGAATGGGCACATGTGCAGCCAGACTGACTGAAGAAGAGACAGGAATTCAGCAAATAACCTTCCAATCATCATGGATATAGACGCAATCGTTCCCTCACAAGATCATCCAGTTAAATGAGCCTACACCACTCAATCACAACTAAGCACTTAACTGTTAGTGACATTACCTTTTCTTGATGCTCACCATAGAGGCCTTTGCTATGATGGGAAAGGGAGATTCTATTCTGCAGTATAGTGAGATGTACTGGTCAAGAATACATACATATGGGATCTTCAGCTGGGTGTTCAGAAAGGTAAAGTTTATTGGAACCCAGTGTTAGACTCTAAAGGTGCTAATGTTTTATATCACTCCCTGTAGCTCCTTTCTGCAATGCAATTAGTCAAAATATGGAGTCCAATCCTGCAACGAAGATCATCTGGAATGTGATGAAACCCCTGCTCATGGGAAAGGTTCTGTTTGCTCCCGATTCCCCTGCGGTACGGCAACTGATAAAAAAAGTAAGAACTGGTTCCTTTTTTTCCCCAATTGTGCAATCCGCACCATTCATTGTGAGAAAGCTCATTGCGTAGCTTTCAACAGGACAGTCAAAGCAACATTTTAAACAATGTTCTGTGGTTGTGTACATGATTTAGATAAAATAGCAAGTGTATCAGTACCAATAGACAGAAGCCTGCGTTGTACCAAGAAATTGAGAACAAAGAAATCAATTGAAGGATCAGAACTTACTGTCTTGCTCTTTAATCATTGCTTCAGCTGCCAAAAAAAAGTAATCAGTAATCTTTGCAAATCAAAAGTTCCAGACGTAAGTACTGTATTGCGTAGAATAGCGAGAAATTGTTGACGACAGTGATATACAGTACTTTTATGTGCAAAAGCTTTCATTCAACCATTTCAATGATTTGGGGCACAGTGCATTTGAATGCGGTGCCTAAATCCATATTATATCTATTGATCTGACCTGGTGCGTGTCTGTGGAGTATGAAGTTGGCGAGTGGTGACGCACTCTATACTGTCACTGATAACACACTGAGCAAGCTTCATACCCTACCACATGCATCTAAGAATCTCATGAGAGTGTTTTTAATCAGGACTGACTGCCCTGACTCACTGTGTCTTTATAGCCAGAATCAAAACAAAGGCACCACATGTAAAATCAAGCACCAGTTTTACTATATATTGAAGGATGAATTTCTCATTTTGACCATCGTTTGATACCTTTTTTATTTATTTTATTTTCATTGAATCAATTTTAAGTAGAGTTTATTCACACAATGAAACACAGGTCCAATTCTGTGCTGTTTGACTGAAGTAAAGGGAGGCAGCGCATGCAACAGTGACATGTCAGTTATCCAGGTGGAGGATTTATCCCCATGTTAGATCCAGGTACCTGGTGATGAATTGGTTAACGTGGCATCACAGCAATGTTAGCTAATGGGATTTTTCTTCATAGGCAAATGGCACCTTTGAGGAGCTACACAGACTGAAGCAAATGGGAAAGGCCTGGCAGGAAATCAGGACTCAACTCTGGAAGTTCTTCCAAGACGGTGTACAAATGAACATGATTCGAGTAAGTGACCATAACAAGAAAGGAACAACACACTGTTTGTTCAGCAGTTACCAGACAACTCTTAGTTCTTGACATTGTCCCTCCATTTATCTTAAATAATCAAGCTGCTGAAGTAGAGATAACTTCCGGATATTTATATTCATTCCTTTAGTGTTTTATCTCTGTAGTTGTTTGATTGCTTGTTTTCCATGTTAGTCTTCGTACATTGCTCACTAATGTTTTATAAATGACATTCATGCCCATTTTCTGTTTAATTGCTGGGTTAAGAATAGGTTAGCTATGATATTGTGTGATACTTCTGAACAATGAAATGGGTTTGATGGGATGGACCAACATTATTGAAAGTTGATATTGAAGTGACAGACTATTTTTGGTAATTGCATTTCTCAACCCAATAATTCTTGTTGTTTTCTAACAGGACACATTAAAAAACCCCACTGTGGCATTTTTCCTAGACCTTCAGCTGGAGGATTTGGCATTGAGCACCAGCGACATCTTAAACTTCTTGTACAATGGTCCCTCGGCTCTTCGACCAGAAGAAAAGCCAGATTTTGACTGGAGAAACGTGTTTAATATGACAGACCAGATTCTAACTCTGTTTAATAATTATATGGAGGTAAGAACTTTCATTTACAACAGGGTTATATTCGAAGTTTGAATTATTTTATGTTTTTGTAGAATCCACTTGGTCCTGCTTACAATCCAAACAGGTTGCACGATTTAAGGACTGGCAAAGGATTTACTCAATGTATAAATATTCAATACCTTTTACCTCAATAGGATTTACATTAAATATCTGTGCTTTGGTTAATTTGTGCTCGTGGAGTCCTGTAGCTCAGTGGTTAGAGCACTTGCCTCGCAAGGGAGAGACTTGGGTTCAATTCCTGGCATGGTGAAATGTTGGGAAAGTTTCCTTACTCCACAATCTCTGTTTACCTAGCTGTCAGTAGGAACCCGGTAGCTAGTCGATTGGTGGATCGCTTTTCTGGGGGTAATAAGTCCTTCAAAAAAAATAAATTAGTCACTTCAATCCACAATTGTTTGTGGGACTCTGCTGTGTGTGATTGGCTGCCACGTTTCGCCCACAAAATATACAATCAATTCACTGTACAGTATATTCTGTGAAGCGCTTTGAGACATCTCAAAGACGTGATAAGGCGCTATATCAAATGGAAGTTTTTTTTAGTTAATACTAAATGAAATATAGCCAGACTTTCAACTTATTCTGAACTGAATATTAGTTTGGAGTATTTTGATCAAATGCATCTGTTAACAATATAACAGGGTGAAAATTGTGGTGTAGTATGCGATATTTATCATTCCCCTCCTGCCATAACTCCCCTCAAGTTATAAAAAATATAGATGGGACTGGGCCTTAAAACAAACTTGGGTTAATATCTCTCTCTAGAAACTAATAATAGCCCTTAATATTAGTCCTGGGTTAACATTTATCCCTGACAACTAATTCTGGGCCTTGGAGCAATCCTGGTCTAAGGTCTCTCCCTGGCAACTACCTTTTGCGTTCCAGTGAGCATCCAATCAGTAGATAAAGCAAAGCAACGGTTAAGGCATTTTGACACTATCGCAACAGTTTTGACATGAGAAAATAAAAGCATTAGCAGGACTTTGAAGTAAAGCGATTGAGGTTTATTGTCTCCTAATAGCTCACTGACGAGATAAGAGTAAAGTGGTTAGCTAACCTGCAATTTATAATGTTTGATGAGAAAAACAAATGTCATCCATGTTATTCTATGCTTTCATATAGATCTTGGTATCATGATGCATGTGTTTCTCTGCAGTTAAACGTTTGGAAACTGATACTGGAGGAACATTTGTTAGTCTTCATGTGAAAGACTAGTAAATAGGTTACTAGTCCAAACGGCACAGAAAGTTTTGTTCCATGTTAAGAGTGACATGAAAAGCCGGACTGTTCCAAGCATTTTACATGGGTTTTTATTCTGTCTTGCTGTTCTTTCAGATGTTTTACTTGGCAGTAATCTAGTTTTACAAGCTAATGGCAATGTGTGTCTTTATGCCTACATTCAGTGTCTGTTGCCTATTATTGGTATCCAAGGGATACCATAAAATTTATACCACTGCTTTAAATTTTAAGCAAAGCCGGTATTTCCTTTGAAACCCAAGGAATCTTTTATTAGTTACTAACAACATGAATGAAAATGTTACTTTCAAACTTTGCTACTTGCTAATCTGCTCCTCTGAGGCCGTAACCTTTGATTACTTGCAGTGTTTGACTCTGGATAAATTTGAAGGTCTCTCAGATGAGGATCAGTTAACCCATCGGGCACTTTATCTGCTGGAGGAAAACAAGTTTTGGGCTGGAATTGTGTTTGTGGATTTGTATCCCTGGACAAACAAGCTACCAGCACATGTGAAGTATAAGATCCGAATGGATATTGACGCAGTAGAGCGAACAAATAAAATAAAAGACAGGTTGGTCTTACAAGTTGGAGTATAAACAAAGACATGGACGAGTCAGGTTGAACGGCTACATATTCTACTATGTAATTGCATGTTCCCCCATATTCAGTGGCACAAGTGGCAGTGATGCATATATAGGTTCTGGTAGAAGTGGCCATGTATTTCCCTCCAGTGTCACTATACTGGAATTTTCTTTTGTCAGTTTTATCCACTATCGTTTGACCTGATCAGCCCTTCTATGTATTTCAAACCAGTCTATCTGAAGAGATGGGAAATGTAATCATGACCATTCAAAGTGGATACATAGTTCATGAAGTCAGCACATTTTCTTCTAGAGTTGTAACTTTTGTATATCCTCGCTGACCGTTTTAGACACTAATGCAAATTTTTCCCAGGAGTAGCTTGAACATCCTGCTCAAGCTTTCGTTAAGCTTTTGTGTAGCTGCAGTTATTTTCCCCCTTTGTAATCTTCATTTTGTGGTTGCTTTTGTCCCAGTGTCCTACTCTGTTCCATGATTCATATGCAGTACAAGTTGCTCTGATGGAAGGAAACGTTCAATGAGATTCAATGATCCCCCGTAATGGAAGGTGTTACTTCCTCACCCCTGACCTGCGCTCGCCAACCAAGTGACTCTTTACCCAGTTACATTGCCAAGTCTCTGCAGGAATGAATACAGCACAAAATACTCTGGCATAGATCGCACTGAAACAGTACAATCTAAGTTCTTTAGTGCATGAAAGAATTCACCCACCCTTTCCCGGATGGACTCAAACTGTTAGTCAAGAGACATTGTAATGTGATACCGCTCGCATCTTCTGCCAATAATCAGGAATTTGGGGAGCACACAAGCTTTGAACCACAGCTCCCTGGTGACTCGTTCTGCAAACGCGCTATCTGGTCTGATACTAAGCAAAAACATTCGCACAGTTGGAATCATTGTTCACTGGGGTTGTGTCTGTGGGCAGAATCACCTTTGGATGTGATGGCCCAAAATGTATTGACACTCACAGCCTATCTGTGATGGCAAAAGCATTGCCATGTTTATATTGCAACTACTGATGTAGGCGATAGCCTTAAACCATTAAACACGGAATAAACCCGTCACTCCCAACTTTTCAATTGAAGTGTGTCGGGAAGACAAGTGGCTCAGTATGCATAATAGTAATCCTTGCGTTTGAGATAGCGCCTAATCACAACTTCGAGACATCTCAAAGCGCTTCACAGAATATACTGTAAAGTGACTTGACTGTATATTTTGTAGGAGAAATGCAAAACTAAAACACTAGCGTTCTGCATGTTCAACAGAATTCCTTCATTCTGCTTCTCTTACAGATATTGGGATCCAGGTCCAAGAGCTGACCCCATCAACGACTTGCGGTACATCTGGGGAGGGTTTGCATATCTGCAAGACATGATTGATCATGGCATTATCAAGACTCAAACCAACACTGAGGTGCCATTAGGAACCTATGTCCAGCAGATGCCATATCCGTGCTTTGTTGATGACCTGTAAGTCTGAGATGCTGCCCTGTGTGAAGGGCGCTATATAAGTGCAAGTTGTTGTTGTTGGTGTTATTAATGAAGTCAATTAATATTTAATTATTTTGAATTCAAAATATGTCTGTTTCCAATTTATTGTTTCTTATTCATTAATTCACACAGCGGTGGTGTAAATAATTTGAGGTTTTACGAACAAATATACGCCATCTGATACAACAAAACGTGCTTAAAGCTTGGCTCTTAAGGTCACCGTGGAACTCGCACATGGGTGCGGGAGATTAATTTACAGAATGCTATCACGGGGGAGTGAACGACCTTCAGCACATCCAGATAATTTATATTTGTTACTCAAGTAATCCCTTAATTTAGACCGTGATTTAAACCCCATTATCTTCTGTGTAGTTTTAGGCTACATGTTAAATGTCATCTTAACATTTTGGAAAATACTTTTCTTCCCACTTCTGCACTGTTTCCCCCACCTGCCCCCTACGTGCTTGCTGATTTCCACCCCAGCTTCATGCTAACCCTAACCCGCTGCTTCCCCATTTTTATGGTGCTGGCCTGGATCTACTCTGTCTCCATGATGGTGAAGAGCATTGTGCTTGAGAAGGAGTTGAGGCTGAAAGAGACTATGAAAACCATGGGAGTCAGCAACTGGGTGCTTTGGGCCACATGGTTCATCGACAACTTCATCATAATGACAATTAGCACTCTGCTGTTAACTGTCGTTATTATGGTAAGGATGCTAGTGTAATGCAGTTCAAACTTTTGGTATTTACCTTGTGCAATCATCATATCTCCTCTGTGAGATAATTTCCCAGCGCTATGATTATAGCGGGTGTTTAGTGCAGCAGCAATTGGCTGAACTCTTTCATTGCAAGATGTTCAATGTCCATTCTCTTTTTACCATTCTTGAGTCAGATACAATTTTATGAGGCTGTAAATAATACTAGGGTACCGATAAAACATGGACAGCGGCAATCAAATAGGAACATCTAACCATCCAGGGAGTAACCATTTCGTTGTGGGAGAACTGATCTGCAGTTGGACATCAATTGCGGAAGTGTTTAACTCTTACCTAGGTGATTTTCGCACCCACAAATACACAGTTATTACACTTCAAGGTCAAAATCCTGTGAAGCACTTTGAGGTGCTTTGATGACATGATAAGGCACTATATTAAATGAAAATATTATGCATTATTTTCTGAGTGTGTCAAGATCAAGACAACCTTAGCATCATTTGATCTTGTGAAATGCTCATTATGGCTTTGGGAATTCCTTTCAAATGGCATTAAAGGACCCAGGAATTTATAATTAGAAACAATTAGGCTACACTCAATGCACAACATGCTGTGTGGTCCTGAGTCACACAGTTTACTCAAGACTCAGATTAAGATGTGGATCTGGCCAGAGTTAACTCATTTTAGCCGAAGCAGCAGTGACAGATTCAAAAGTGATTTAAATGTTATCTAAGACACAGTGAGCTTGAAACATGCTTTCGAATTGTCCTTTGCTTCAGGTCACCTGAGTTTGCGGCTGATCGGTGGGCTACCGAAAATATTTGTATTGATATAAAGGATGAGAATTGAACTAAATACCCATTATATCTGTCTGGTTTCCATTGGCAGCCCTCATTCCAGTTCACCACATAATCTATAAAGGTGGATCCAAATCTCAGGTCCCAAATGTACTTTACAATATACTATTTCATGTAGCTGCCCAATTTCTTTAATTCCGTTTAATATCTTTAATATAAGAGTTTGTTTTTCCATCAGCTTTAAATGATTTGAACAATTGCTCAATTGTTTTGAATTAATTTATTTACCAAAAAAAGGCCATCAAATATGCATTATTGGAAGGAACTGTATCTTTAGCCAAACCTCTGAGAGTTTACTTGTTATGATCTGAAATTTTCCATAGGTCCCTTGAGGATTATGTTACTCATATGCTAAACTCTGTAACCCCCCCAAAAAAATGTTTTACGTGTTTTTTATTTCCTTACAGAAGGGAAGCGTGCTGCACTACAGCAACCCTGTCATTCTCTTTGGGTTCCTGTTAGTCTTTACTGTGGCCACCATAATGCAATGTTTCCTGCTAAGTGTATTCTTCTCCAAGGCCAATCTCGCAGCTGCGTGTAGTGGGATCATTTACTTTACGCTCTATCTGCCGCACATTCTTTGCTTTGCCTGGCAGGACCGCATGACCCGAAAACTGAAATTATTAGCGGTAAGCTGAAAATACTTGAAGAAAGGTCGCTTGCTTAACCTTTTGAGTAGTTCTTTGCTTGGTTAACCTGACCTGAGTATAAAGGCATTCGAAACGTATACACAACTGGCTTGGAGTGTTTAACAAGAGCGTAAGACAGTTAACACAAAGGTGACACTAAATGGAGTTACACCCTGCAGTGCTATTGTTGTAGGAACACATGTTACTTTTGTCATTTAAAAGTGGCTACTGTACATGAAATTCATCTGAAGATGAGCACAATTCTTAGTTTTGCTCGTAGGAATAAGAATACAACAATTTATAGATATATTATGCCATATGGTACAATGGGTCTATGACGCAGGATTATTTTTGCTGGGATAATGCAGCAAAATAGAAACAGACACTATATAGGTGGGAGTCCTTTAGCTGAATGGTTAGAGAATTTGCCTCGAAAGCGAGGGACCTGGGTTCGATTCCTGGCAGGGGGAAATGTTGGGCAAGTTTCATTACTCCACAAGCCTCTGTTTACCTAGAAGTAAGCAGGAATCCAGTTGTTAGTCGATTGTTGGATCGCTTTTCCGGGGAAAATAAATCCTTCAAAAAAAATTGGTCACTTCAGTCCACGACTGTTTGTGGGACACTGCTGTGCACAATTGGCTGCCACGTTTCGCCTACAAAATATACAGTCAATTAATTGACTTTACAGTATATTCTGTGAGGCGCTTTGAGACGTCTCGAATACATGATAAGGCACTGTATATCAAATGCAAGGATTGTATATGTTATTGCACTGATGGACTCATGTATATTTCTTGAATGTTGCAGAGTTTGTTGTCTCCAGTGGCATTTGGCTTTGGCACTGAGTATCTGTCTCGTTATGAAGAACAGGGCCTTGGCCTGCAGTGGGGTAACATTGCGATCAGCCCTGTCGAGGGAGACAACTACAGTTTTCTGTCCTCTATTATCATGTTGCTGGTTGATGCCTTTGTATATGGCATCCTTGCGTGTTATCTAGATGCCGTATTTCCAGGTATGCTGACAACCAACACAAGAAAAGAAACACACTGATATATCCTTTTAAAAAAAATCCTTTCCTGAAGTCAACATAAGCCCAACATTCTAAACTAAAGATGATTTGAAAGCAAATATTCTCCATGGCTGTCAGTCATGGCAACTTCTTCACCTAAACACCGGGTTGATTTGAATTTAGAAAGGTGTTGCAACACCCAGCATTGGGCATTATTCCAATTGTAAAGGGAGGTGTGATGCATAGACTGATTGACCTTTTCTTACACCTTTTCTAATGTTTGAAGGAGAGGTGAGCAAGGGAGATAGTGGCTATGGAACAAAAGGCCAAATGGGATCAGAAGAAGCAGAGCAAGCATAGCAGAGATAGGGCACAAGAGTTGTGAACGAGTGAGACAAAGAGGGCACAGCTTAAAATAGGCGACAGGAAGGATTTAAACAAGAAAGGCAGAGAGAGATCACGAGACACTCGGAAAGAGTGAAATGCGGAAAAAGGGAAAAAAAGGAGTGAAATGTATAAGAAATTGACAATTCCGACTATTTACACCCATCTCACTCCGACTGTATCTCTTAATTATGTCTCACACCAGTGACATCAGAGAGAAGTGGCTGTTTGTTGTATAATTAAGCACACAGAGCACATACAGCAATAGACAATGATGGGTAAAATTAACATTATTAGTACAGCAAACTGTAAACTAGAACAATAACAACAACAAGAAGATTACATTGGTATAGCGCCTTTCACGTCGGGAGGACGTCCCAAAGCGCTGGGTTACTGTGTATTCGCTCATTCCCTCTAGCGACAGTGTTTTCTTCATGTTCGATTTCCTACACACTAGAATAGTTAATAATGTAAGAATTAGTGCAATGATCTTCCCCAAAGAAGTTTTAAAAAAAAGATGAAACACTGGGACCAAATTAAGTAACAAACAGCAAACTCTTACAATTCTACTCTGACTCCTGAAGGCAGTCAAGCAGAGCTCCAGGAGTCTAGCACTGACCTTTTACCATTAAGAGAAGCCTTATCAGACTGCAGTTAGGCAGGATTGTGCTCTTATTAATAAACCCTTTGGTCATGTGAACCAGTAGTTTTCCACCCATGGGAATCAACTGTATACACCACAATATGAGACAGGATGCAGAGGAAATAAAATATGTACGTGAGTGAGGCAGACAAACTGGTCAAAGGCAGATTCCAGGCGACAATGAATTTATTGAAGGTTAGACTCAATAATAATTTGGCAATTAGCGAGTTGGCCTTATTACAATATTCATATTTTTCGTTCTAAATAACTATTGTTTTGATTCAAATTCCCTCACAAACTCTTAACAAGTGAGGAATTTAAAGAATTGTTAAATTTTTGGCACAGTTTGTTTGGAATTCTCCTTCCATGAATACATCTGGAACGCACTGTGAATTGTCACTATTTCTACTCTAGTAGTATTTGTCTGCTATTTACAGGCTGTTGATTTTCAGTAAACTGCGATGTCCAGAAGTTTATTTGTAAATGGTCTTGTGTTTAAATGAATGGCTATATAACAGAATATTACAGATATTTTTAAGTGCAAATGTTGGTCACTAGACTTCTAAAAAGGCCTTAATAGTTTGCATACTGTAGTTTTAATATGAACAGATATTTCCTATTTATTGCATGTACACCTTTTAAAGTTTTCAAGTCTAATAATTCTATTTTGAACGCAATTAGTTTTGCTTAATATTGACTCGTGCTCGAGCATCGTTAGTCACAGATAACATGTCTGACACACGCTATTACCATGGATGTCCTGCTTCATTGCTCTCCATCTTTCCCACGTCTTAGGTGAGTACGGAGTTCCAAGTCCATGGTACTTCCCACTACAACCCTCTTTCTGGTTTGGTCCGGAAAAGCCACAAGTTACCACAGAAGGTACGTTCGTTTACAAATTCCTAAAACTTAGTGAACTGAGCAGACTACATCTGTTCCAATGTATATTTGACAAATAGTCTGTATTTGGGAACCGTCCTCAATCTATTTAGTATCAGATAACAGTTCTGTGGGCAATGTTGAGGGAATTTTTGAAGCAATGTGCATTAAACACAAGGGTAATGTATTTTTTCTCCCGTTCAACTGAATAACACGCCATTATTTTCACTGATCAGTCAACAAAAACGAAACCAAGGAAATAGATAAAAAAGGCGAAGAAGAAGGGGAGAAGGCAGATAAATCCGCAGATAAACCCGCAGATAAACCAACAGACAAAGAGGGTGACAAACCAGCAGAAAAAACTAATGTAAAATTGGAAGAGAAATCTGGAGAAAAATCAGGAAAAGAGATTGATGACCCGAAGAAAAACGAAGAAAAGAGAGAAGACTTGAAGGCCTGCAAACGTAGCGAGAAGAAGGAACAGAAGGAGAAAGAAAAATCGTCGACTGCAACCAACCCAGGTAAATACTGATTTGTTAAGTATCATATTGGAACTGTACTATCCAAGTCACAGTTCTTAACACATGTAATAGCTGTTGAAGCTATGATATGACCAGCCATTGTATGTCATGTGTTTCCAGTAATGGCAGCAATGGCAGGAAATCCTTTCTATGAGCCGGAGCCCTCTGGTCTGACACTTGGAGTGTCTGTTCAGAACCTAGTGAAGGTTTTTCAAGAAGGGCACAGACCAGCTGTGGATGGACTGAACATTAACTTCTTCGAAGGACAGATCACTTCCTTCTTGGGCCATAACGGAGCTGGAAAAACTACTACAATGTAAGTCTCCTAACTTTCATTGCTATGTAACAAATTTCTCAGCACCTAAAAACGGGAACCAGTCTTTATATGCTTTCCAACTGGAAGTTTGTTTCCACAGGTGCTGACATATAGTGCAGGCTATCCTGTACCCAAATTGAAGAAGTACATAATAATTCAGTCACGAGGTTATAATGAGCTAAATATTAACAGTTGAGCACTGAACTTAGTAAATTCTCACATTTGGCATCATGAAATGACCCTGAAATAGATTGAATCCAGACACCAACATCCATGCACACACCTAGATTCTATTAATGAATAACAAAAACAGTTCTCTATTTCTTGCCTTGTGCCTAAATTGCTTTCACCGACATGATGTAAATTGTTTCAAGGAACTCCACAAACTGCAATAGGGCAGAAGGCAATATTTTGAGAAATGCAAAATAATGATTTAAAGTGTATTATAGTGTCTCAAACCCTATAAACATGTACTATAGGTGAAATTCTCTCCCGTTGATGTAGAATGCAGAATAATTACACCCAGAATTGTTTCTGTAAACTTTTACTCAATTGTTAGTTTTAACTGTCCCCTTTTTTGATTATGTAGTGTTATTTATTCAACACTTCTTATATTTTGGCATCCTTCCACTATCAAAGAGAGATTCTACATTTATGTTAGCTGTTAATCGAATGTAATGCAAACAAAGATTGAAACCATGAATTGCTTTTGCACATGCTTAATTCAATGTGCTCTATCTTAACATTTAATAGGTCAATGCTGACTGGTTTGTTCCCACCTACATCTGGTACTGCATATATTAATGGGAAGGATATCCGCACAGAAATTGATGCAATTCGACAGAACATAGGCATGTGCCCACAGTACAATGTCTTGTTTAACCAGTAAGTAAGACATTATATAGTTCAATGATTCTGCCCACGTGCAACCTAACGTGCCTTAGTTAATAATAATAATCCTTGCATTTGATATAGCTTTCACGAATTCTCGACATCTCAAAGCGCTTCACAGAATATGCTGTAAAGTGAATTGACTGTATATTTGTGGGCGAAAGGTTTGGAATTCGTAAATGAATGTTTAGGCTTGGATTGGATTGTGGCACTCTTTCTTTACCTGCTACTTTTGTAGTTATTCACTAAATCATTTTATATGAAAAGTATTCTGTTAGCAGAAATCTGGCAGTATGTTTCAGGAAAGACCTATATAATAGATGCTGTTCAGTAATGGAATCTATCTACATGTTGAAACAAAAAGCCAAACAGTGTTGCTTGCACTAAGAGAGGATGAGTAAACACAGTGTGAATCACAGTTGTATTAAATGGAATATTGCAGTGAAGTTGTGAATTACTCTCAAAGAGATTGTTGTTACGTGCTATTGATTAAATTGGAGATTAACACGATTCTAAACCAAATTTTTTTTACAATGAATGCGAGTCACTTGCTTGGGCTACTCCAAAAGTGGGTCTTATCTGTGAAAAGTGAGTGTTAAGACTTTTACGACTATTTGGTGAGATTTGCCGTAGTAAAATCTCTCTTGATTTTCATTATTTCATGGTTTTTTTTTATCAGTGGAACACTCCTAACTAAAAAGTAGCATACTGTAGAATGTCTGAGATTTTTTTGGAGCCTGGATTTTGTCTTGATAAGTAGTTTGTGTTGCTCTGTGCCTATGGAATCTTATTAGAAAAAGTTACATCTGACCAGAGCCTGGAGCATGAATCTTTTGTAAAATCCGGATCCATCATGATAAGCATATGCCACCTGTCTGGAGTCTGGTACGTCAGGGTAAGCCTTTAGAGCTGACCAGGGAAGCCTAGATTGCTGGGGAATGATTGGAATGTTGATCCAGTGAACCTCATCTGTCTTCTCGAGTAAGGTAGAACACAAGACAGCCTAAAGCTTGAAGGACGTTCTTATTGGAGTACCAGTGCATGACTAAAGAAGGAAACTTATATCTGTGAAAAGGATATGTTTTGTGAGGGTGTACAGCAATCTGACCGAGACACCATCTGGCGCGGAGGCCCTATATAAATGCAAGTTGTTGTTGTTTGTTAGGTCACTTCAGTTCTTACATTAGATCAGTTAAAGCTAATTAAACTGAACATCTGAAAATGAGTCAATCTTCTCATTTCCAGATGGCAGTCTCCATTAAATTACAGTGTATGGATCATTGCCATTTTCAATTTACCTTTACCTCTTCTGTAGTCTAACAGTGGCAGAGCACATCTTGTTTTATACTCAACTCAAAGGACAGACATTGGAAGAGGCACAGAAACAAATGGAAGTAATGCTGGATGAAATTGGACTGCCACACAAGAGAGATGAAATAGTCCAAAACTTGTCAGGTACCCAGTGAAAACTATTTTGAATAAATATGAATCAATTCAGGACTGCCAGCATACAGATGGGCAGTATTGACATTTGTACACATTGGAGACGAATATAAGGTGATGTCTAACAGGACTCCTGAGTAAGAAAATCAGACGTGCTGTACATTGCACCGATTTGTTGAAGTTTTGCTTTGATGTGATCTTCATTTGGAGTGTAATGTATAAGACGTTACTGGAAAAAGCCCCATTCCATTACCTTATGAAGGAATCATGTTAGACATTGCTCCATTGAAAATCGTTGCTGCATACATATGACGTTACAGCCTTCAAGTCAGCTGCTTACTTATAATAAGCACAGAGTGATGTTGTGCATTCACATGTTTGATGGTGAAAACATAACAAATGATTTCCGGCTTCCATAGGTGGAATGCAACGAAAACTGTCAGTAGCCATTGCATTTACTGGAGGAGCTAAAGTAATTATCTTGGATGAACCGACCTCTGGAGTAGATCCATATTCCAGGCGATCCATCTGGGACCTCCTGCTGAAATACCGCCCAGGTACAGTCCTCTGCCGAAATCTCTCATGTTAAAAAAACAGAAAGTAATATCCAATGAAGCTGGCTGAATCATTTAACCCATAACTTTATTTTCTTCTGTGTGTGAGAATTTTTGTGAAAGTCTTTCCAGAAATATTCCAGCCAGGGCGTAAATTAAATTAAGTCACCGTCTCAAGACATTATCAAGTCAGGGGATAAAGTGGATTCGCTTATAGCCCAACGATATGTTTTCCGTTAATTAAAGTGGAATCTTGTTATATGTATTGATTGTATGCACCAGACTTCATGCTAAAGCGCTGCCTGCTGTAGCATTGAGCAAAATGGATCAGGAAGATTACTGGTTTAAAGCCCAAACTGAGTTAGCTGATCTCAGCAGGGAAATAGTTCATTCCTACGAGTACCTCTGACCTCCAAAAAATCTGAGCCATATAATAAACCTTTGCTGTTTTTGTGTGGAGGAATTCTAGATGATGGAAAATTGGACTCAGCCCATTAACAAGGCCCCGCATTGGGAGGTTTCAGTTTAGTAAAGCCAAGAGCAGATTGTTCTGAAAACTGACACTGCCCTGTCTTGCCAACCATAGAGAACATCCTGCACCACAGCAGATATTAACTTTTGTAATTTAGTTCCACATTATTAGGTTAGGTTTTAATTGTACAACCTTAACAACTGATCCTTTTAATGTTATGACTTGATCACATAATTGGGAAATAATTTATCAAAATTATTAGGCAGATTGATTATGGAATGTATATACAAATCATGTTCTTCGTCAAAAGCCTTCAAGAATCAGAAGCTAATTTTTCATCTATAATTAGCCTCCCTTTCCTGTAAACGGGGGGAATTTCCACCAAACGTCTTTTAATTTCAGTGTGAATTAGTCACCAGTGATCACCGATTTGCTGGCATTTTTTCTATATCAGTAATTGCAGAATAACAGAAGAGGACTCATACTCCCACACCCTTAGAGTTTCATCGCTGTGACTTTTTGTCCCAAGTGACTGAAACAATATATAGAACAAAATGTCATATTGTGCATTCCATGCACTGTGAGGTTTCACAATTCATTGTCTCAGCATGCTGATTAATATTCTACATTATAAAGAGCCAAAGATTAAAACAGTTCAATGCTCTGAGTTAGCAGAAACCATGCTATCCACAACTAGTGAAGTTTAACCTGCACCTTTAGGACGGGCAGTAGGAAGGGGAGGGGGAATTTACCACTGGTTTGTAAGCTGGTGGTTTGAGTGGCATGTACTTTTTACAAGATATTCTTATTGCTAATTTTAATCAAGGATTTGATCTTTGCTCTTAAACGAGAAACATTTACACAAAAGGAAAAATCACTGGGGAGAGGGGAGCACTTTCAAAGTGAAGAGCTCTTCTAATATACTGTACTGCCCGTTGGACAAGATTGTTCGATATCTTGTTAGACAAGGATTGTTCCAGAGAGGAGATCTTTATATTGTTCCAGGCTCAATGAAATCTCAAAGGAAGTGGTCTGCCAGGTCTGATGATCAGAACATATCCCCCGAGGTAATGTATCCCCAGAGGCCCCTCTCCAGCAGCTGCCTTCGCAAAGACTTGGGTTCAGTGTCCAACTATCTGCGAGTACTTATCCCGCTCTGAAATACAATTCAAAGACATGATATTATAATAATAATAATATTTGCTACAACCTAGTTTCTGATTTTGAAAATGTATGTAGCTGCCATTGGCTAGCATGTTGTGGCAGGAGAGATTCGGGAGAGAGGTGCAGAGGGCCACCTGGAGCTTCAAGATCTGTAGTGACAGTCATTCATCCACAAGCTACTGATGGTGGCAGCGAAGACCACGACTGGCCTCAACGTTTACACCACAGAGACCTTCCAGGCATCAATAGTGAACTTCTCAAAAATCAACCAGTTCATCATGCTCCGTTGTCTAATGCATGACATGTTCACATAATCAACATGCAGCCTCTCACTGTTACACAAATCCACCATTCTTATACTGTGTGATTCCTGTAGTTTCAGGTCTGGGTACACTGTAACCTTTTATTATGTGAGAATTTTGCCTTTAAAAACGAGGTGTTGCAGGGAGATTATTGCAGACTCCCTGTCAAATCATCCAAAAGGCGGAGATGTTCTTTTTGCTCGTGTCCCACCCGCTCTCCATTGTCTTTGTGAAGCATTTTATCTCAACATATCTTTGTCTCATCTCTCCTTGGCTCATGCACTAGCATGATGTCCTTGCTGAATCTGTTTTGCACAGCCATTTTACATCACAGTTCCACAGTGCACAGCCAGATTTGCGGACTTTAGAAGATCTATAGGGGCAACAACTCTTTGCAGAAGGTGAAAGAATTGTGAAAAGTTATTGTGTCATATCTAGCTGCTAGTCTTTCACTGCCACTTACAAATTCCTATTTTCACAGATCTTGAAAAATATGCTTTGGGCTGTTTTTTTTACAAACTGAGGAATGTCAGGCCCCAAGTGTCTTAAAGATGAGTCACAGTGCTTGCATTCCATTGCACATCTGTGCTTTGAAATATTGGCCGGTACAAAGGATCCCTCTAGTGGGCATTTAAAGGCTTTATATCGGTTTCCTATACATTTTGATATTTAGGAAGAACCATCATCCTTTCCACACATCACATGGACGAAGCTGATCTCCTTGGTGATCGAATTGCAATTATCTCTCAAGGAAAGCTGCAATGCTGTGGCTCCTCCTTGTTTCTTAAGAACTGCTTTGGTTCTGGATTCCATCTTACTCTGGTGCGCAGAATGAAGAAAGTCAAGCATAAAAATGAAGATCAAGTGGTAAGTTGATGATCTGTCTTTCATTTGGTTGATATAATAATACTCCTTGCATTTGATATCACGATTGCATTTGTTAAAGCGCTATATCAAATGCAAGGATTATTATTATTATCACGCCTTATCACGTCACTAAGACGTCTCAAAGCACTTCACAGAATATACTGTAAAGTGAATTGACTGTATATTTTGTGGGCGAAACGCGGCAGACAATTGCACACAGCTGCGTCCCACAAACAATCATGGATTGAGTGACCAAATTATTATTATTATTTTTTAATTTTATTTTTGAAGGGATTATTATCCCCAGAAACGCTATCCACAATCGACTAACAACCAGGTTCCTGCTCACTGCTAGGTAAACAGAGGCGTGTGGAGTAAGGAAACTTGTCTAACATTGTGTCCTGGCTGGGAATTGAACCCAGGTCTTCTCTCGCTTGCGAGATGAGTGTTCTAAACTATGAGCTACAGTGCACCACTTGTGGGAAGTGCCCTGTGAGACCAGTTAAACAAAAAGGCAGAAGAAAGAAGAGTTCTCTGATCAGCAAAATGTTGAGAACTTACTGTCATCTTTAACGTGTGTGTCCATTGAATTGATTTCCTCGCTTTTCGTGTGGCAGAAAAAGAAGCTAGTATTTTTGGGGGAAAATATAGTTATTTTGAAAGAAAACAAATCTTCACATGTATCCCTCCTCAGAAATTCTAATAAAGAGAATGTTCAGAGGAAATACTATTGGCGTAATCCATGTTTCTTCAGGTTTTCAGGTGAAAATAATGAAAGATGAGACATAGATAGATGTAGATCAAAGGGCTGGAGCTGAACAGGTGGCAGGGAGCCTGACTGGTGGGATCCTGTTGTTTTTCTATGTTGATTATAGTGTTCAGCAGTTCTGAAATGTAATTGATGTTTCGCTGTATTTTTCCCACAAAATTAACCCAGCGAACATGTACGTGTGCTCCAGTCTGCACTTGCTCTTGCTCCATCTGCAATGATACCATTCCAGAGGAAGAACTAGATGGTATGTAATAATAAGAATAATAATTCTTGCATTTGATATAGAGCTTTTCATGTCTTCTCGACGTCTCAAAGCGCTTCACGGAATAGACTGTAAAGTGAATTGACTGTATATTTGTGGGCGAAGCGCGGCAGCCAATTGCGCACAGCAGTGTCCCACAAACAGTTTAGGATTGAAAATGACCAATTTATTATTGTTTTGTTTTAGAGGGATTATTAATAGGCGTTACTTCATGCACTGTACTTCCCTGCTCCCCTAGTACCATACAAGCATTAACAATACATTTACAGTTATGCAATGAGAGGCACATTAAATCTTGTTGACAATGGTGAAAACGATGCAATCAGTATAAAGGATGCAGGAAACAGCAATAAAAGGTGCTCTTATGAAAAGGCTATCACTATAGTCTGAATTGTTCTTTTATGCAGCTGATGTGGAAGCATTGACAGCTCTAATCCATCATCACATTCCTGAGGCCAAGCTGGTTGAAAATGTTGGTCAAGAACTTTACTATGTGCTGCCCAGTAAAGATTTCAAACACAGAGCCTACGCCAGCCTGTTCAGAGAGATAGAGGAAACGCTGCAAGATTTAGGCCTCAGCAGCTTTGGTGTCTCTGATACGTCACTGGAGGAGGTAAGAGTGACTAACCATCAGTTATCACAGTAGATATCTCTTTTATCTCTTTATATCAAACCTCTTTTATCAGATGGTACAAAACAGCTTCTGCCAGAGGTAAAGGAGGGATTGCAACACAAGATGCGTGTTACAAAGTGTAATCTTCACAAATAAGAGTTTAAATACAGCAGATACCATGGTCAAAGGCTGCTGCATATAATTGGGAAAATATGAAATTGTCTTACCGTCTCTAGTTAGCCGAGCTCCACTGTAATCCGAACTTTACACAAACTCACATTTCTCATTTTCAAGGGTTGTTTTTGTTGTGGTTTTTTTATATATAAACCACAACAGCAGAGCAGCACATTGTTCGTCAGAGTAATCTTTAAAGCAGCTGCTGTGGTTCTGCTCATTTTTTTAACCAAGTGGAAATAGGTTCCAGTTGCTGTTGCTACCAAAAAAACAAATAGAGTCTGTCTGGAAGGTATCCTTAAGTGAAAATACAATCTGAATTTACCTCAATACTTATATGCACATTCTCCTACATGAATTGAGAAGAGTCTTTCTTCTATGTAATACTTTCAATTCTACATTCGCCAGGAAACAACCGAGTCTTGCCGGTGATAACAAATGTTCAATTTCTATTGTTTTCTTCCAGATTTTCTTAAAGGCCACTGAAGATCTTGAAAACGGTACAGGTAAACAAATACACCAATTACTTTGCAGCATGCAAAAGCTCTGCTCTCTTGATAGAGGCTAAATTGTGGCAAAAGTCTACTTTATATTAATTTACCCTGCCTTTGAATATCTAACCATACGTTTGTAGGTCCACGTCATAAAACATAATATGTTTGACGCTAATATTACCCATAATAGTGTAGGTTTTAGTTAATTGTTTAAGTATTTCATCACTCAACATGCATAGGAGCATAAGAAATAGGAAGAAGAGAAAGCTATTTGTTCTATCAAACCTGCTTGGCACAGACCATTTCTGTGGCTTACATATTATGTACATATTACAATCTCAAATCCCACCTCCTTCCTTTCTCCTTCCATATCACTTACTATTTTTACTCCCCAAGTATCTATCAATCCATCTCTCTTATAATTTTCTGAACAATTTTTTTCCATCACGTCTTTACATTAGATATGGCGAAGAATTGTATTTTAGGAATAGCTGAGATTAGTTCAGGCCACTCCTGTCTGTAGCATTGCTTATCTTGCAAATGGCAAATCTTCTTTAAATGCATCTAATAAAATTAAAGGAAAAAGGATTTGGGCTTAAATTTCCCAATGCCTGAAATGCTTTTGAAGTTTTTTTTTGTTTGTTTAATGTGCTTTCTAAAGCTTTTAGTTGCTTTAATAGTACATTTTTTTATCGTTCATTTGTTAATCTTGATCTGTAAAAAGGCTACCTACTGCCAAGGAAGTCAAGAGCAGGAGTTGGAGTGGAAAACAGGGCAACTGTTGTCAACATTGAAGCTAATAATGGTGAGGATTAAATAGTAATTCTGGAGATTATAGGAAGGCACTAATGGGTGGAACTTTCACCTGGGTCTATACTTACTCGATTAATGTAGCATTTCACGGGATCCAGAATTTGTCAAATTCTTCAATAGAGTCTTTAATTTTGAAGCCAGTTTTCTGTAAGTTTCTTTTAAAAACTACAGAAAACAGGCTTGAAATTTAAAACTAAATTCTATAATTTGCCAAATTCTGCACACTCTGAATAGAGTATATCGAGAATCAGGTGGAATTCTACCCAGTCATCTGTTGCAATGCTAATAATGACTCCTTATCCCTAGTTTTTTCATATCTCTCTTAATCAACAGCAGTTTCCTCCTCTTTTCATTCCTAGTCCTTCATCATCCTCTACTGTTCCTGGCTTCACTTTTACCTCTGCGACAACACCTGTCTACGATGAAAGCTGTTCACATATGATAGGCTTTTCGAGCGCCTCTCCTATGCACTTAGAAATACATGAAATGATTTGTCCTCCAGGAAAGCTTTCTCTCACCTCCTGCACTCTTTCTGGGTTTCAATCTCGCTTTCGTTTCTCGATAGTATCAATAAAGCTATTGCTTTTCTAAAACATTCTTTTCTTGTTCATCCCAATCTCCAAATACACCAAATTAAAGCTGTGTGCAATTGCCTGCTGCGTTTCGCCCACAAAACACCCAGTCAATTCACTTTACAGTATAGCCTGTGAAGCACTTTGAGACATCTCGAAGATGTGATAAGGTGCAATATCAAATGCAAGGATTATTATGATTATTATTAAAACGCATGCTCAATATGCTTCTGATATCCTCAATTTATGAACCCTTTATTTCCCTCAGTCTTTCCTTTCTTCCCATAATCTATAAGATTTTGAAACCATGCTTGTTGTTGTCTTGCCATTACCTAGTTTATCTTATCGTCTTGCCTCTTTTCAACATTGGTGGATTGCTGCAAGAGCCACAGCCTTTTGTCCAGGTTTCCTAATTTAAACAACTTTACTGCGGCAGAACTGCTCTGTAATCATCTCACAGGGCAAAGTAACAATGCTCTGTAATCATGAGTCTTACAGGGTGATTTATTATAACAACTTGACTCTTTAATTATGTTAGAAAATAATAATAATTTAAAATATGTGGTGTAGACAGGGATTTTTAAATGATAGGGAACATAAATGGAAGAAAACAAGTATTATTAAGTGCAGTGTTACCTAAAATATTGTAGGCTGGAGGTAAATATGGATTTAGAGGTTAGATAACCATAAAATATAATGAAAAGAGAGCCATGTATGATAATCCTTACATTTGATATAGCACTTTTCAAGTCTTCTAAATGTCTCAAAGCGCTTCACAGAATATACTGTAAAGTGAATTGACTGTATATTTTGTGGGCGAAATGCGGCAGCCAATTGCGCACAGCAGTGTCCCACAAACAGACGTGGATTGAGTGACCAAATTCTTATTGGTTTTTTTCTTGAGGGATTATTATCCGGCGTGTGGAGTAAGGAAACTTGCCCAAGGTTTCGCCCTGCTGGGAATCGAACCCAGGTCTCTCCCTTGAGAGGCGAGTGCTCTAACCACTGAGCTACAGGACTCCACATGTCTGAAACTATATATAGTATTTTAAGGAATGACAGTGGAGGATTCCCATTGCTATATAGTCCAACATTACCTTTTTCTTGTTTTTTCTAATCCAATTTTCTTCCCTCCTCCTATCTTGTTTCTTCTCATGCTGACAGAGCACGACTATAATGGGGAATTGCCATTAGAAGCTGATATTATCAATGTCACTACTCTTAACTGATGTTAAGCACCGTCTCTTCAGCCAGGATTGGGATAATACATTGAGCAAAACCGGTGGAATTAGTTCCTGTTATGTTGTTTAAATATTTCAGAATATAGCCAGGGAGTTTGAATGAACAACTCTTAACTCCTGTCTTCAATTGTCTGAAGGCCACTTATGTTTCAAATAATAATAAATAATAATCCTTGCATTTGATATAGCGCTTTTCACGTTTTCTCGACGTCTCAAAGTGCTTCACAGAATAGACTGTAAAATGAATTGACCGTATATTTGTGGGCAAAACGTATGCACGGATAACACATTTAAGAGGTTAGTTGCAAAATAAGCAAATGTTCTAATCCCTGAGGGCAAGGAAACAGGCTCCACAGTGAAATATTTGTAATTGTACTTTGTCAGTATATATGGCAGATACATGATTGCAAATAATGACAAAATAGACTTTCCAATGTTTACAGGCTTTAAAAGTATTACAAATGCTTTCACTTCAAGACCTCTACATTACTTCTTATGATATTTTCAAGTTGACAAGTATATGCTTAATAATGATACATATTGATATGGAGCTTTGTCACGTTATCGAGACGTCTCAAAAACCTTCACAGTATTTACAATAAAGTGCAGTGCCTATATGTTTGTTGGCGAATGTGGGAGCCAATTTGCACCAGCCAGAAGGTGAATGACCAATTTTATCTGAGAGATTGTTGGCTAAGACACCAGGAGAAACTCCCTTCCCTGTTTGCAAAGATTGGTAACATAAGGGGTCCAGTGAACTGTGCATATTAGAAAGAAGTCCCTTCACTTCAAAACTTCTTATGACATCTTTATATTAATTGCTTCAAGGACCTGCCTTGCTAAATCTGTCACAGTCAACACTGTTGTCCAAAGGAATCCTTGTGTTGTATTAACTCCCCCTTCTGTAAATTGATTTTAGTACAAAGATAATAAAAAATACTAAATCTAGTTCTATAAAAAAAACACACCCCCCTCTTGAGGACATTCATGTATATAATTTTTCTTCCATATTTATCAATTACTTATTATTTGTTTCCAGAGATAATCATTTCATTTTGTTTCCTCAAGCTTGATCTATTCTAAATATTGCAAAACTTTGTTCTTCTTTAACATCTCTAACCTCCGGAATGATTAAGCTCGGTAAACAAAGGCAGTATTCATGTCTACTTTCATTGAAAGATAAATACATTCTTAAATAAATTCAAATGTTTTCAGGATGCAAAGAAGCTTCACAGAGTGGCCAGGCCGAGGACGGACAAAACCAGACAAAACCATCTTCTGAGGCAAAACCAAACAATCAGCAGGGGGCAGAGCCTCAAGACACAGCTGCGGAACCACCAGAGGATCCTCCAGGACCTGCAGACAACCAGCAACTGGTCTTGAATGAGGGAAAAGGCACCCGGCAGATCACCGGCACGGAACTTATTAAACAGCATTTTAAAGCTCTGTTTATCAAGCGATTCAAACGGGCTATTCGCAGTCGGAAGGACTTCTTGGCACAGGTGCATTGTCAGGTTGTGTTGCTCTTAGTTGGTCCTTGTCTATAATCTGCCACTAGTTAAGTATGTATATGCATAACTGGTGTATAATTCTGTACTGACAAATGTACTGCTGTGGTAACTTCCAGGCTATCAGTTAAATGGTTCCTACCTGTGTGTGAGGATCTGCTGTTGGAAGTGGAGGTCTTGCATCTTAGCCCAATTCTATCACCCAATGTCTACAGAATTGTACTTCCAACTTAACGCTGGGCACTGAGGTCATTGGTAACTCTGCAACTAGCGCTGCTGCTGAAATCCGCTAATACAGCTAATAGAGATCACAGATAGGTCCTCTCTGGTCTGTATGACTCAGTTCCACAATGAGCAGCATATTTACCAGCAGCGATATCGAGAAACCCTCAGTTATTATACGTTTGGTCTCTGATTACTGTAATATATTTTATAAAATACACGTTCATTTTTTAAAAACTAACCAGTGTTATTGACTTGTGTCACAAATATTTATTGTGATATTACTCACCTCTAAGATTTCTGACAGGTTCCAGTAATTCAAGATGTAGTATTGTTCTTTCTTCTAAGGTGGTCCTCCCGGCAAATTTTGTACTATTGGCTCTGATCTTCACACTTATCGTCCCTCCATTTGGCGAATATAAAAGTTTAACACTTCACCCATGGATGTATGGAAAACAATACACCTTCTTCAGGCAAGGTTACATTTTGGCATTTTATTTAATTGTGTATTTATCTGGGTTTGTATAAAATGTATATGCATTTATTCAAGCAATTTATTGATAGCACAACAACTGCCCTTCAACTCATACTGAGTAGAACTTCTGAAAAATAATTCAAGGTGAAAAATATGATTTGTATTCTGATAATTCTCATTGATAATATCACCTTGCTTGCTCCATTTTTCAACCCCTAGTTTTTATAGTTTGACAACTGACAATTTGTAAATTTTTAAATTAATGTGTTCCATTTAACTTTAAATTTTTATTTCTGAAACAAAAATTAATTTGACACAATTCTGGCTTTTATAATGATTTTATTTATTTTGCAATAAATCTAGCATGATCATAAAGAGTCATGCAAGTATAGGAATTACGATTGTTTATTATATACACGCATGACAAGACATCCATGTAATTATTTATTTATGGTTAAGGAAAGCTGTGCATCTTCCATCTGCCTTGTATGCATTGTTATACAATGCTGTTTGATAAGCAGTGATTTCTACAGAAATGTCAAAGTAAGGAAAGCAAGTCAAATTTCTCTTGGTAACTGGAATTAAGAATGCATGTTATTCACACTTGCAGGAACTTAGCTCTAAAAGTAGATTGTGTCGGGTCAGAGTTGCCATAAGTTTGCCGAATGTAGGTAAGATTTCCATATTAAAGACATCTATCAGAAATGGCCTGATGCATATGTATTAATCTCCAATATGTTGCTCTTCTTAATTTCTGTAGCAATGAGCGTCCATACAATAAGAACCTCAATCGTCTAATTGACTTGTTGGTGAATAAACCTGGATTTGGAACTCGCTGCATGAAATCGAATCCCTTGGAGTAAGGCAGTTTTAATTCAGATTGTTGCAGCATTTGTGTCTATTCACCTAAGTGTGTTGTTTAATAAAAAAAAATCAAGCCGGTATTAATGTTAGAAATTTTATTTCAACATTCCGTGACTTTCTTACAGAAAATAATGTCATTTTCATTTCAACAGGAATTACCCCTGTAGTAACCAGTCAATGCATTGGGAGAGTCCAGTTCCGAATCCCATTGTTGCCAATGTTCTTCAATCCCCATTCTGGAGTGCTATGAACCCCTCCCCATCCTGTCAATGTAGCACGAAAAATAAGCTAATTATGCTCCCCAACTGTGCCCCAGGAGCAGGTGGGCTACCCCCACCACAGGTATGACAATTTAATAATAATAATAACCCTTGCATTTGATATCGCGCCTTATCACCTCGTTGAGACGTCTCAAAGCGCTTCCCGGAATGTCTTGTAAAGTGGAATGGCTGTGAATTTTGTGGGTGAAACGGGGCAATCATTTACGCACAGCAGTGTCCCACAAGCAGTCGTGCATTGAGTGACAAAATTGTTATTTATTTATTTTGGGAGGATTTATTACCCCCAGAAAGCGATCCACCATTCGACTAACAAGCGTTCCTACTCACTGATAGGTAAACAGAGGCGTGTAGAGGAAGGAAACTTGCCTTAGGTTTTGTCCCACCCTGGAATCGAACCCGGGTCCTCTGGATTGCGAGGCGAGCGCGCTAACCACTATGCTACTGGAATCCACAGTTTAAGACATATAGAGCAGACTTTAAATGCACTTTTTGGATTGTGTCTGTATTTCCAGTGATAGTTGTGGCTTCTGTATTTAACCAAATCATTTCTTCTATAAAATAAAACCATGCAATATAAAACAGCAATTCAAAGGTCAAGAGACAAAACGTAAACAGCTACGTGTTTAGCCTTATTTCATCAAAGTCTTTTATTTTTAACGTATAATAAAAGGTATGATAATTTTACACAATCAGTTGTTCTCTCATCTCGCAGAGGATCCAACCCACCACTGACATCCTTCAGAATCTCACCCAAAGAAACATATCGGACTTCTTAGTGAAAACGTATCCTAATCTAATCAGGACCAGGTAAGGACAGTTGTTTATTGCAGTAAATTTTCAAGTTCACAGCCCCAACAATTTAAAAAGAGCTTTTTTTTAAATCTAAATTGCATATATATTCACAGATCATTAATTGGTTTGAATCAGTTTGTCAGCTGCGGATTTTTTTTACAAAAGAAAGGCTTCTGATCTACTATAAGCATTAACCTTCTGTCTGTGTTTTCCTTTTAATTACAGCATGAAGAGCAAATACTGGGTTAATGAACAAAGGTATTGAATTATTTTCTTTCTGCGCTGTAAATTCTGCTGTAGTTATTACCTAAATGAGTGGAAGTGTATTATTATTATTCTCTTACACACAGAGCAAGGCTATAAATATCTGTTACAAATGACAGTATTGTTCGAATTCTATTTGAAATGCAAAAAATATTATTACTATTTATTATCACATCACACGTACCTTTTACTCTGCCTTCCCCCCATTACAATTTACTATTTTAATATATTCAGTAATGTGCAGCTAAGTGACTGCTGTTTGAAGTTTTACTTATTTATTAACTATCAACATTTTCGAACGCAAAATTAATTGGTTGTGAATGACATAGTTGAGAGCACCTGTAATTTTCTATTTGTGCATGCACGGTTTACACAACCCGGAAACTAGACCCACCGTGTGCAAGTGGTAGATTTATCGCCTGTAATATTCTAGTGCCAATGTTTTATTAAAAATGAAATTAAGGACATGCACTCAAGTGTTTTCCTGATGTTTCAGGTATGGTGGAATATCAGTGGGAGGAAAACTTCCAGTTTTGGAAGTTGACACTGAACAGATTGATGCTATTTTCACTCAAATGGGCCGAATGCTCAACATCACTGGGGTAGGTGACAGACTGATTGATTACTTTGCTCCCACATGTTAATGTGCTTGGGATGCATGTTGCATTTAGGCAAATTGTGAAGATTTGGGGTCGTGTAGCTCAGTGGTTAGAGCATTCGCCACATAAGCGAGAGACCTGCGTTCAATTACCAGCAGGGCGAAATGTTGGGAAAGTTTCCTTACTCCACACCTCTCTGTTTACCTAGTAGTAAGTAGGCACCCGGTTGTTAATCAATTGGAAGATTGCTTTTCCGGGGGTAATAATTCCTTCAAAAAAATACTAATAATAATTTGGTCACTCAATGACTGTGGGACACTGCTGTGCGCAATTGGCTGCCATGTTTCACCCACAAAATATATAGTCGATTCACTTTAGAGTATATTCTGTGAAGCGCTTTGAGACGTCTCGAAGACGTGATAAGGCACTCTATCAAATGCAAGGATTATTATTATTATTAAGATGCATGTGCGAAGATTAGTTTATCACTCCCTCTAGTGATTCAAACAATGTGCCACTGCCTTTCATTGCAGTTTTAACAGGATGGATTTTATTTTAGCCCCCAAATCTTTCAGTGATTGACTGTTTCTTTTGTTTTAGGGCAATTACACGCAGGCAATGTTTCGAGATCTCAAGAATTTCCTGAAGTACATGGAGACTGAAGAAAATATTAAGGTGTGTTTCTGAACTCTAATGTTTTGCATAGGGTAACATTTATCTGCTATAATGTTTGTGGTTGCAAAGACAAAATGACTGGCACATTTCTTCTGAGGTTTACCTTATTTTCAAACATACTAGGTACAACTTGCAGCATTTCTTAATGCATTAATTAACACAAGGAATCCATTATGAAATGCTATCAAAATAAAATGTAATCTGTATTTTTTCCTGTAGTTATTTATCGGTGTTGTTAATACACCTTTGCTCCACAGAGGATCTTTTATGAAGCCGAGAGGGATAAGTTTGGTGTCTTGTGAGTGCTCAGTCCTGACAACCCAGGTGTGGGTTAATGTCAGTGCTATGGGTTTCTCCACTTGGACAAACTAAGATTAGGAAGTTATTATTTGGGAATCACAGACACAGTTATTATTTAGAGAGTCACAGACACAGCCTGTGTCATACAACAGTGTCTGCCGCAGGCTGCTTTAATCAAGAGGACACGGGTTGCAAAGGACAATTTCAGCACAGACACCGGAAAGTGTTTTGTTTACCCAGGGGGTAATTAAAGAGTGGAGCAGGTTACCAGCAAGGATGTGGACTCATTTTTAAAAAAATGATGATGTAAATATGGTGGGTGTTCTGAAAGCATGAGATTAAATGAGTCAGAGAGCATTCTTCATCCGTAACTCTCTTGTGATCTTGTGTCTCCATAAAAATGCTTTAATGAAAGGGTGGTGAGATCAGTCTTGCAGCTGAAGTTGCTATATCCCAAGGTAGATGTTCAGTCAAACTCAGGCACTCCAATTTCAATGGTGTTTCCATCAGTTTGAACCCCTAATTATTAACCTTGACTTTGAAACTGACCTGTGATGTGTTGGAACAGTTTTCTATATTTAAACATTAATGCAGAGATCTAATCTGTTTCAGGTGTGGTTCAACAATAAAGGTTGGCATGCCATGGTTTCATTCATGAATACTGCCAACAATGCTATTCTTCGAGCAAACCTACAATCCAAGCTTGACCCAGAGGACTATGGCATAACCATTATAAACCATCCACTGAACCTCACGAAAGAACAGCTTTCAGAAGTCACTGTGTAAGTTACAACAACTTGCACTTATATAGCGCTCTTCACGTCCGAGCGAGTGGACACGGAGAGCTACGAGTTACTTAGACCTGCTGCAATTTAAAAACGCAAAAAGCCTTAATGTCAGAAAACCTTTTTTTTGGAAAGTAATCTCTGGGACACAGCAATCTGAGCAAATCTGTGATTTTTTTCTGCATCTGGAGCTCTGCCACATTTCCTGTGCTCTCCCTTTTCCTGAGCTTGTACATTTACTGTTCTGTTGATCTTGTCTTTTTCAGGCTCACTACTTCTGTGGATGCAGTGGTTGCAATCTGTGTTATCTTCGCCATGTCATTTGTCCCGGCGAGTTTTGTTCTGTACCTTATTCAAGAAAGGGTTTCAAGTGCTAAGCACCTGCAGTTTGTCAGTGGAATGAGCCCCACCACTTATTGGGTGGCCAACTTCATTTGGGATATGGTATGTCCCAACCCAGCACATCAATCACCATTGAAATTGTCGTTGTGGAGATTTAAACCAAAACAACTGCTGTTGCTGACATTTTGTACCACATTTTCATCTCCTGGAGTTTGCTCAATGCAGTGCCACAAAGGCAATGTGAAAGTTGTTAAGATTGATGAATATTATAAACACTTCACAGCACAATAAAACTATGTTGGAATTGAAACTGGAAACCAGCACACTTTTAAAAAGTACAAAGAGGGTTGCAGTATAAATGCAGGGGGTGTGAACCACATGTTTGCTCCTTCTTTCTCTGTTTAAAGAGCTCCAGGGTACCTGGGAATCTTGAACTAAAGAGATAATGTCATGAAAAAAGCTTCAGTAATATTAAAAAAAACAAAGGTGTGCACTGAGTGTCAAAATTCGGAGGGTTGTTTGTCTTTGTTCTTATTGAAAGCAAAAACCGAGACGAGAGCAACAAAAACAACTTGCATTTATATAACACCTTTCACATAAGATAACGTCTCAAAACACCTCACAGAGACAAAGTTGGAAAGCCTCTGGGGGTGGGGGGGCTCTGTATCTGCAACATTGAACTAACAGAATGCCCTAACTGTCTTCTTCAAACTAATTAACTGAACCTGAAGGATTTTCCTGAATGCAGAGCAGAAGCTTTGTGAATGTACAATTTCCCTTATGACTGTTATAATGATCTCCAGTGAATGTGTTCTGTCATTCTGTCATAGCAAGGCTATCTTGTTGGAAGTCATTTTTCCTTGCACATTGTAGAGGTTGTCGGAAGTGGCATGGATGAGGACTGTAGATATTCCATCATTATTAATGAGATGCAGCATTTGGAGCATTGCTAACTGGTGACTGACGCTTAAATTTGAATGTGTCTTTGTCTCTCAGTGTAACTATTCAGTGACAACATTCTTGGTGGTCATAATCTTCATTGGCTTCAATAAAAAAGCTTACACCTCACCGACTAACTTGCCTGCTCTCGTCGCTTTGCTGTTCCTCTATGGGTAAGGCAAGGTTTCCACACACTTTTCTGTTTCATTGACTTTCTCATAGCTTTGCTTTGCCAAATGCTTTCCAAAAAAGAACAAAAGTTAAAAACTCGACTCTTTTCTTTCCTCCGCAGATGGTCTGTAACTCCGATGCTATATCCCGCATCCTTTGTGTTCAATGTTCCCAGCACTGCCTATGTGGCCCTCTCCTGTATTAATCTTTTCATTGGGATCAATGGCAGTGCAGCTACCTTTGTTCTTGAGCTGTTTGAAAATAACAGGGTAGGTTCTTCTGAGTTTTGTATACATTTACCAGTCAAGTTGATGCTGATTGTTTGGGGGAAAACAAATTGTTTCTGTGACTTCTTCTGGTTACAATATGACTGGACTGAAATGATGGCTGGCATCCTATCCATTTATTATCCTTTCAAAACCAGTATCAAGTGATTCATTAGGATAACAAATCCCTGATTGTCCAGCGCCTTCGGACATCCTCCCAACGTGAAAGGCGCTATACAACTGTCATTTTGTATTATATAACAGACCAGACTCGATCCGGCACTGAGCAGTTAAAAGGAGGGCAATTGATATCATCATCCGTGATCTTAGGAGGGAAGGATCAGGGCTCCCACTCCTGATTACTCTTAGTGGCACTGGTGGAAGGTTTACATGTATGAACAATCGGTCATGACAGGTTTGGACTTAGCCAAAACAGCTCTCCCAGCTAAATAGTTTTCTTGATTGCTGTCCAGGTGAAGTACCAGAGACACCTAGTGAACAGCATTGAAACAGCTGAATAAAAGGGGGTGGAAAAAGAAAAGTTTCGATCGAGTGAAAAAGAATGAAAGTTTCCTTGGACTGAAATAAATACAAGCAATCGATATTGGCTTTGAGTTTCAGCAATCATTCAGTTGAGTGGTTCTTGTGATACTGTAAATCAAGAGAACAAGGTCTTTGAAAATCAGCAGATTGCCAGATTGAAGTGCTGCTTCAGTTAAACTCATTGCCAAATAGATATTGGTGATTTTCTTAGAAGAGTCTGAAGGTGTATAACACGACATGGCCAAAAACAGGGTTTTTTTCTGGCAGTGGATAAATTGGTAGCAAGAGATAAACTCAGTAATGTGTGCATACTGGATGTACTAAACATTTACATATTAGAATACACCCCACACATACAGTAATAACTCCCAAACACCCAGTAACCCAGACGACAAAGTCATCTGCGAAAGAGAGTAGAGCCTTTCATGAGTTTACATCTTAAGTAATGTAAACTCTTAGTTTAGGAAATAGCATTATGGGATATAGTACATAGATAGTCGGAACATTTGTGCATGCGACCGCCAGGAAGGTGGAAGGCAAACTAGATGGACCTTTGGCTTTTTTCGTCTAGCATTTCTTATGTTCTTATATAAAGTTTTTGTTTTACCATTCTCAATTTACCAAACTTCGCCCCTTGTAAAGGACTTTTCACCACTTAGTCAGGTAGCTCTCCAAAGTTCCCGCTCCACACAAATGCTCATTCAATTCTCTCTATACGTGGAACATGTTTGCATCTGAACAATAATAACGTGGTTACAATGCAAATATGTAGCCAATGTTGATTATATTAATTGTGTTCTCGTTCCAATGTAAGAACATTCTGTCACTAGAGCTCCAGCAATTGGTTTTCTTTTATGCGAATGTCAAACAGTTTGTATTCTCATTCCACTTAGCACACAGTGTGCTTTCTGAACTGATTAAGGCCGAGACACTGTGGAGTGCTTTATCCTTTTCAAAGTCCAGAATAAAATCTACCTAATTGTTAATTCAGGCCATTACTAATTCATCCATTCACTCTCTGGCACCTCCTTACCTCTGCAACCTCCTCACTCCCCAATTCACAACCCGGTGCCACCTCTCGACTGGCACCGGCTTCCTGCTCGTCCCTCACAACTCCGCCCCACCACCAGAGGTTGCGCTTTCAGCCACTACCCCCCAAAACTCTGGAACGCTCTCCCTCAAGCTCTCCACCTTACCCCCTCTCTCCCCTTTTCCAAGTCCTGCCTGAAAACCTTCCTCTTCGACCGTGCTTACGGCCACCTCTCCCGACGCCCCCCCCCCCCCCCTGTTAAGCGCTCTGAGACGCTACCTTATGTGGAGGGCACTAATAAGTGCAAGTTGTTGTTGTTGTACTAAGAATATAAGTGACTTGACTACAGTTGAATTCTTTCTAGGAATGAGGCTTTTATCTTGCATTAATGCCAGTCTCTCAACAACCAGCTCACACCTTTAGGATAACCTATCTAGTATTGTAAAGTATTATTCAATATGCAAGTGGAATAATCTTATTTAACTTTACAATTACAGTTGAAGATACTTGGATCTGTCTAAATAGCGTAATCTCTAAACCAGCCATTGTACACTATTGAATGTATTAACGGATGTTGAGGATACATATTATATACAAGAATTTATTTTATTAAGTTATTTTTATTTTAAGCGTTTTTATACTGAATAATAGTCTTTAGTAGTTTATTAGTGTCTGTAACAAGAGTTGAGTGGTACTAATGCTGTTCTTGTCATTTCAGACTTTGCAAAAGATCAATGCAATGTTGAAAAATATTCTGATAATATTTCCACATTTCTGCCTGGGAAGAGGTTTAATTGATATGGCTATGAATCAAGCTGTGACTGATGTATATGCTAGATTTGGTAAGTCTTATAATATAGGCGGAAGTGATTATGTTTTGTGATCTAGAATTCAGAGATGTAAAACATTTACAATTTAATTTTTGGAGTAAATCAGAAATTCAGTGTATTGCAACTAACAAGCTCAGAGCTTCTGTGTATGTATATATGAAACATTGAACTCAAATGCTAAAGATATTGGCCAGAGCATTGACCAGAGCTGAGGAAAGTCACTTGAAGGTAATCTATTACTGCATCCCCATTCCATGTGTAAAATTACAGAAATATACGTATTCACTTAGAAACACCCCTGATATTATGTGTTTGTTAACATACTGAATCATATTGTTCCAGGTGAAGATTTTTATTTCAATCCTTTCCATTGGGAGTTCCTTGGTAAGAACATGGCTGCCATGGCAATTGAAGGAGTTGTGTACTTCATGCTGAATCTCCTTTTCCAAAACCAGTTCTTCCTCTCCTACTGGTAAGTGTTGATATTTCTCAAAAGTAATGTTAACTTTTGAATCTTTAAGTATGATTGAATAACTATAGTGAAGCCTTATAATAATCCTTATAATCCTTCAATTTGATATAGCGCCTTATCACGTCTTCGAGTCATCTCAAAGTGCTTCACAGAATAAAGTGAATTGACTATATATTTTGTGAGTGAAACGCGGCAGCCAATTGTTCACAACAGTGTCCCACAAACAGTCGTCGATTGAGTAACCAAATTATTATTATTTATTTATTATTATTATTAATAGCCTTCACTATTGTGATAAATGAAGGATAGGCTAGAAGGACCTATATTATTATTATTAATATTCTCATCTTCAACTTTCCATCTATCCTCAAATCCTCATCACCACTTAACTTCAACTGATCACAGTATGATCTCTACAGATAAACTGTTGTGTGCTGCTCTTCAACTGATGCCTTCTTGTTTGACGTAGGTCGACAACGCCAACCAACTTACCTGTTATTGAAGAAGATGAGGATGTGTCCCTTGAGCGGGAGCGAATTACTAAGGGTGTCAGTAAGAATGACATTCTGAAAATAAAGGAACTCAGCAAGGTGAAGGCAAAATGAATATTCCTATTCCAGTATCTAGATGTTTTCAGTTTATGAAATCTATGTGTTTCTTTCACTAAATTTGGTCTGTGTTTCTTACAGTATTACGTGGGCAGAACAAGACCAGCTGTGAACAGACTCTGTATAGGTGTTCGACCAGGAGAGGTAAGCACTTCCAATATGTGTTAGCCTCAAATTATACATCAATGTTTCATAAAAGCTTCAGTTGAAGTGAAAAAATTATCTTAAATGCACTTTTTCTTCCGTGCTTAGTGCTTTGGACTATTGGGGGTCAACGGTGCTGGAAAGACAACAACCTTCAAAATGCTGACTGGTGACACAGATCCCTCTTCAGGCGATGCCTCAATTGCAGGCTACAGGTACACACACAACAGCAAGAGCCATTGCTGCAAGCTTATAGACAGAAACCAACGTTACACTCCCTTCAAAATATCTTATCAGTTCTGTCGAAATCCATCATAAAACACTTTGATTGCTTTGTCAACTATGATGCTTGTACTCAACTTCAAACACGTGCATAATTAACAATTGTGTCTTGTGTTAAAGAGCGTTGCTTTCACTCAGATGTTCTTGTGATTTTTTTTCCCCCCAGTATTCACACCAATATACACGATGTGCACCAGAACATGGGCTACTGTCCACAGTTTGATGCTATTGATGAGCTGCTCACAGGCCGGGAACATCTTTTGCTCTATGCACGTCTGCGAGGTGTCCCAGAAGATGAGATTGAAAGGGTAATTCTGCTCATGTTTAGCATTGCTTGTGATCTTGGGAACTTGCAGCACATTCATGAATCAGGAAGGCCATCAAACAATGGGAAGCAAGGACTTGACATGATCTTTCCTTGTACAACAACTTGCATTTCTATAGCGCATTTCACACATGGTAATGTCTGAAAGTGTTTTATTGAGTTGGTGCTGGACACTGAGCGAGGAGGGTAGGGGAAGAGATGAGGGAAGTAACGCAGTAGAAGATGCAGTTGAGGGAGGAATTACGAATATACACAGTCTAGTGACTTCACACTAAATCCTGTGCCGAACTTTGAAATCCTCTTGATGCTTCCTGTGCATAATATCTGGAAAGTGAGGGCTGCAGCGAAGCTATTTCAGACGTTAAACGTGTTAAATTACATCCCTAACAGTAATTTCTTAAGGCAGATTCTTAAATTATATGTAATGCGCTACTGATTATAATGTGAATGCTTAAAGGTTTCAAATTCTGAACAGTAACTTGTCTTTATATAGCGTCCTTCACACGGGAAGCGATTCAGACCACTTATAATCATATATTTCCAAAATCGTGCAACAAAATGTTATGCTGATAATGGCTCAAGTTCAATCTCAGTGTCTTGGTTCAATTGGCATATCAATCCTCAGAAACTCACTGTTCATTCCCAAACCAGGAGCAATGTTGCCTTGACAATCATTTTAAGATGTTGGAGGTAACATTGTTGAGTGTTAAAAAAGAATTTGCACAATGTACTTAACTGTCACATTATTTTCAAAAGGACAATGTGAATTATTACTTTCATTTTCCTGGAAATCACCTCTGCATAAAAACTATTGCTTCTTTTATATGCTGACTAAGAAATGGCTTGTGTAAAACAATGACTTCTTTTATGTTAGAATACACTGACTAAGAAATGGTCTGTGATTCAACATCAATCTCCTTTCATCTTTGTATTCAGAATTAAGACATCAGTTTTGTTTTCTAAATCAGACTCAGCAACCGCACTGCTGAAAATCGCACCAATTAGATCATTTTCGTTTCTCTAACACATCCTGAATGACTAACTGTTTAGTGGGTTAAGTAAGCTTCCTCATAAACACAATCTGTTAGGAGTCGCATACATAACAATCGAGTCGTTGGACAGGATGTGGGTAAAGCCACGATAGCATGAAAACCCCGTAGCCTCCAATCCCCCCAAAATGCTAAAACGTATGACATTGTCCTCGCAAACATCCAGAGAATAATACACCAACTGTAACCCTGAGAGGTGACTGCTGATTTTTGTCTGTTCGCAGATTGCTGAGTGGGGAATTGAAAAGCTGGATCTCACTGAATACGCCGATCAGACAACTGGCACGTACAGTGGGGGAAACAAGCGGAAACTCTCCACAGCCATTGCACTCATTGGCTCCCCCCCAGTCGTGTTGCTGGTAGGTGGCGCTGTAGTACAATAGTGCTACCCTGGTGCACGCAGAAGCACCATAGCACGTAAGCCCTCACATTGCTGTAAAATAAGACTATTCACTTTACATCATTGCATCGACGTTCATCTTGCATTGGTAATGTACGTCGAAGAAACAGTGAGACATTAAAAGAGGGTTCTTAGTTTATTCATATTTTGGCAAGCTTTAATTTGGCATTAATAGTTTGATGCATTCTTTAATGGAAGAGACACGTCAGTTGGATTTAGATTAAATCTATCATTTGAAGTACAGGATCTCAAAGGAAAATTATAGACTCAATAATAACAGGGAAATCCTGTATTTAGTTTTGCCTGTATTTAGTTTTGCCCACAAAATACCACGGTCAATCCACTTTACAGTATATTCTGTGAAGCGCTTTGAAACGTCTCAACGACGTGATAACGCACTATAACAAAGGCAAGAATTGTTATTATTATAATAATTGGTTAATAATCACAACAACTTATGCTTAAAGTGTCTTTTCATGTAGAATGTTGTCTCAAATGTGTTTTACAGAGAAGCTTGAGATGGGAGGGAGGGACATGACCAAATAAAAAAAAAATTATATCCTCTGTTTTTAGCATGATTTATGTGTAAGTTGAGAATTCCGATCATGTTTGCAATATGTTAATATGTACTCTGCTTTAGGATGAACCGACTACAGGAATGGATCCCAAGTCACGTCGATTCCTCTGGAACTGTCTTCTTGGTGTTATCCGAGAAGGCAGAGCTGTGGTATTGACCTCACACAGGTAAGAAGTTGTCTCTTTAACGCTTTGTGAGACTGAAAAGATTTCCTTGTTAAGACAGTCAAACTGATGGGAACTTTGTTGTGTTTGCAGCATGGAAGAGTGTGAAGCCCTCTGCACACGGTTGGCCATTATGGTGAATGGACAATTCAAGTGTCTGGGTACCATCCAACATCTGAAGTACAAGTACGTCAATGCTCTTTGTTTACTCACTCAAGTGTTTCCATATCACACACACATGCTAAATGTTATGACTTCCTACTTCCGTGATGCTGACATTTCCCATATATTACAATTAGTTTTTCTTATTTTGTTATGTATCTCGATTTAAAAGGTGGGCGATTGGTGTTACAGTAACGCAGGTTTGTCCTGATGCAAGCTTGATCATTTCAATTGGAAGTGGATGGTTTTTTGCTCCCCTTTTAATTTTCATAAGTATTCAGTTACGGTGTTATTAGAAGGGTCCGTACTTTAATGATTTTCTTTAACTTCAAATCTCTGTAACTCTTTGACCACAAAGTGAGTTTTTGTCGTGATGGTTCACTTTGCTTTGATCAGGTTTGGTGATGGATATGTCGTCACAGTGAAGACTAAAGAGGTTAAGGCTGGAATTGGACCTGACCTGAATCCAGTGCAGGCGTTCATTGAAGCCAACTTCCCCAACAGTTTGCAAATAGAGAAGCATCACAACACGATACAATATCAGATACCGTCATCATCACTAGCCAAAATCTTCCACTTACTGATCTCCAACAAAGAGCAGCTGAACATAGATGAATACACTGTCTCACAAACAACTTTAGACCAGGTATAGAACTTGCTTCATCCTCTTGAACCCTATCCATTCCAAATGCCCTCCTTTTCCTTGACAATTTTCAAAAAGTGTTTTCCTCATCCAACTAGGTCCAGTATGTTGAATTGCTAATGTATTGGGTCTAATGGTTACCAATTATTTTCACAATCAGTATTTAAATTGAAAGTAACAGCACTATTCAGTCAGCTATTAATAAATGGTGTTTTCTGTTTGTATATTAAATTATACTTATATTGAAAATCCATCACGAAAAATGTCTTTCCTTCCTCCTTTCCATTCCTTTCCTGCCTTCCTTCAGCAAAGCTGTGCTTTTAGCTGTAGATTAAAGTCACTGCTATTTTTGGCAAAGACATTGTTATTGTATAACTGAGGACAATGGTCTTGACTTTGTGCAGGTGTTTGTGAACTTTGCCAAAGAACAAGCACCTGAGGATGAAAATGTATCTCTGCATCCGCGAGCTGCAGGGGGCAGGCGGGAAATAAAGATAAGTCCAACTCCGGCAGAACCTGCCCAGCAAAGAAGCACAAGCGCCACCCCTCCCACCGCAGAGGCAAACAAGGAGAAAAAGTCTTGAGGAAGTGCCAACGACACAGTACTAACAAATTGTACTGCGTAGACTGAACACCGAACATCATGACTGTAATATCATTCCCCGAGGGTGGTTTCAGTAACAGAAACCTCAAACGTGATAACTCCACAGTATTGACTTCACTGCAAATAACAGCATCAGCACACCACGTAGCACAAGGTTTGCTATGATTCCAAACAGAAAACAGAAATTGTCATGCAGCCAATCTGAGGATAATGCATGTTTATCTCTACTGTCACAGACTAAAATAGCTAATACATTATGCATGGCTGTGGCCTTTTCTCGCAGCCATAAGATAGATGCCCGCAAGAGGAATTTATTACATTGCTGTGCATTCCTCCTAACCAACATCATGCATATAGTAATTAATCCTTCCAATACTGAATGCTCTTTGCCTATGTACATTATCATATAACATCTTCAGAAGTGGTTTCCTGTATACGGTTTAATGTTGCATCCTATGAAATAGATTTAAAGAACTATGTCAATCTAGTCCCTCATTTGTAGTATTTTCTGAATAAAAGAGGATCTAATTTGGGGTTTTCAGTAAACCGTTATAAATGGGTTCCTATCATGTATGATCTAATAATTGCAATGGTATCAGTGACACACAGTGGCATTAACACTAATACATGTTGTTGCACACCCTCTGGACTATGAAGAAGACCATACTTAACACTGACCTGTCCTCAGCCACACAAACAAAAACTAATCCGGGATTTTCGTGACGTAATGACACGTTTCAAGGTGAAGCCGAATAACCTGATTAGATCTGCTAAATGAAATATATTTTAGTGGGCATTTATAATTTTGCACAAATATCTCAGGTTCAAAAAAGAAAATATTCAGTAAGGTTTTATTTCAACGAAAGATTTGCTTTGATCAACAGATGTGGTTAACTTTAATAAAGGTAAGGTTCTCTCCTCTTGTGAATATTCAAATTAATACTCTAGATCCCCACTAATATGCGTACATGCGCACACACACTTTTTATAAATTGAATGAATAAAACATCTTTCACTTGAAAACTGCTTTGTGAGAAAGTATGTGAAACAATAAAAGCTGATCTTACTGGAAAAAAATACAGAGAATTATGCTTTTCTACTGAGAATTTTACTGAGAATTTGTTGCTACTAACTTACCTTTGGCAAGAAAAAAACGAGAACAAATGTACTGCACGTACAAATAAAAGAAAAATAATAGCTACCACATACCTGACAACATACTATAATTCACTCATGACTGTTGTGGATGAGTTACTGAGTTAACCTCATGTTTGAATATCTCTCTATATGAATGCATTGTCTTATTCTGCTCTCCACCCTGAAGAGGCGGGTGATACAAAGGCACAGTTTGGCACCTGACCCAAGTGGCTTAGATAGTTAGTGTTGGTAGCTTATTGAGCCTCAGGGGATGTGGCAACTGAGCCAGATCCTGTGGTCTTTGAATATCCACAAGTGAACTATTCAGGATGAGCAACAGAACAGAACCATTTTGATATTTTTCTCCCTTCATATCCCGGAGGCATTTATGTCAATTGCTTCACTTCCTTGGATAAAACAACCAGCAACAGGCTCAATTGTGGGAGATTAATGACCTACCACACTGGTTGGTGATTTTATCCACTGATCTATTGGAATCAGGAACTGCAGTAGTTGCTGTGAATTTGTGGTGAACATCAAAAGTTTACTGAGACCGAGTGACAACTTCATTTAAAAAAAACACACACTTCAGCAATGGAGGTGATCACTCTTTGCGTGGAATTCAGAAACTCGGGTTCATTAGGAAGCAAAAGTTTATTTGACTGGCAAAAGTACACAACATAAGAGCCACTCCGAGCCCTTCTGGAAAACAGGATTCAAGGTTAATAAGACTACTGATTATCCAGCAAGAAATCAGCAGCTTAGTTTTCAATAATCCAAATAGGCCATGTTGCACTAAGAAGATAAGGGCTTATACAATGTAGGCCATGGTCAAAGTGCTCCAAATAGCTGACATTTTGCTGCCACAAGCTCGAAATTGATTGCCACATAAACATATTTTCGATTCAACACTAAAACCTTGATTCATCACAAAAAGATGAACTGGACACGTGCAAATTGGGAACTCTGTCTGTATATTGACTGAATGGTCATAATACAAGGAAACAACTAAAAAAAACCTTCCTCTGTTATAATTACAATTTTTAAAAGAAAATTTGCACCAGATTTTTTCAAAGACAAACCCAAGGAAAGAAGGAACTCCAAAGTAACTGGTTTTGAGCTACACTTTGTTTTGTGTTTTTTCTAAAGCAAAGGTTTAAATGTTTACCCATATGATCTTAAACATGCTTAACAAACAGTAAAGTGCTTAAAGCGGTGAATTCTACAGTATAGGAGGTGCTTAAAATTCTGAACAGTGCAATAAGACAACTAGAGGATTATACAGGTCATTAAAATGGGGCCAGGCTATCAACAGAATGGTTTGTGATGAAACGATGAAGAATGAGTTCTATAAATAATCAACGTACAATGTTTTTGTTTCCCATGTTGGGAGGGAGAGTTCCAACAGGAAATATGGGTCAATAAAACTGCCACAGAAGGCTTGGCTTTCAATCCCATGCTGGAGATTTGCATGCAGGTACGTGCCACTGGATTGATGAAGATGAGACTTGTGCTGAAGAGTCCTTGTTCCTTTGATTTGTATGGCTCAGCATATTATTCACCTTGTATTGCCTTATAGCAAGAAAGGAATGATAGGCATCCGCACAGTTGGGTAATCTTTAAACTCCTTCAAGTAAGAGTGATGCTTGCCTTTAGCCCAGACTGTCATCTGGACGAAACCCATCACAGTAAACAGACCAACTAAAGGGTAAAGTGAAAAATCTTACATTAAGTAACGCATTTCTAAACTTTGAATTGAACATTTTCACAAATCACTGTCTTATACTGTCCTACCTGGTAGGCACTGTGTCATTATGGTGAAACCGATCCAGGCTCCCACCTATGGGGTGTGAAAGCATACAACGTTACCACACTTTGATTCAAAACTGAATAGCTATAATAACTCAATCACAGTGCAACCAATTTGCCAATTATGAAGCTATTTTTCCTGGATCTGCAAATTGCATTGCATATAGGATGAAAAAACATGACTAACCCTTTCCTTATACTGTGTTTCAGATACATTAAATAGAGAATTGTTGGTAAACAGTGAGAGGTTTATCATTAATGTAATCAAGGAGGAATTTAGATGAAGACGTAAATATTTTCATTGCTTCTTTACTCCACTATAAACAAATAACAATAGATTGCTATTTTAATTTTCTTTAAAAATAACTTCTCCATTAACCAAACACACCATGCCCTACCCGAGTGTGGGCAGGCAACCTCCTCCCAAACTTTTGTCAATGTTTCTTTGGGAACAGCCTTCATGAATTGTACAAGACCAACCTGAAGTGCCTTTCCCTGCGATTCTCCTTTCCTTCTGGAAATCACTGAGCTATCTCATGAACGTAGCATTATATAGAGTTGCATGAATCCAGGTTCTACCACTGTGAGATACAACAACAACTGGACTGTAACTCAGTTGACTGGGCACTGGATTGGAACCTCAAAGGTTGAGAGTATGAATCTTACTCGGTCCGTGCTTTTGAGGACAAGAAAATTAGATCCATGTTTCCTGACCTGGAGCTGAACCCAAACCAGCTCCAAGACGACATCCATAGTAATTGGCACGCTTAGAGGTGTAGACATCATAACAACAACAAATTACATTTGTATAGCGCCTTTCATTTGTATAGTGCCTTTCACATAAGGAGGACATTCTAAAGCACTCCAACCTGCAATCTAAATACCCCAACAATTAGGGCAGTCCTAACTGGGGTAGTATCATGCCGGACATATGCAATATGTACCAGTTATAGACTATAAATAATGGCTATTGGCAAATATCATACCTCGTATGTGTAATTGGGGCAGGACACCAAGAAGAAGAGCCAGGTGAAAGGATTCTTAGTCGGGTGAGGAATCTTGCGGGCTCTGGATCCTGGAAAGTGGTAAGAAATACATTGCTGATAAGTATGGATCATTTCCAAATTGAGTATTTATTGATTGTGTCACAGAGCTTACCTTCTGAGCGCAAGTTCCTTAGTGCTATATGGATCGAGAAATTCCCAACTTCACATACCTGGAACGATTAAATTATTATAATAAATTTACTGTCTGCTTTACTTACTGTTTATGAACAACTGTTACTCTTATGTATCAGCCACACACTGTTACCACCTCATAGTTTTGCTTTTAATTTTAATCATCAATTGCAGTTAGATGGCTATTGCAGATGCACACAGAATAAAAGCAAACCTGTAGCCATGTATAGGATTTCATGATCTGGCAAATCAAGACTTTTAGAGTAGTTTTACCTTTATTATTTAAGGCAAGGATTCTGTTCAATCTAAAGTTTAGAAGTGATATCTGATTAATTTATTTTGCTATTAGTAACCTTGTCGGTAAAATTACTATATTCAATCACCGATAACAGATCATCTACAGATTATGAAATCCAATCATTGTGCACATTCATTCAATTATTTCACGTTACGTTTAACATTTCACATGCTTTGAATGTAGGCAGTGGTAATGTTTGAGTTGAGTATTTTAACGTGACATACCAGGAAAGTATATAGTGCTAGATTGACTTGTTTGTCACCATATACTGTAAAAAAAAATTAACAGTGTAACACACAGACTTTTAACAGAGTTTCAGTACTATTGAAATACAACTGTTTACAAATGCCATTACTTACAAGGTGTTGTGTACAGGGGATGGTTGATGTAAAAAGCCAGCCAGGCTGTGAAACCCCAGTAGTAGAAACAGTTCTGTGAAGGCAAAGATCGATATATTTAGATCAGTAACGCACACTATTTATTGAGCAATCTCAGCTCTTCTATTCTAATAGTGTCACTAGTTTAGTCATTGTCTGTCGTTCCAGAAAATATAACATTTGACGTTGCAGAAGTAAAAGTAGTTCTGCAAAGAAATCCATGAATAAGATTTAAAATAACATTAATTGGTTACTTGGGTGTTAACTACAGTATACAATAAAAGTGTATGACTAACTTCAACCTTGGTTTACTGCCCTATTGGTTTTGGCTTCATCTAGATTCTCAACAGAAAGAAAAGCACTCTGTCTATCTCAGAGGAATCAGAGTAAGTGCTCCTAGCTCCAGATTTCTCTTTTCAGTCACCTCTAAATAAGAAAGTGTAAAAGTGTTTATGCTAGATTTTGTAACCAGTGTTTTGCTCCAGATAATTCCCTGCATCAGGTACAATGTCCAGCCCGACAAAAACACCCAACTAACGTTTATATGTTAGTAATCCACATAATCCCAAGTCGTTCCAAATTCCTGTGAAAGAGAAGCATGTTTTACCTACTCGGTGGTATTTACCTTAACAGTGTTACGCAGGGGCATTGTGCCATGAGAGAATCGATGCACAAATAATGTTTCGATCAATCTTTTGGCGTAGTGGAAAGAATGACAAATGCATGACATGCTGGGGAAAAAAACAGAAACAGGCTGTAGGATTACCTATAGAAAAGGCAGAAAATGACAGCTCAGCAAATCAATGTGTTGACCAATGCAATGTGGTCTCATGTCCCCATCCTTTCATTTGCTGAAGACATAAAATGCTCCAGGCTTCATTCACATCACAATCCGAAATGCCTTATACTGGCTAAGTATTTTATTTAAAGTTAATAAGACACAAGTTAAAGTTAATCAGTAGAACACGTTGTGAAGTGGATTTTATTGATCATCTTGATAAGATCCCATTACAGTTTCATTCCCATATTTACCAAGTGGCATAAAATCCCCCAAAATCGGAAAGGAAAGTGATTAGACTCCTGTTTAGATTTCTCTTGTTATCAGGATCATTTCAATAAATGTGAAACATGTGAAATGATGTTCTGTAGAGCATATTCCACCTGAACGTGACACAGCATAAATAAACCCGTGAGAGACCAATATTAAATTCATACTGAAGCTAAAATGTTCAGGACAGATCAGTACTTTGATGGGATTTCGAAAGTAAATTAATGAAAGCGAGTATGTTGGTTACTCACCATACTCAGGTACCCGTCTAAAACCTGTTACTTACTGCACCACAGTGTGCTCACTGGAAGTAAATTCATCCTCTTCTTCATAGATAAATGGCAGACGGAAATAGAATAACAGATAGATAAAGAGTGGGCCAGCATATTCTGTGAGAAAGACCTACGAACAAAGCACAATGAACAAACAAATGTATGGACAGCAAACTTTAGTTTTGGAAAATTCTATACTGTGTTTGAATACAATCTGATGCATTTGTTATTTAGAAAGCATAGGCCCAAAATTCTACCTAGTCTCAGCCTGTAAGTCCATTTTCTCCTAAAATTTAAGATTGTGCAGAATTGTTTGAAAATTCTTACGTTCAATCTTATTTTGGCAGCCATTTATTTCCGTAGTTCTTAAAAGATCTGACTTTCAAATAAATAAAGACGGAATTTAAGAATTGCCTCAAATTCTGTGCAATCTTTATGAAAATTTTACAAAACGCTGTTACAGGGTGAGACTAGGTGGAATTCCACCCTCCTCTTTTTAAACGTCTTCCATCTCCCTCCCATTCACATTCTTTAATATTTCTCTTCTCTCTCTTGAAGGTGATTCAAACATTCTTGCAATGACGTCTCTCTTTAAATTACATTTTCTGATTTTTTCAAACATCCTGACATGAGAAAGGTGAAAAAAAATATGCAGCGTTTTCTGACTGCCGAAACAGAGAGGGAAGGTACTGTACTTCAGCAGAGAGTTGGAGAGTGCCGGTAAAGGTGCTGATCCATTGCACAGTATTACGATAAGGTTATCGGAGTCACTTTTAAACATGATTAATCAACATGCTCATTATTGAGCGGAAGAATCTTCTCTTTTTGAACGGTGTCACAGGAATTTAAAAGTCCATCTAGACTAGCAAACTTCAGTTTAATGTGTCATCCAAAAGAAGGCACCTTTGACAATATAATACGCCCCAGTTACTACTTTGTGAGGTTGGTCTATATCAGGCTAAGTCTCAGGTGAACAGGACTCTGTGCCATCAGGTATTGATGTATTGCGGAGGGTACTGTATTGCTGTGCCGAATGAATCAGTACTCACTGTAGTCCAGCCAACTTGGGGACCCAAATCTCTGAAGTAGAAGGTAGCAGTGGTGCCCACTGGAAGAGTCTGCAAGATTTCGTCGTCTCTTAAACTTTTGCCCTCTGTGCATTGAATCAATATCGGAAAAGAGATTTTTTAGTCACTTTTAAGAAGTACTTTTCTTTTTTATTACAGTGAATTCAACAAAAAACAATGTGCACTATGCTGTCTTTATCAATGTTAACGTGGTAAACAAGTCAAAAACATATTTTGAAACTTATTGCTAAGTTTTGAGACGTCTCAAAGCTCTCGAAGATGTGATAAGACGCTATATCAAACGCAAGGATTATTATTACTATTATTAAATGGGGCAATTAAAATCCTATTGCCTATTGCCAAGCTGAGGGCAGGCTGGATAATAGATTGTCTCGACCTATTCTCGGTTTGGCAAAACGGTACAAGCAGCAACAACAACAACCTGCATTTATACAGCGCTTTTCACATTTCAAAGCACTTTACGGAGATGAAGTGGCTCCCTGCTACTGCTGGTAAGCATGCTCTGAACTACACACAGGAAATTCAACAGGAGAGGGTGTGACAACAATTTACAATCAGTTTCCAATGTGGTTTTGCACCTTAAGTTGAGTATTGGGTCAGGTGGATGTTCTGCTGCTGTGACCTGCATTGTACCGTAAATAGAGTTTCATCCTATAAAGTGCATAGTTGATTTGGGCTACAACTCAATCTGTATGACTTTCAGTTCAGTGATCAGACCCTCCCTGTCACATCCACTTGGCATCAAACATTCTCGAGCAAACAGATTCTTTCAGCAGTAAGCATTTCTGAAATTCCAGGACTATTAAGGTAAATACACAGTGTTTGTTGTTTGTCAGTCATCGTACACCATGTTTAATCCTTTCTCTCTCTCTGAGAATGGATTAGAAAATCAAAGCATTGAACCCAGTTGAATGAAGTGACCTTGGTACCACGCAATGACAGGGTCATATTAAAGAGAAGCTATCTGCAGCTCACATTAAAGCTGCTAAATTAATCCTCTGGCACAATAGATGGCACAACTGTCCCAGTCCCACTTTCCAGCTACATCCCACCACTGCTGCGCTGCCTCTTTTGAATGATCCAAGAAACTCAACCAAATGACAATGTGACTTACAATGTCAGTTGTTCCACCTCACCCCTTTCCTCCTGCCCCAATTTTAAAGCCCGACCTTAAGACCTACTCTTTGACCATGATTTTAGTCACCTATTCCCCCCAAACTCCACCCCCGTCCTTCACACCCTCCATAGCTATCCATAACTCAGTTCAAATGCCCAGGGAGCTGTATGAAGCACTTTGTGATCTCCTCCCAACCTGAAACATGCTATATAAATATAGATTGTTTTTGATTGAACTGCTAAGATACACGCACCCAGACTGAGAGAGGGAAAGTACAGTCAATAGCAACTTGCATTTATGTAGCTCCTCTTGTAGGGCAACGTCTCAGACTGCTTCATAGGGATTGGTCCGAAACACTGATTGTCCAGTGCCTTGGGACGTTCTCCCGACGTGAAAGACGCTATACAAATGTCATTTTGTTGTTGTTGTTAGGTTGGACCCTGAGCAAACAACAGGGGGTGGTGGGGAGGGGAGGAGGTGAGCCTGAGCTGAGAAATTCCACCTGGTTCTATACAGACATTTTCTGAGCGTGTTAGACCGCGCATGTTTTGAACAATTCTTCCATGCAGCTTTGAATTTGGTTTCAAAATTAGGACTGAATGTAAGAACGGTCCAAAATTTAAAATATGATGAGAAGAGTGTAAATCTAGACCCAGGTGGAATTCTCCCACCTCCCTACCCCATTCTAAATTGGCTCCTGTTTCTGACTATATATAACACAGCTGTGAGAACAGCGGATTTAAACTAGCCCATAAGTCGGCTCCATGAAATTTCGCTTTGATTCCACTTTCCTGTCACTGTGAGTTATGAGAAGCAAAGTCAGCAGCAGCCAAAACACATGGGGCTGACCTCCAGACCCAAAGCCTTCTCCTGCCTTAGTCCCTCTCTCTCGCTTCTCTTCTACTTTCAAAGGAAATTTGCTTAGTTGTGGGTAGCCTGAAGTGAAACAAAGTAAGAGAGGGTTTGAGGCCGGCAGGCTGACAGAAGGCGTGAGTTTTACCTGCTACTTTCTCTAGTTTCACCCAGAAGGTGAAACTAACCCACGTTATAATTGGGCCATTTTCAAGGGAAGTGCACAAAACTACAATGCTTTGGTTTTTTCGCCCAGAAAATACACAGTCAATTCACTTTGCAGTGAAGCCATTTGAGACGTCTCGAAGACGTGATAAGGCGCTGTATCAAATGCAAGAATTATTATTATTATTTTAATGTTTTTTTCTTTCCCCCCGTCTCTCCCTTTCTCAAGGAGGAGTTTCTTTTAGCTACTTCTGGGGCTCAATTCCACAGATGCCTGACCCTGAGTGGGGCTTATAAAGTGATGAGGCAGAAGTGACAGAAATCCGAGGCAGTGCTGGACTGATCAGTGTACGTCACGTTACCCGAGCAGCTGCACCAGGAAGGACTGGAACTGGGCAACAGGATCAGTAGAGTTAGTAGAAATGGAGAATGAAGGGATTAGATGTTCTGAACATAGAAATTCAGAAAGGCAAAGGCAAATCCATGGTCACTCATGGTCAGAGTGTGGCAATTCTGTCATCTCTGCAGAACGATAGAGAACACCCCTTTGTCACCAGCTTAAAATCAACTCATTTTCACTTTCCTCTTTGGGACCCTGAACAGATGGTGAGAAATGTTACAGATTCAAACAGGTTACAAGACTGCACAAATGTGTTTATTGTCCCTTCTTTTTCAATGTGCCTACTACGTACTACTGAGGCTAGCTCCTATACCTCCAAGATAGATATGTTCTGTCATTTACTCTTTCAAAAAAAATGTTTCTTAAAATGCTGTGCGCAATTGGCTGCCGCGTTTCATCCACAAAATATACAGTCAATTTTACAGTAAAAAACAGGATTTGCTGGGAACACTCAGCAGGTCAGGCAGCATCTATGGAGAGAGGAAAGTGAGTTAACGTTTCAGGTCAATGACCTTTCAGAACTTGCTATCGACATCGAACTCACTTTCCTCTCTCCATAGATGCTGCCTGACCTGCTGAGCGTTCCCAGCAGCTCCTGTTTTTGTTTCAGATTTCCAGCATCTGCAGTATTTTGCCTTTCACTGTACAATATGTTCTATGAAGCGCTAGGAGACGTCCTGGAGACTTGACAGGTGCTATATCAAATACAAGTATTATTATTATTAACCTATGATACGTTTCAGGATCTTTTGTTTTTCTTCTGAGCTGAATTGGGTTTTTATGACAAATGGGGCATTTACGTCTCTGCAGATGGGACTGTGCTCTGTAGAAATATAAAATGTGCTTGGAAATATCCTCCCGACGTGAAAGGCATCATATAAATGTAAGCTATTTTGTACAAAAAGGGGATAGGGAAAAGATAGGCGAATGGACATAACAGATAGACAGCAAAGGTAAGATGAATCGAATGGCCTCCTTCCGTGTTGTAAATTTCTATTGTTCTACAGCGGAGACACTACTGAATAATAATGATTTATTCCCAGCCTTTTCACCTGTTCTACTTCTTTTGTTTGGGGAAGATTATGAAAAAAAATTACAAATGATTTTGCTCATGTGTAAAGGAATCTAAAATGACCTGTGTGTGCATGTGCAGAACCACATTGGATCAGATCCTGACCCTTTTCACCGCAGTCTGATTTATGGAGGCATATGCAGTTCGTAGATCAAAAAGGGTTCTGCCAAATTCAGCGCCAGTTATTCCAATCATTTTGCTTTACGAGTTGAAGCGAACTCGTCAGAGGCAAACTTGGCGCTACGCACAATCTCATAATATAAAAGCAGCACGAGTTATACTTGAATTTCACACTTAACAATCTTCACTTAGTTGTTTTGACATTGGACCACTGATGTTAGCTCTGTAATAAACACTATTATGTTGCTGCCTGCTCATGACAGTACCTAGTTAACCAGATCCAATCAAGCCCACATGTTCAGTGATTGTAAAGGAATTAAATATAATGTGGTACTTACTTGGATCTAACCTGATGGATTGTCTTGCTGGATACCAATGAGGGTCTGAAAGAGAATTGAATAAACATGCTTTAGCTGGCTATTTCAGAGATGCAATGAGAGTAATAATAATCCTTCCATTTGGGATAAAAGCTTATCACGTCGTTGAGACATCTCAAAGTGCTTCACAGGATTTCACTGTCAAATGTATTTACTGTGTATTTCTAAGTAAAAGTAGCAGTTAATTTGCGCACAGCAGTGTCCCACAAACAGCCATGAAATTAATGTCTGTATTGTGTTCCACAAATAATAATAATAATGTTTTTCGATGGAGGAGGAACCGGCCAGAGGAGGGGTAAAAGAGTTAGTGAGTTTGAGAGAGAAGCTGTGGAAGTTAGAGTCAGAAGAGAGAAGCCAACGACAGGAGCCAAGGAGAATGAATTCAGTCTTATCCATATTCAATTGTAGGAAATTGTGGTTTATCCACTCTTTGATGTTTGATAGGCAAGCGAACAACATCAGTGAAATTATCACGTCATTGAGACATTTCAAACGTTTCACAGGATCTTACCGTGAAATATATTTACTGTGTATTTGCAGGAAAATGTTGCTGGAACATTCCTATTTAATAAACTATTATCAAAAGAAACTACTGTACTTAAAAAGGGATAACATTTCTAGTTCTTTGTTGGAAGCTTTCAGAAGTTGAGTTTTGATTTGAAAAACTGCTCCAATGATTAAATGGAAAACTTAAGTCTTGATTAGGTGCGCTCAAGGAGCTACTTGAAAGTTTAACAGCAAATTGTACTGCAGAATAATATGTTCGGATAATAATTTGTTCTCAGGTGGGATTTTCTTGGCTTTTTAACATCATAGAAATTTACAGTACAAAAGGAGGCCATTTGGCCCATCGAGTCTGCACCAGCTCTCAGAGCAAGGTGTTCATTTAATTCCACTGCTCTGTATTATCTCCATCCCCTTTCAAGCCTCGTTCCATCAAATACCTGTCTATACGACTTCTCTCTTGAAACCCAAAATGGATTCTGTCCCTACCACGTTACCTGTAAGTGCATTCCAGATTCTGGCAACTCTTAAGAGTGAAATTTTTATGAGTGAAAAAAAATTGCGTAAGCTTTCCTTTCCCTCTTATTGTGACTATCTTATAACTAAGGGCTTATAGTTCACTGACTCCCCTACTTGTGGAGTTAATCAGCTTCTCTTTGTCATACAGGTACAAGGTTTGGCTCAGCACCGTGCCAGAATAATCATTGTTGCATTTAAATCTCAGGCAACTGGTGGAGGAATGAATGAACCTGATCCAGGAATTGTTATCACTTCCAAGAGAATTCATGACATTTGATTTACAATCTGCCAAACTGAACTAGGCTTTCTTCTTGCGCTCGTGCAACAGGGAAAGCAAAATGTCAGGACTAAAAAAAAAATGTTCCAGGAATCAATAGTTGAGGCTTAACGTTAAAGAAGTAAGAGAAAAATCACTTCTGGAGTCCTGTAGCGTAGTGGTTAGCGTGCTCGCCTCGCAAGTGGGAGGGTCCGAGTTCGATTCCCGGGCAGGGTGAAACCTTGGGCAAGTTTCCTTACTCCACACACCTTTGTTTACCTTGCAGTTAGTCGCAACCCGGTTGTTCGTCGATTGGTGGATTTCTTTCCGGGGGTAATAATCCCTCCCCCCCAAAAAAATGTGTTCACTCGATCCACGACTGTTTGTGGGGCACTGCTGTGCACAGTTAGCTGCCATGTTTCACCCACAGAATAATTAGTCAATCTACTTCACAGTATATTCTGTGAAGCGCTTTGAAACGTCTCAACGACATGATAAGAACCTATATCAAATGCAAGGATTAATATTATTATTAATTAACTTTACTAGAGAGAATAATTGATGCAAACACCCCCAAAATGAGGAGACTAGTTATGATTCATCAACTCTACAAAATACACTTTACAGTAAATCCCGAGAAGTGCTTTAGAGATGGCCTTTTGACATGAAAGGCTCTATGCCAAATGCAAGAATTATTAACCCTATCCTCAGTTGCCTTTACTTACATGTTTTTTGGAACATAGATTTGATTTCTCCAATTGTGGCATTTGGTTCCACCTGAATAAAATAGAAATTAAGTACATCAATAACACTGCCTTCTGAAATTTCCGACCACTGTACCTGTGGAGTCTTCTAACACAGTGTAATACTATGAAACAGTCAATGCATACTACACAGTTTAAGTTTTCTTCACGAATGATAATGATCATTGTGGGTTACGTGGATCATATCAACACAAAGACAAAGAACTGGAACATATTCAGCTTATGAGAGCTAGGTAACCACCTCAAAGCAGGAAATGTCCAAAGTCCCAAATCTGGGGTAGTTATATTGTTACAAAATTTACTCTCTGTTAATTAAATCATTCCCTTCAATGAAACACTTCAAAAAATCTATTGACTAAGAATGGATGAAAATCTCTGACAATTACGCACTGTTTAAATTGGCTGAGTAACTGAAACAAAAACAACTTGATCGAACTTCTTCAATTAATAAAAACTTAGGACATATTTCAAGTATTTCAAGTAATATTCAGCTTCTCACCTTATCCAGGAAACACAGCTGCTCCTTGGTCTTGCCATCAAGAATTTCCACCTCAAAGAAAACAAAGGATTTTGCCTTTTTAGTTGCAGTCTCTTTTGGTTGCTGAACAGTGTGATTAATTGCCGCTTTCTTTTTTACGTTAGCAAATATATTTGCTAAGTCTAGCCCTTGCCCATTTGCCATTATTTTCAGTGCTACAGGGTAATATTGGTACTACAGAGAGAATTCCGCAGGCACCTAATAGTCCCACACAGTCAGAAGCAACTGGCAAAAGTGGATGTCCCTGGCTTATCCAGACTGAAGCAAGTGTAAAGAAGGTTTGTGACAGCACTGTGATAGAATAACCCAACAGATGGAAGAGTCCATGAAATGTGATATTATGAAAAGACAGTTAAGGCTCTCAGCGACAGTTATAGTTAAGATCACTTTCAGATCCAGTTGTCCCGTTGCCTGCAAACTCATCCCTTCAAAAGTCAAAGTAGCATCGCCACAAAAATTTCACGAGCTGCTGATGACCCTTTGACTGTAAAGTAGAGCGTGTCTGAAGAAAACAAGACTGCTTGAAATGAAACATTTCAAAACATCTCATATTACAGGTAAGTTTGTCTTCTTTCACTCTGCAATTATAATAATATTCCTTGCATTTGATATCGCTCCTTATCACGTCTTCGAGACGTCTCAAAGCGCTTCACAGAATATAATAATAAATAATAATAATCCTTGCATTTGATATAGCGCTTTTCACGTCGGGAGGACGTCCCAAAGCGCTTCACAGAACACACTGTAAAGTGAATTGACTGTATATTTGTGGGCAAACGCGGCAGCCAATTGCGCACAGCAATGTCCCACAAACAGTCGTGGATTGAAAATGACCAATTTTATTATTGTTTTTGGTTTTGGAGGGATTATTATTAGGCTCTGTGTGGAGTAAGGAAACTTGCCCAAGGTTTCGCCCTCTGCCTGGAATTGAACTCAGGTCTCTCGTTTGCAAAGCGAGTGCTCTAACCACTGAGCAATTGTATTATATATTGTAAAGTGAATTGATTGTATATATTGTGGGCGAAACGCGGCAGCCAATTGCGCACATCAGTGTCCCACAAACAGTCGTGGATTGAGTGATTAAATTATTTTTATTTATTTTGAAGGAATTATTACCCGCAGAAAACCGATCCTCCAATTGACTAACAACCAGGTTCCTGCTTACTGCTAGGTAAACGGAGGTGTGTGGAGTAAGGAAACTTGTTTCGCCCCACCAGGAATCAATCTCGCTTGCGAGACGAGTGCTTTAACCACTAAGCTACAGGACTCCACCTTATCGTATCATACGACACATTTTTGCTATCGATGCCCTCGAGTTACTGACTCACCGACTAGTGGAAATGTTTTTTCTCTCTCGGAACTTTAAAGGGCCGTATCAGATAATGTAGGGTTGGGTGTTCTGGAAGGATGAGATCAGATGGGCCAAAGCTCCTTCTTCAATGAGCCAAGCTCATGAGGTCTCCCATTAACTATGTTTTTGTTATGCTTATCAGTCCCTGTATGAACTTGCCTCTTGCACCGATATATCAATTGATAGATGTATGCAGCATGTTAATTCTACTATTCTTGAGTAACAGTTAGTCATGTACTCCAGGCTCAGTGACGAGTCAATTAAAATCAGCTATGGAAACGCTTGAAATAACCTGGTATCAGGATTCATTGAGGAGCTGGCCTGCTCTGAGCTCAGTGCCAAAGTCAATAATCAATTGCTTTGTAATATCTGCTATTAATTTGAGAAAAAAAGAAATGGAGAGATGGAGAAATAAAAATAGCTGACCGATGTCGAGTAAATGGAGATGTTCATGAAGTAATTTTATTCAACAGAACAGGGGAGAGAAAAGGAATGAAAGGGAGAAGTCGAGAATATGCTCTTAGGCATGTTCTAAACGCAAAGGAGTCTAAAATACCGGATTATCCATTTGCCTAAATTTGAGATTCCCCTATTCTACTTACAACATGGTGCCGTTGCCCGTATGTTGTAACACGTCAGGATTAGATCTTTAGACAACACACAAACCACACTTCTCTTATTCCTGGATGGAAAGTAAGACAGATATCTTTCAATGTTTTCAATGTTATTTTTCTGTGTATTTAGTGGTGGTCGTTATTTTTTAAGCGAGAACGATAATCCTCATAATCCTTGCATTTGATATAATGCCTTATCAGGTCATCAAGATGCCTGAAAGCGCCCGTGAAGATTTTACTGTGAAGTTTAGTGACTGTGTATTTGTAGGATAGTGTGATCTTTGCAGCAGTGTATCGAATGGAAATGGAAGATCCATAACTTTCCTGTACTGTTAAAATAATTCATTTAAAATTCCTGACAGATTGCTTCAGAGAGCACATCACAGCCCACTGCCGGATAACCAATACCTTTTCAACACTCGTAACACTGATCGATTGCACCGATTGATGGAAAAGGGCGGCAGTCTTTTTTTCAGCATTAAACCATGAAAGGGCAGGTGTTTACGTCAATATTAGTAGTAATGCAGTCTTTGGCCAAAGGTAAATATTCCGTTGGTAAATATTTTTTAAAAACTGAGTGCGAAAACAAAAATGGGAAGTGATTCTTGCTTTAAATTTAAATCACTGGCAGCACGTGGAAGAAAGGCGAACATGCCCTCTGCTGGCACCAATGGTTGTTACTGCAGCCGTAAAGTGATGAGTGAAACCTTGTGATGCATCCAGGCAGGTAGGCAGCCTCCTCAAAGGGATCTCGTCTTACTTTTTTGATACCTAATGGACTGATTGGGTCCCTGGTATTTGGAGCTGCTTCACAATTCTCTCACGCATGGGCTCTGCATTTGCCAATTACGCACAACAGTGTCCCACAAACAGTCGTGAATTTAGTGACCAATTTAGGATTATTATTATTTTTATTGAAGGAATTATTACCCCCGGAAAAGCGAGTGGCCAATCGACTAACAACCGGGCTCTTACTTACTGCCAGGTAAACAGAGGCGTGTGGAGTAAGGAAACTCGCCCAACATTTTGCCCTGCCGGGAATCAAATCCAGGTCTCTCTCGCTTGGGAGGCAAGTGCTCTAACCACTGAGCTACAGGGCTCCACATGCTATAGAATCACCTCTATGACTGTGTATTGTAATATTTTTGAGCATATCCTTCTCAACAGGTTATTCTTGTTACAGAGAAACCTTGTTATAGGAAGGCAACAGACTGGAAAAACCTTAATGAGAGGGACAAGAGAGATCAGAAAGGATTCTTGTTGCTAATTGCTATTCATTGTCCTCTGCTGGAAAGTGCATGTGTAAAGATATCAGCTGAGGGCAGTATTGGGCTTAGATAAAAAAAGCCCAATAGATACTAACTTGCTGTTACTCACTGACTAGGGTCAACTCATTAAAAATGGCCAGTGGGTCTAATACATCCCTTTCGATATTCCAGTGTTATTCAGACAGACACTGCAAACTGTCTTCTGTAAAACCAAAGGTAACATCACTGACACTCTAAATCAGTTGCCTGTTTGATGAGCTTCTTACACGGCATTTCATCTTCCAGTTTTGGTTACTTTTTCCCGAAACGGAGCAGTTCTTGTTGTCCATTAACAGATCGGCCTCTGCACTTTTCTCTTTTTGAGGACCTTCCCTCTGGCTCCTTTCCAAACCACTGTGTACTCTCCTAAATCCTAGCAGCATTCCAGGTTAGGCATTTGTTTTCTTTGATTCTGCATGTGATTGTTTCTGTCTTTATTTAACTCCTAGATCATTTCACGTACATGTGCCCGAAGCCGTGGCTGCCTCTGAGGTGCCCAGCTGTTGGGATGAACCCATAACTAGCAGTGAGGGAGATAGCTGTCTTCTGTTCACAAGGTGTGATTCATTTGATATCCCACCCAAACCCAGCTGAGGACTGTCCAAGCTCTTAACATATTCATGTATCGTGCTCTGCGGATGCATGAAAACAAATCAATAAAAACATAATCTAATCTACCCCGAGCCACAAAACTACTGATTCAGCGTATTCAATTACTAAAGCAACAACTCCAAGAGACTAAAAGTTTCAATCCACTTTGTCTGCCTATTTCAGCCAGCTCTGTAAGTCACATGTCCACTGTGACTGTCTGTCTCACACAGTTGAACAAGATGGCCTCAATCTTCTGAAAACGTTGGCAGCAGCTCTGAAATATTCCTGCTTCCCACAAAGCAGGAAAACAACAGAGGAGAGTACACATTCAGCAGCTGCGTAAACCGGATTAACAGAAGAGCAATAATTCATTGTGCAAAACTCTCCTTACACTACTGTGATTTGCTGAAGAGAGCTTTTTCTAAAGCAATTTCTACTTAACTACACATTTCTACCATAATAGTGGAATTTGCCAGAAAATTACTAGCTCTCTCTAAAAGCAAGAGCTCTATCTAGTTGGTAACATTGTTTTCATTTAGTCAGCGGTCTTATAACTTGACTTTGACAGATGGTGTTTACTTTTTCACACTTCCACCATGTGAAGGGAGATTTGCAGCACTCATGAGAGCAATATTTTGGCTTAAATGGAAGCACAATGAATTAAAAGCAAAATGAGCAACAACAAAAAACTGAATCGTACAGCTTAACAATTCCAACACAAAGTGTGAGAGCTAAACCCTTAACATGCACTAAATGTGCAGACGTCTCTAAGTGCCGCTCTGTGGAGTTTATTGAGACGTCTTTTCCATGTGGTAAGAATGGTGAACGTTTTTCTCTGCGTTTTACAAGCACTAGCAAGTCTTCCAGTTGAAAAATGATGGTATGCAACTCACACGATCACAGCAATGTTAATAAAACTCTTCAGTAACATAAGCCCTGTGTGACAGCTGAAAGCAACTGAACCATTCTACAAATAGATAAGACAGGGAGGGGGTAGAGTTCTGTCCTCATACCAAAACAATATCACTGAAGCTAACCTTTATAAAGACAAACTATGCATTAGACAAACATCAGGGACAATTTGAATACCCAGATTGGCGTTATATGCTGCAGTCCAGATGAAAGAATATAGATCAGAACGATTCATGT